TAAGTCTAATTCTAGTTGGGAGTAAGTTAGGCAGCCCTAACGTACATGTAAAATACTAAGCACCTAAGCAATGTTATCAATTCAACAATAAACGATTCTTATTGGCATCCCTCAAAAGGCTTTGTCGGTCAGTCGGGAAGCGGCGATCTGTTTTAGCTTACTCTAAGTTAAATGTTCCATTTATTTTAAATGTCCTTCTATCTGCAAAGTCCACCCATCTAACCCATCTATATATACCACTGAACCAATGAAACCGAATCTGAAACATAATCGCATTACCTTTTCCAATACTTTGCAGCTTGTTGTACCAACTACTTCTTACTAAGAATTAAACGAAACAGAAAATCTGAAAAATAAGATAAATAAAACCACAAATGAACATTAAAACCTAATCAAACAAAAACCAACTCGAGCGACATCCATTCACACAAGCGCACATTTGAATATAAACTCATATTCAGATTCGAAAGGTATTGGAGTCTTTAGATCCGAACCGATCGGACCTGATGTGATGTGTGTGTGAGCGGGTGTGTCTGCCTATGTGAAGGAGTGTCTGTCTATGCGTGTTCTCTCACCAAAACTATAAATCAAAAGAAACCCATAACTTTGCAATGAAAACAATCCAATCGTATCGAATCAAATCGAATTCCATTCAAAGGCTTCAGTTTGCGCGTTTAGGTGTGTATGAAATATCCAAATTATCGCTAATTGTCTATATTTGTTCCTGTATGTCATGATATTATGTATATCTTTTGTTGTTTTTGCTGTTTTTATTGTTGTTTGTCGTATGCCTAGAGAATATACCTAATAAAAGTCGCCTGTGCCTGCGTCTGTCCTATATCTCCTTTATCATCTTAATTAATGTTTTGTGTGTTCCTTCTCTTTATTTCCCCTTTCCTCCCAAACTTGCAACACGTTGCTTGTCGCCTCTTTGCCTGAGCGTAATCTTTAGTTTAGTTTATATTATTTCTGCATATCTAGTCGATTAGTCGATAAGCTGACATGGCCAAGACTCTTTTCCAGGCTTGAGCTTAACCTCTTTTGCCCTTCCCCATTTTTACAGGAGGCCTCTGCCCAGCAGCAACTGGCGGCTGCCAACGATCAGCAACAGGTGCAGGTCCAGATAATGCCCGATGGCCATGGCAAGGTGATCAAGTACGAGATCTGCCGCAGTGTGTTGCCGGAGGATCAGCATCAGGACCAGGAGGACATGAGCGCGGAGTAACCGAAAGCGATTGTAAATACGTGGCAAGTGCAACAGCAACACACAAGTAGCGACAACATCAGTGCATAACAGAACACCAGCACACTCGGTCAGACACAGGCAGATCCCTCCCAGAAAGGTCCTCGGAGTGGGCGCATGCGTCGTAAGCGATTCCCTTAAATGTAATATTTTAGTTAGTCTTAGGTTAACGGTTAAGTAATCGCATTGTACACATAATAGTTAACTAGCGTTACAGACATGAACACACCTTATATAATATATATATATACAGACATATATAGATTTACGTATATAGAGTATCTGTTAATTTTTGCGATGCCTTGGTCGCATCTAAAAGAACAACCTGTATGAGTTGCAAGTTTTAAAGCGTTACGTTCAATTGGTTTTACGCATTACACGAGTTTAAATAACACAACTTATACACAAACTTATATTCAACTAGACGACAAATATTTATGATTAAGTATAAACTGTATACATATTAACACGAAACATAGACGACTACGGATAGTTCTAGACACTAGCAGGCGTTGCACTTGAATACGTAACCAGGGGTTCCAATTCAGACGTGGCGTGGGCGTTTGCGTGGTCGCGATCGTGGTCCGGGGTACTCCTGCCCAGAATCGCGTTGGTGCAGGCAGCACATTTCGAATGTACATACAAAAACCGAAGTTCGCTGCAACTCCAAGCAACTGAAGAACAGGTCTGACAGAGCGGAGAGATTCCAGTAGGAGTCCGGGGGCTAAGGAATGTGGAGTAGGTGCCTGGCACGAAAACTAGCTAACACAGATATCCAGATAGCGTAGGTGACTGCAATTGTTTGACAACCCAAAACCCAGCCTAGCAAACGAAAAACTTTACAAATTATTCAATGAAATTAGTACACAAGATGCAGCTACAAGAACAGACAGTCTTATAACCGACCCACATCATCCAATGCACGCTTGGCGACGTATATCACACTGTAAAAATTCTATGTTAAGTCTTAGGAACGCATTAAAAGCAGACGGAACATAATTGGTAATTATCGTAATCTGATAAATGAAACAATAAATAATGAACATACACTAAGCATATATTTTAATATGTAAGCCTTAAAGAAATACAAACGGAAAATATGAATTATAATAAACAAAACAACGTGTAATTGCAATTACTGACAAATTTCCTTCCAATATATTGTGGGGGTCTTATCTAAATTTGTTTACTAACCCGCCAAGGAGCTATCATTCATTCCTGATAAGAACAGCGCCACATACCGTGGGACTCATGGGATTTCGATCTTATAACCTTACGTTCTTGCTTACAAATTGGTTGTAATATCAATAGAGTTCAATCAAAACGGAAACTATTGCGTCAAGGTTTACAGTGAACTTGATCTGTGGAACCCAATTATATTGGACCTACTGTTTTGTCTTGCAGTTTATCGCCTCAAGAACTTTCTTTTGTCAAAAATGAATGAATAACTTATTTATAGATTTGCTGATTAAACAAACAAACGCAAATATTTGCCATATTGACTGTGAGTCAACTCAATTGCAATTTTTCATCAGTAAATCGTTTAGATCATTATGGTATGAGCGTGGAAAAGGAAATATCTGTGGTGTACAAAGTTTGTATGCAAATTTCGTAGAATGCCAAGGCAAAAGTAAAGTCAGATAAGATAGCACTAAAATGTGTGGAAATTCAACACAAATTTTTGCCTAATTGTTTTGCCTAAGCGGAAATTTAAGGTGGAGCTTTTTTGGTGTCTCCAAATGGAATCAAAAAGTAGACACGTTGGGCTGTAGGCTTTTGAGTTCCTTCCCCAATCAACGGATAAGCCCGAGCACGTCAAAACTGTCCAACATGCGCAGCTACCCGTAGCCATTACAATTCATTCACCGCCGTAACTTTTAATTGTTTATAATTTTTTGAGATACAAGTGAATAATATATGCGCCAAGTTATGTACGTGACTGGGCCTCTTCATGCCCATATGGGCATCGGTTGAGTCAGTTGGATAAATCGGCCGTAAGAGAATGTCGTTTGCAAGTCTGCCCTAAAAGTGCATTGTGCACTGGCAGTAAAAAACATTTTCGGATATCTCGGCATTTCGGCCAACTGCCAAATAAGGGCTGACATGGACACGTTACCTTGATGTGCATTTCGGCTTATTGTTAAATTAAAATTAATTGAACTTGAGGCTACGCGACAGCCGAAACTTGCGCATAAATTTCGAGCACGCCTCTGTTGCCGTTTCGGTCTCAGAATTTAATTTCAATTCCAAGGAAACGCTGTGAGATGAGATGTCATCATCCCCACACTCGATACAGCGATCTGCTTGAATGTGACTCCCTAATTAGTCAGTCCCCAATGTTTTCCCGACGCACTGCACCCAGTGGCCCAGTTCCCAATTGCCATTTGATCTGAATTGCATCGTGCTCCAGATCCAGTTGCAATTTTTATGCCCATGCCCATGTCGGCGGTTTGTGCTGTGAATTGCTAAGCAGGTTTCACTGTGGCCGCTTTTATTTTCCACTTTAATTTTGCATTTGTGTCTTACTTCTATTTGTGTGATTTTATTTTGTGTACCCGGCCAGCAAACAAGTTTTGATTGCTTTCGGCTTCGCATGAAAATGAGTTTCGGTGCTCGTTGCTCATACGCCGCGTATGACGTCAGACTCGAATTAAGCAAGCTTGGGCTTTGCTTTTCTTGATAGCTTGATAGCACTTAAAAATCGACCGGTATACACACTGGGTTTGGAGGTCGTCTCTTGGGGTTCTCTTTCATTATGCAGCTGATCTATGGCACGCCCCATTTGGACATATCCACTTTTAGATACTTTTCATTTGCACCCACCCAAAGGCCGTTATAAATCAATTGGGCCATTGAGTGTATCAAGCAGCATTATGGCGAATAAATCTTAGTCTGGCTTACTCAGCTCCGGCGGAGACGCCCACGTAGCGCCGTTGCCGCTTGGCTAGACGATCTCAAATGTATCGACAAACATGGCCAGCATGTGCTGACTAACCAGCCTCATGTGCTATTCAAATTTAATTGTGCATCCGACAGACACAGCCGTTAGCCCGGCCTAATTTGGGTTGCCAATTTCAGTTTGAGTCAATATTGTTTTGGGAGACTGTTTGCTACGCAGGCGCACGCCCTGCTAGTTCGTGCTGCTCTGTTTTGTGTACCTGACAAGCTCAAACAGAAAGACCGCCGGCATCGGGCATCAAACATCATACATCTGTTTGTTTTGTTTTTATTGGCACTTTCACAAAAGATCGATGCGGTGTGTGTGCGGTTTTTATTGGCTTATTGAACTCGGTCTTCGTGGCATACCGGCACAGGGGCGGATCTGGAGTAAAGTTTTGGGGGGAAAACTTTCAATTTAGGGTTCGAAACTATTTAAACAAGGGTGTTAATATTATATTTGTTAATAAAAATCTAAATATTTACTATATTTTATAAAGAGTAAATAATTTGTCTATTTAAATCTCAAAGTTAAAGAAACCTCGATTTGAGTTTGCATTGTTTTTCTTGGGAGTGTGGCGAGGGGGGTGGGAGTTTATTATCCACAGCTCTTGCTCCCGGTTTCAATCCGCACCTGGACCGACCTACGCATCCGTCGGATTCCGAAACCTACGCTGGCTTGACTTTAACTTTTTGCCTTATGCGAAGGCGTCGTTGCCTCTCGCTCCCGCCAATGGCTAAAAGCCCACAAAACGCTTCTGCCGGCGCTGCTGCTGCCGCTTTCGGCTGGCAGCGCTCAGATAGTCGGTCGAAAGCAGCTCCAGACGCGATCAGTACGTTTTGAGTTGTGCTTCGCGACGGTTGGTGATCTTAAAAGTGCTCCGAACACGAACGGTGCCCGCAGTCTCTCGGTTTTGGTGATTTTTTTGTGGCTCTGCATCTGTATCTGTATCTCGATCGGCTCCAACCCGCTGCATCCGTGCGTCTCTCCCCGCCTACCAGTGTGTTGGTGTATGTGAGCGAGCGTGCTAAGCTTTTTGCTCACACGTCAAACTGTCGCTAGTGTGCGTGTGTTGGTGCCTTAACTTGAACTATGACTAGCCTGTTCGTGTGCGTCTAATAAATATATTTAAAAATAAGTATTTCGACATTCCACCGAGGAAATTATGTGACACACCAGTCCAGATCCCAACAACCACGTCCCATTCATACGCGCAATATTATTAAAAAACCAACCGAGTGCCAAAAGCAACGAAGCGAGCATTAATTGTGATTAATAACAACGAAACAACCGAATACCGAACGCAAATTAGCCCCATAAGGCCACTCAAATAGCAATAGTCCAGCCAGGTGCATTATTCACGTCTCCCAAACGGTGATTACCTCATCTGTGTCAGCGCTCCGCCAGCAAAATGGTATCAAAAAGCAATAAAAAGAAACAAGTGTCTCAGCAGCAGGCGTCGACGTCGCAGTCGCCACCAGCAACATCGACCACAACATCAACGTCGTCGGCCGAGGCCACGAAGCTTACCAAAAAACTGGGACCCGATGCGTTCGCCACTCTGACCACCAGCAACAGCTCCAGTTCCATGCAGCACGAATCGGTGTCGTATGGTGAGCCTGTCGCCAGCACTTCGGCTGCTTCCCTTCCAGCGGCCGGAGTGAGGAGCTACAGCAGCCGGAGCCAGAGCCAGAGCCAGAGCCAGAGCAAGGCCTCCCAGTCGCACACCTCCTCCTACACAGAGCAATCTCAGTCCCAACTGCAGTCGGAGTCGCAGTACAGCAGCAAGATCTACCGGGATAATGCCAATCAGAAGATCATATCGTCGATCGATCTGCTCGAAAGTGAAAAGAAAGAGCCAGTATTCTCGGTGCCCATCGAGGTGGTGGAGATCACAACACCCACGCTATCCGTCTCCGCCAGCGGGGGCAGCGTATCGAAAATGTTCACGTCCTCGTCGATGTCTTCCAGCCAACAGCAGCAGCAAGCCAGTAGCTCCAGCTCGTACTTTGAAGCCACAACCAGTTCCAGTCGGAGCGCCAACGAAACGCTGATTGCGAGCGAGAGAGCCGATACGGCTACCGGTATGACATCATCCGTGCCGAGGAAACAGGTTGGCTTCGATACAGACACCAAGACAGTGACGAACACCAGCAGCAGCAGCAGCAGTAACATCAGCAGCAGCACAAACACAAATATAAACATCAGCGGGAACAGCAATTTGAGCGAATCTCAGAGCGTGCCAAAGCTGACGTCGCGCGGAACAGCTGATGTGCCCGCATCGGTGACGTTGCAAGGCTACCCCGAACCGGTTGCCTCGTCGTCTGGCGCGACCACAACAAAGGCGACGTCATCGACGCGACGCAACGATAAACTTGAAGTGGCGAGCACAGGCACTGCTGTTGACAGAGCTACGTCATCGTCAGTGGTCGACCAGCACAGGTCCAGCAAAGAGGTCAGCGAGAGTTCCGTCCTCAAAAGCTCTAGCAGCAGTAAGCAATCAAAGACATCGTCTAAAAAAGAGGTCTACGACGTGAAGACCAAGACCTGGACGGAGTACAGCGATGGCAGCGCCCAAGGACCCAGCAAGACACGGCCCACCTTCGAGCGGTATGTTAGCAAGGAATCCGACGGCAGCTCCAAAGTTACGTACAAGAAGAAGATATACGACAGACGCAACAATCGGTGGCGCGTGGTGGACGAACGGACGGTGGACAGTACCGCCGATACGGGCTATCCCGAAATAGTCGATGATGTCATCAACACAACAAGAACCACATACACCACCAAGGTGTATGACACGAAGCTCGGCAAGTGGACTGTTGTGGACGAGAAGTCGTTCACTGATACGAAAGCTTTCGTGCCCAATGACATTGCTCGTGAAATCGAGAAAGATAATACCGATGTTGCAAACATAACGACTACAACGGAGGTAACAAAGGTAAGTCGTTGATTGTGCGTGCCTGCGTGTGGGCTTTTTTTAGACCCTCCCAAAAGCAGAAACCTCAAATGCCAGTTTTGTGGGTGTGTGTTAAATTACGATACTAAGGAATTTTCCTTCAGATTTTTGATGCAAGCATCAACGACTGGCGCGTTTTGGACGAGAAGGTGCACACAGATGTCATTGAGAAGATCGTAGAGGCTCCCAAAAAGACCATTTACGTGGACGAGTTTGTGGAGATTGAGAAAAACACATCGATATTGGAGAACAATGAGAACATAACCCTGAACTTGAAAGAGACATCGAAACACAAAAATATTACCGAAAATATTTATGATGAAATCGATTATGTGCGCACTGATAAGAAACGCCTAGACGACTCAAGAACCGTGAGTAGATTAGTTAAGAAATCAAACTTAGGAATTTGTAAAATTCATTTTCATCCGTTAACAACTTTGGTTTTTCATTTTACGTTTTCACTTATTTAAAATAAATGCATTCATTTAAATTTAATGTAATATCTTGTATTCCCAGCGAGGAGTTGCAACAAACAAGTCATCAACACATAGTGAAAGGTGCATCTGTGAAATTTGCACATGCGGGTATGATTTGAAGGTCTTTATTTGTGTTGTTGTTTTCTAAAAGCAGTACCATTATTTTAGGCGACATCATTGCTCAAGCAGTACAACGAAATCTTCGGAAAAAACTATCATTCAAACTGATGGCAAGTGTAAAATAATAATTAAAATTAATATTATGTGATTATCCTTTTTGTATTATTACAGATAGCGTAGACGATGCATATACGAGGATACGTACAAATACATGGTCGAAAAAAGATAATGGAAACATTCCCAAGCAAAACGAAGACATTCTAGTGGACTACATAGTCATAAAGAAACCAGAAGACAATTTAAGACCTGAAGGAGATTTTACAGTGCCACCGAAAGAGCCATACAAGCCGGGAGAGAAACGTGAGAAAATTGTGCATACCGACAACCTTCGTACTGAGGGAGAAATGACTTTCGTAGAAAAAGAGGAATATCAATACACCGTCCGACCTGGATATGTAAAGCCCACAGACAATCTTAAGCCCGAAGGCGAGTTCTATAGTCCAGAAAAGCCGAAATATCAACCAGGAGATAGGCCTACTCAAGTGCGACACAAAGACAACCTAAGGCCAGAAGGCGAGTTTTATACCCCCGAGAAACCGGGCTACATCCCAGCCGACCGCCCAACCCAAAAGAAACCCATTGATAACCTCAAGCCGGAAGGAGAATTTTCTTCACCAGAAAAACAAACCTACCGTCCAGCGGAGAAACCTGAAAAAATTGTTCGCAGTGACAACTTACGGACTGAAGGAGAAATGACGTTTGTGGAGAGAGAAGAATATCAGTTCGTAGTACGACCGGGACAAGTCAAGCCCTCGGATAACCTAAGACCAGAGGGTGAATTTTATAGTCCTGAGAAACCAAAATATCGCCCTGGCGACCGTCCATCTCAAGTTCGTCCTGTTGACAATCTGAAACCTGAAGGTGATTTCTATACTCCCGAACAGCCAGGGTTTAAGCCTGCAGAGCGCCCAGTACAGAAGAAGCCGGAGGACAATCTTAAACCAGAAGGGGAATTCGTAAGGAACGACAAGCCAGTTTACAAACCGGCTGATAGGGCTGAAAGAATTATTCGAAAAGATAATCTTCGCACGGAAGGAGAAATGACATTCGTCGAAAGGGAAGAATATAAATATGTAGTTCGTCCTGACCAAGTAAAACCAAATGACAACCTTAAACCAGAAGGAGAGTTTTACAGTCCTGATAGGCCAAAATTCCGCCCCGGGGAAAGACCTGCTCAAATAAGACCAGAAGACAATCTTAGGCCTGAAGGTGATTTCTATACCCCGGAAAAACCTGGTTTCAGAGCCGCTGAGAGACCCGTACAGAAAAAACCAGATGACAACTTAAAGCCCGAGGGAGAATTTTACAGTCCAGAGAAACCAAAGTACAGACCAGGCGAAAGACCTTCTCAAGTCAAACCTGAAGATAATCTAAGACCTGAGGGTGAGTTCTATACACCTGAAAAGCCAGGATTCCGACCCGCTGAGAGACCAGTTCAGAAAAAGCCGCAAGACAACTTAAAACCTGAAGGCGAATTTGTAAAGCCTGAGAAACAAGTTTACAAGCCGGCAGATAAAACTGAAAGAATAATTCGAACAGACAATCTTCGAACAGAAGGAGAAATGACTTTTGTCGAGAGGGAAGAATATCAGTATGTGGTGTGTCCCGATCAAGTTAAACCAACGGACAACCTCAAACCCGAAGGAGAATTTTACAGTCCTGAGAAACCGAAGTACAGACCAGGCGAAAGACCTTCTCAAGTGAGACCTGAAGATAATCTCAAGCCAGAGGGTGAGTTCTACACACCCGAGAAGCCCGGGTTCCGACCAGCTGAGAGGCCTGTTCAGAAGAAACCAGAAGATAACCTCAAACCCGAAGGAGAATTCTACGGTCCTGAAAAGCCGAAGTACAGACCAGGCGAAAGACCTTCTCAGGTCAGACCAGAGGACAATCTCAGGCCAGAGGGTGAGTTTTACACACCGGAGAAGCCAGGTTTCCGCCCAGCTGAGAGGCCAGTTCAGAAAAAGCCTCAAGACAACTTGAAACCGGAAGGCGAATTTGTAAAGCCTGAGAAACAAGTTTACAAACCGGCCGACAAAACTGAAAAAATTATTCGAAAAGATAATCTTCGCACGGAGGGAGAAATGACTTTTGTCGAGAGGGAAGAGTATCAATATGTGGTGCGTCCTGACCAAGTTAAACCAACGGACAACCTTAAACCCGAAGGAGAATTTTACAGTCCTGAGAAACCGAAGTACAGACCAGGCGAAAGACCTTCTCAAGTGAGACCTGAAGATAATCTCAAGCCAGAGGGCGAGTTCTACACTCCCGAGAAGCCTGGATTCCGACCCGCTGAGAGGCCTGTTCAGAAGAAACCAGAAGACAACCTCAAACCCGAAGGAGAATTCTACGGTCCTGAAAAGCCGAAGTACAGACCAGGCGAAAGACCTTCTCAAGTCAGACCAGAGGATAATCTTAGGCCCGAGGGTGAGTTTTATACACCGGAGAAACCAGGTTTCAGACCCGCTGAGAGGCCTGTTCAAAAGAAACCCGAAGACAACCTCAAACCCGAAGGAGAATTCTACAGTCCTGAGAAACCACAGTACAAGCCAGGCGAAAGACCTTCTCAAGTGAGACCTGAAGATAATCTCAAGCCCGAGGGCGAGTTCTACACACCCGAGAAGCCCGGATTCCGTCCAGCTGAGAGGCCTGTTCAGAAGAAACCAGAAGATAACCTCAAACCCGAAGGAGAATTCTACGGTCCTGAAAAGCCGAAGTACAGACCAGGCGAAAGACCTTCTCAAGTCAGACCAGAGGACAATCTCAGGCCAGAGGGTGAGTTTTATACACCGGAGAAGCCAGGTTTCCGACCCGCGGAAAGACCTGTCCAAAAGAAGCCGCAGGATAACCTCAAGCCCGAAGGCGAATTTGTAAAGCCCGAAAAACAGATTTACAGGCCAGCAGAAAAAACTCAACAAATTATAAGGAAAGATAATCTTCGCACGGAGGGAGAAATGACGTTTGTCGAGAGGGAAGAGTATCAATATGTGGTGCGTCCTGACCAAGTTAAACCAACGGACAACCTCAAGCCGGAAGGAGAATTCTACAGTCCTGAGAAACCGAAGTACAGACCAGGCGAAAGACCTTCTCAAGTCAGACCAGAGGATAATCTCAGGTCAGAGGGTGAGTTCTATACACCAGAGAAACCAGGTTTCCGACCGGCTGAGAGGCCTGTTCAAAAGAGGCCAGAAGACAACCTCAAACCCGAAGGAGAATTCTACAGTCCTGAAAAACCGAAGTACAAGCCCGGCGAAAGACCTTCCCAAGTCAGACCAGAGGATAATCTCAAGCCAGAGGGCGAGTTCTACACTCCCGAGAAGCCTGGATTCCGACCCGCTGAGAGGCCTGTTCAGAAGAAACCAGAAGATAACCTCAAACCCGAAGGAGAATTCTACGGTCCTGAAAAGCCGAAGTACAGACCAGGCGAAAGACCTTCTCAAGTCAGACCAGAGGACAATCTCAGGCCAGAGGGTGAGTTTTACACACCGGAGAAGCCAGGTTTCCGACCCGCGGAAAGACCTGTCCAAAAGAAGCCGCAGGATAACCTCAAGCCCGAAGGCGAATTTGTAAAGCCCGAGAAACAAGTTTACAAGCCGGCCGAGAAAACTGAAAAAATTATCCGAAAAGATAATCTTCGAACGGAGGGAGAAATGACTTTTGTCGAGAGGGAAGAGTACCAATATGTGGTGCGACCTGACCAAGTTAAACCAACGGACAACCTCAAACCCGAAGGAGAATTCTACAGTCCTGAGAAACCTAAGTACAAGCCAGGCGAAAGACCTTCTCAAGTGAGACCAGAGGATAATCTCAAGCCAGAGGGCGAGTTCTACACACCGGAGAAGCCAGGTTTCCGACCGGCAGAGAGGCCTGTTCAAAAGAAGCCAGAAGACAACCTCAAACCCGAAGGAGAGTTCTACAGTCCTGAAAAACCGAAGTACAAACCTGGCGAAAGACCTTCCCAAGTCAGACCAGAGGATAATCTCAAGCCAGAGGGCGAGTTCTACACACCGGAGAAGCCAGGTTTCCGACCCGCAGAAAGACCTGTCCAAAAGAAGCCGCAGGATAACCTCAAGCCCGAAGGCGAATTTGTAAAGCCCGAGAAACAAGTTTACAAACCGGCCGAGAAAACTGAAAAAATTATCCGAAAAGATAATCTTCGAACGGAGGGAGAAATGACTTATGTCGAGAGGGAAGAGTATCAATATGTGGTGCGACCTGACCAAGTTAAACCAACGGACAACCTCAAACCCGAAGGAGAATTCTACAGTCCTGAGAAACCTAAGTACAAGCCAGGCGAAAGACCTTCTCAAGTGAGACCTGAAGATAATCTTAAGCCAGAGGGCGAGTTCTATACACCGGAGAAACCAGGTTTCCGACCTGCTGAGAGGCCTGTTCAAAAGAAGCCAGAAGACAACCTCAAACCCGAAGGAGAATTCTACAGTCCTGAAAAACCGAAGTACAAACCTGGCGAAAGACCTTCTCAAGTGAGACCTGAAGATAATCTTAAGCCAGAGGGCGAGTTCTATACACCGGAGAAACCAGGTTTCCGACCTGCTGAGAGGCCTGTTCAAAAGAAGCCAGAAGACAACCTCAAACCCGAAGGAGAATTCTACAGTCCTGAAAAACCGAAGTACAAACCTGGCGAAAGACCTTCCCAAGTCAGACCAGAGGATAATCTCAAGCCAGAGGGTGAGTTTTACACACCGGAGAAGACAGGTTTCCGACCCGCGGAAAGACCTGTCCAAAAGAAGCCACAGGATAACCTCAAGCCCGAAGGCGAATTTGTAAAGCCCGAGAAACAAGTTTACAAGCCGGCCGAGAAAACTGAAAAAATTATCCGAAAAGATAATCTTCGAACGGAGGGAGAAATGACTTTTGTCGAGAGGGAAGAGTATCAATACGTGGTCCGTCCTGACCAAGTTAAACCAACGGACAACCTCAAACCCGAAGGAGAATTCTACAGTCCTGAGAAACCTAAGTACAAGCCAGGCGAAAGACCTTCTCAAGTGAGACCTGAAGATAATCTTAAGCCAGAGGGCGAGTTCTATACACCGGAGAAACCAGGTTTCCGTCCGGCTGAGAGGCCTGTTCAAAAAAAACCAGAAGACAACCTCAAACCCGAAGGAGAGTTCTACAGTCCTGAAAAACCGAAGTACAAACCTGGCGAAAGACCTTCCCAAGTCAGACCAGAAGATAATCTCAAGCCAGAAGGTGATTTCTACACACCGGAGAAGCCAGGCTTCCGACCCGCGGAAAGACCAGTTCAAAAGAAGCCGCAGGATAACCTCAAGCCCGAAGGCGAATTTGTAAAGCCCGAGAAACAAGTTTACAAGCCGGCCGAGAAAACTGAAAAAATTATCCGAAAAGATAATCTTCGCACGGAGGGAGAAATGACGTTTGTCGAGAGGGAAGAGTATCAATATGTGGTACGTCCTGACCAAGTTAAGCCAGTGGACAACCTCAAACCCGAAGGAGATTTCTACAGTCCTGAGAAGCCTAAGTACAGACCAGGCGAAAGACCTTCTCAAGTCAGACCAGAAGATAATCTTAAGCCAGAGGGCGAGTTCTACACACCCGAGAAGCCCGGATTCCGACCCGCTGAGAGGCCTGTTCAGAAGAAACCAGAAGATAACCTTAAGCCAGAAGGCGAATTTGTAAAGCCCGAAAAACAGGTTTACAAGCCAGCAGAAAAAACTCAACAAATTATAAGGAAAGATAATCTTCGCACAGAGGGAGAAATGACGTTTGTCGAGAGGGAAGAGTATCAATATGTGGTACGTCCTGACCAAGTTAAACCAACGGACAACCTCAAGCCGGAAGGAGAATTCTACAGTCCTGAGAAACCGAAGTACAGACCAGGCGAAAGACCTTCTCAAGTCAGACCAGAGGATAATCTCAGGCCAGAGGGTGAGTTCTATACACCAGAGAAACCAGGTTTCCGACCGGCGGAGAGGCCTGTTCAAAAGAAGCCAGAAGACAACCTCAAACCCGAAGGAAAATTCTACAGTCCTGAAAAACCGAAGTACAAACCTGGCGAAAGACCTTCCCAAGTTAGACCAGAGGACAATCTCAGGCCAGAGGGCGAGTTCTATACACCGGAGAAACCAGGTTTCCGACCGGCTGAGAGGCCTGTTCAGAAGAAGCCGGAAGATAACCTGAAACCCGAAGGAGAATTCTACAGTCCTGAGAAACCGAAGTACAAGCCAGGCGAAAGACCTTCTCAAGTTAGACCAGAGGATAATCTTAAGCCAGAGGGCGAGTTCTACACTCCCGAGAAGCCTGGATTCCGACCCGCTGAGAGGCCTGTTCAGAAGAAACCAGAAGATAACCTCAAACCCGAAGGAGAATTCTATGGTCCTGAAAAGCCGAAGTACAGACCAGGCGAAAGACCTTCTCAAGTCAGACCAGAGGACAATCTTAGGCCAGAGGGTGAGTTTTACACACCGGAGAAGCCAGGTTTCCGACCCGCAGAAAGACCTGTCCAAAAGAAGCCGCAGGATAACCTCAAGCCCGAAGGCGAATTTGTAAAGCCCGAGAAACAAGTTTACAAGCCGGCCGAGAAAACTGAAAAAATTATCCGAAAAGATAATCTTCGCACGGAGGGAGAAATGACTTTTATCGAGAGGGAAGAGTATCAATACGTGGTGCGTCCTGACCAAGTTAAGCCAACGGACAACCTCAAACCCGAAGGAGAATTTTACAGTCCTGAGAAACCGAAGTACAAGCCAGGCGAAAGACCTTCTCAAGTGAGACCTGAAGATAATCTCAAGCCAGAGGGCGAGTTCTACACTCCCGAGAAGCCTGGATTCCGACCCGCTGAGAGGCCTGTTCAGAAGAAACCAGAAGATAACCTCAAACCCGAAGGAGAATTCTACGGTCCTGAAAAGCCGAAGTACAGACCTGGCGAACGACCTTCTCAAGTCAGACCAGAGGACAATCTCAGGCCAGAGGGTGAGTTTTACACACCGGAAAAGCCAGGTTTCCGACCCGCGGAAAGACCTGTCCAAAAGAAGCCGCAGGATAACCTCAAGCCCGAAGGCGAATTTGTAAAGCCCGAAAAACAGGTTTACAAGCCAGCAGAAAAAACTCAACAAATTATAAGGAAAGATAATCTTCGCACGGAGGGAGAAATGACGTTTGTCGAGAGGGAAGAGTATCAATATGTGGTGCGTCCTGACCAAGTTAAGCCAACGGACAACCTCAAACCCGAAGGAGAGTTTTACAGTCCTGAGAAACCGAAGTACAAGCCAGGCGAAAGACCTTCTCAAGTGAGACCTGAAGATAATCTCAAGCCTGAGGGTGAGTTCTACACACCGGAGAAGCCCGGATTCCGACCCGCTGAAAGGCCTGTTCAGAAGAAACCAGAAGATAACCTCAAACCCGAAGGAGAATTCTACGGTCCTGAAAAGCCGAAGTACAGACCAGGCGAACGACCTTCTCAAGTCAGACCAGAGGACAATCTCAGGCCAGAGGGTGAGTTTTACACACCGGAGAAGCCAGGTTTCCGACCGGCTGAGAGGCCTGTTCAGAAGAAGCCGGAAGATAATCTCAAACCTGAAGGAGAATTCTACAGTCCTGAGAAACAGAAATACAAACCAGGCGAAAGACCTTCTCAAGTTAGACCAGAGGATAATCTCAGGCCAGAGGGTGAGTTCTACACACCGGAGAAGCCAGGATTTAAGCCTGCTGATAGACCGGTTCAAAAGAAGCCCCTCGACAACTTAAAGTCGGAAGGGGACTTTTACAGCCCAGAAAGACAGCCCTACAGGCCAGGAGAACGTCCATTACAAGTTCGCCCTGAGGATAATTTGAAACCTGAAGGAAATTTCTATGCTCCTGAAAAGCAAGGATTTAGGCCAGGAGAACGACCAGTACCGAAGAAGCCCGTTGATAATCTAAAGCCTGAAGGACAATTTGTTCAACGAGAAAAACAAGTTTATAAGCCTGCGGAAAAAACTGAGAGGTTTATCCAAAAGGACAACTTACGTACTGAAGGTGAGATGACCTTTGTAGAGAAAAAGGAATATCAGTATGTTATCAGACCTGATCAAGTAAAACCTACTGACAACCTGAAGCCTGAAGGGGAATTCTACAGCCCCGAAAAATCGAAGTATAAACCTGCTGAGCGGGTAACCATTGTGAGGCAGAAGGATAACTTAAAAGTTGAGGGAGAGTTCTATGTCCAAGAAAAGCAGGACTTCAAGCCTGTTGAACGACCTAAACAGAAAAAACCTCTTGACAATTTGAAACCAGAGGGTGTGATGTCTATGCCAGAGAAAGTAAAATATAAGCCTGCGGATAAGGTGACAAGAGTTATTCATAAGGACAACCTTCGCAGTGAAGGAGAAATGACTTTCACAGAAAAAACTGAATACCAGCATGTTATTAGACCTTCTCTAGTAAAGCCAGAAGATAACTTAAAAACAACTGGTAAGTTTTACGTACCAGAAAAGACCACTCTTTCAAATGGTGATCGCCCAGAAGCAGTTAGGCCTAAAGACAATCTCAAGCCGGAAGGCGTTATGTACACCCCTGATAAACCCAAATATGAGCCAGCTTCACGTCCAGAACAAAAGAAATATGTTGATAACTTGAAACCGGAGGGTAAGATGCACATCCCAGAAAAAGAAGAATTCCGGCCGGCAGATAGGGTAAAGACGGTTATTAGAAAAGACAATTTAAAAACCGAGGGTGAAATGACTTTTACCCAAAAAGAGGAATACCATCACGTTAAACGGCCAGAGCAAGTAAAGCCAAGTGATAACCTTAAAGTTGAAGGTGAGTTTTATACACCGGATAAGACTGCCTTTAGGCCCGCTGAACGTCCAATACAAAAGAAACCTAAGGACAACCTTAAGCCCGAGGGGGAATTTTATAAGAGGACCGACCAAAGCGAGACCGATAGCACGACAGTTACTGAAACTATTAAACGAGAAACTCCAAAACGTCCCGTCGACAATCTGAAGCTAGAAGGGTCTATGACAGTAACCAGAAGGGATGACTATAAAAGTACGGCCAACAAAACAACCGTCGATAAAATTCAACGCGTTCAAAAAATCAACCACAACAGTTCATCTATTACTTTGGGAAGTGATACTGCCATCCTTAAAACGACCAATCAAATGAATTATGTATCAGGAAAGGACGCAGTTAAACAAGTCGATTCCAACAGCCAAAACCCTGTGGACGGTTTAATTGTTGTATCCACAAAGAAGGTAACTACTGTGATTGGAGGGCGCCACAAGAAAGAACCTGAAACTGAATATGTCAAGAGGCCAGCAAGGATAAACGTAATCGAAAATGTTGCTAAGAATACAACAACGACGAACATTGAGAATACCCAAAACATTCACAGTGAAAGCACGTCGATGCAAAGAAACCACAATATTGTCCAAAATGCTTCACTGACTACGGAAAATATCAGGGGATCAGATGTATCCAGAAACGCTATTGAAACCAATCGTAGAAATGTCACCGGAAATATCGCCGGAGACATTAGATCCGAAGTGGTGTCAGGTGGAGCAATCTCTGATACTGTAACAGGAAATTCTTCATCGACTCGCATAGTTTCAGGTAGAAATGTCACCCGAAATGTGACTGAGGATTCGACCTCTAGAGTAGTGTCAGGAAGAAACGTCTCCAGCAATATAACTGGTGAGTCAACCACCCGTTTGGTTTCCGGAAGAAATGTCTCCAATAACATAATTGGTGATACCACAAGCCGAGTGATGTCTGGTAGCACTGTAGGACAAAACATCACCGACGAATCAGCGTCGCGAGTGGTCTCTGGTGGCCGAAGTTCCAGCAATAATATTATAACTGGAAGCTCAACCTCGCACATGAGCACTTCGAAAAACTTTCATCACCGAAAAAGCGAGTTCTCCTCAGAAGCCGATGTCTCGAATACGGTCTTCCATCGCAAGAGCGTGTCCAGCGATTTGAATACGGGCAATGGCAGCCTGACCTCCAACGGAAAGATGCAACGCAAAAGTATACTCAATCTACACGAGCAACCCTCTAGTACCACAACCTATGGAGGAGAGCGTCAAAGCTATAGCAGCATCCATCGCCAGAATCGAGACTCTGACGCGAATAGTACCTTTACAAGCGAGCGTCGAACCTGCAATGTGCATAAGGAAAACAGGGAGCACAACGCCAAGAACTCATCCTCCATGTCCCGCATAATTTCTGGTGGGGGTACTGGGACCGAAAGCAGATCGAATGTCGAACGCTCAACGGTCACACGCACCCAAGTGTCGGGGGCTGGCATCGATTTTCCGTCTCAATCTCACTCCCACGTCGGAAGCCATGCGACCCGTCACCGAGGAAGTCAGCATGTGTCCAGTTTAGGCGGTGGCATCGATTTCCCCTCCTACAGTGCTCACGGACAGCACGAGCGAGTGGTCACCCGCCGTGGCAATCAGTCCTCAATTAGTTTGGGCAACGACAAATTCACCGGCTCCAGTCTGTACAAGAGCGAATACATTACTGCCCCAAAAACGACGTGTGCTGTGCATAAGATTAAACAAGGTGCATTCCAACATACCAGGAGTACTCAAGAACACAAGTTCTTTAAGACCTCAAACTAACAAAGCCACCCTACGAGAATATATATATCTTTTGCCTTACTAATACACATATCCCATATTAATAATAAGCTAAGCTTCCATGACAATATATGTTTTATACAGTATACAAACCAATCCGAAAATTAAAATTAACAATAAAAATACATTTTTGAATCGAAGTAAATGTTTTGGGAGCAAGAGTGGGTTGTTTTTTAGGATCAACTGGAGATGACGCTTTATTGAGAGTTTAAAAGATGCTAGTGTCGTTTTAAAGGCTAGTATGTATAGGTAACTGTATATTTAAACGTTAAAAAAATCCGCTCGACTATATATATAAACAATGAGTTCTATCTATAACATACTCGTACATTTTGTTTTTTATTTGTATAATGGTGTACATATGCAGTTTATTGTTTTTCTCTGTTCAATTTGTCTATATCTTATAATGCATATTAACACAATAAATATTTCTCTTTTTATATTCGTACATATGTATATTTATATATTCATCGATTTACTTAACTTCTATCTTGTATATAACATAAATTATTATTATTTTTGTTTGGAAGACATTTGTTCGCTTGTTTGGAAGACTTGCGTTTCGTTTCTTAAAGACTAATATTATTGTTTTTAATTTCGTTTCGAGTGTATGGTATTTATTCAACTAGATCTTCGGAATTTTGGGCATAGCCAAATGATGACATAGCATCTGGAAGACTTGCCATGCCCAAAAGTGCAAAGAACCATAAACTATGAAGATAGATCTCCCGATTGGATAAGTTACATTTAACTTAAAACGGAAGACCGATTTCAAATGCATTTATCAGGGCATTTCCCGAATCGTAGATACCGATAACGCCAAAGAGCACGCCGAGCCCGATGATGAGGTAGTCTTTGGCTATTTCCTTCTGATCGAGCAGGTGCCCCTTGATCTTGATGTGGAAATAGCACGGCCAGATAAAGCTTAGCATAGTGCCAGTGAAGCTGCCAATGAAACCCATCAGAATGGAAAAGTGGGGAATGAAGATGGCCATTAGTATGGTGGACACGATGACGCCGACGCGGAAGCCCAGGCCCCAAACCTTCAGTTCCCCGTCCAGATTCCAGATGGTTGGAAATTTGGTCTTTGGCGGACCTCTAAAGAAGTTGCGCTCGAGCAGCTCGCAGGCAGCGTAGTAGGGCAAGGGATAGCTAAGAAGGGCCTTGATGACCAGGAAGAAGTTCACCATGCCCTTAAAACCCTGCGAGTGCAGATTGTTGGTGATCACCTGCTGTGTGTCGTTCTGGAAGGTCAGAAAGCAGATGTACCCGAATCCGGCCTTAAACACAGCAGCGGCGATGTGAGACCAGTCCAGCATCCAGTTAAACTTGGAGCGGTCGATCATGTTGCCCTCGAGAGTGGGCAGAAAGATCTGCGAGGTGTACGAGAAGACGATCACACCCAGCGAGATGGGAAAGTTCTCCATGTCGATGCTGAAGCGGACCTTGGACCAGCCCCAGTCGCCGATCTGCAGCAGGCAATAGCCGAGGATTACGGCGTTTATCACGATGTGCGACATTGTGCACCAGAACGACAGGGTCGATACCATTTTCAGTGACTTCAGGAAGCCCATGGGCAGCAGAAAGATGCCCACGAACAGCATCCAGGATCGCGAGTCGAACGAGCCCTGCGGATACGTTCCGGCCAATAGGTCGCCGCACACCACCACGTACAGGATGCAGGTCATCAGGAGCTCGATGAGCTGGGCAATGCTGACGGCCCGGGCGCCCAACTTGGGTCCGAAACATACCTTGGCAATGGCCACGTAGCTGTCGCGCACTCTCACCATTTGGCCCGTTGCCGGATCCGGTTCATATAGACACTGCACCAGAACCTTGCCCGTGTAGCAGCAGATGTGCGCTATGCCCACCATGGCCACGATGGCCCAGTAGCCGCCATGGAGTACGGCGAAGGGCAGGGATACGATGAACATGCCCTGGATGGCGTTTGTCACGTTCCAGCCCGCCTGGAACTCGTCGATCTTGCAGCCGCCGCCACCCTCTCCCTCGCAGACAAACGAGCTGCCCTCCGAGGCGATGCTGCCTTGCCTGGAAAGAAAGGATTAGGATTTGGACTTGGGTTAGGATTGGGATTGCGGCACTCACCTAAAGCCATCCGTCTGCTGATACCTGCCGTCGTACTCATTGAAGGATGTGCTCTGGTACTCGTTCCTGTACTCACCGCCATTGCCATCGCCATCGCCCTCGGCCTCGTTCGCCCAGCTTCCGGCATTCCGGAAGGGATTCGAGCTCATCTCGGTGGTCTGGTCGCCGCCGTCCATGCCCGCCTCCATGGACTTCTGTTGGGCCTGCTGGTTGTGGTGCTGCTGCGTGCCGCCCGGCGGTTGCTCGTAGTCCTTGCGCTGTGGAATTTGCTGTCGGGCCGTTTGCCCGGCCACGTTCAGTATGTTTTTCAGGGGCGGCAATGGCGTGGCTTTCAATTTGGCTATGAATGACATGTTGGATGCTGGATGCTATATACGGCCCTGATGATGGTGGGATGACTTATGTTGGTGGTGCTGGTGCTGGTGGTGGTGGTGGGGGTGGTTGTCGGATGGCGGCGGCCGCGGTGGTGTCAAGAAGGCGTGCGACGCTTGGCTCGAATGGGCTGAAGTTTATCGATTTTGCCTATGGTCAAAATTTGCTGTAACAATTTCGTTGGCCTCCAGCTTCCGCAAATGGTTCTCGAATATCTCTACAGTGGTCACATTTAGTTTAACAATCTAGAAAATAAAACTGAATTTTGTCTCAGATTTGGGTGATGATATCGACTTCTTGGCGCCCTTGTGCGAATGGAGCACTTTAATCATGCGAATCTCGGATACTTGCACATCCTGCTCACTCGAATCTCGATGTCCAGCTTAAAACCAGCTAAAGCAGCCGAATCGAATGCGGAAATTAGTTGAAAAAGTCTTGTGAATTTTATGTAACGTGGGAAATCTGCGGCCGTGCGAATGTGAAAAGAAAATCTTTGCACTCCAACCTGATGGAACTGGCAGTGCGCAGGCTCCGGTCGTGTATATATCGGGTGGCTGTGTCAGTGTCATATGGTCACGGTCCAGTCGCGTTCCACCCCGAAGCTGTCATTAGAAAGTTGTGTTCCACATTGGTGACATTGAAATCGATTATGCCATTCGATTACTTAGCTTATACTTTATTTCGTTTCTTTTCTTTTTCATCGTTTTTATAAAGTTCTAATAATTGTACAATTCAAAGAGTTCTAGGTCTAGGTATGGGTTAGGGGGGTTGGAAGAACATTGTGGGTGCGGGGGCAATCTTAAGACTACCTAAACCACTCTCTAAACTCTAGTTACCAAAATTACAAATGTCTGATCGGATTCAGTTGCTGTAGCAGGTCTTGCGCACTCCTGCCAGAATGTTGCTAATCTCATCATCTTTGCGCTGCTGCTGCTCGAATAGCATCTCGCCCACTCCAACTCCGACGCCCACTCCCACGCCCACGCCCACACCCACGCCCACCATGCCGGGTCCTGGTCCGAAGTGATGATGGTGCTGCATGGAGGCAGCTGCCGGATTGGATGAGGTCACCGTCTGGTTGGGTGGCGCCGACAGGGAAGGCGGAGCCGAGTGCGAAGCCTGTTGCTGCTGTACTGGCGCCTGGTTCTGCGGCTGGCCCTGGGCCATTCCCTCGTAGCCGCCATAGTTGCCGTAGTGCAGGTAGCCACTCTGCATGGGCTGTGCTCCGTAGGCACCGCTTGTCGCCTGCTGGAACGGCACCGCCAGCTGGAGCGGGAAGGCGGCCAGCGAGGTGGGTGGATACGGGAGCTGGGTGTAGTAGCTGGCCGCAGTTGCCGGCAGCATGGCATTACTGTAGGCCTCCGCCTCGTAGTCGTCGTAGTTCTGATTCGTGTCCGGGTACTTAAGGCACTTCTGTGTGCCCCCCGACTCCGCAGTGGGTTCTTTGTGCTCCACAACAGCCGGTGTGGAGTAGTCCAGGTCGTTGCTTTGATAGCGCAGGAAGTCCTCGTATTGCATCCCGTAGGCATTGGCGCTGGGTAGATACTCATTGCCGGACAGCTCGTTCATGCTGGGTCTCAGATTTCCGCAGTTATCCGCCATGGAGACCGTGTAGCTGCCCATCTCGCTGGAGGGAATGGGTCCGGCGGAGCTGGAGGGTGTGCTCGTGGCCAAATTGCAATGCTGCTGCAGAACACTAATGCTGTTCCGCATCGAGGAGCTGGTGTCATCTTCCGAAACGGACACTGGTGGGTAAAATGTGCCCTTCACGGAGTGACCATGATCCAGCAATCCCCGATTGTTGCATGTCACGTACATTCCCCGAGCTGCCACCACCGCCACCGAAGTGGGCGCCAGGGGATAGGATGCGGCGTACAGACCCTGCTGGGATTGCCCCTGCGTCTGGCCCTTGCTCTTGTCCTCGGACTTGGAGAGCTTTTCCTGGCGGGACTTGGCCGCTCGACTGGTCGGCGGCTTGGTTAACTTCTTGAGCAACAGGGAACTGTCGTAGCCGCCTCCCGTGGGCGACGTCTCATTGAGTAGGGCGGGCGGACAGTTGGCGGCCAGCGACTCGATCTGCTCCGTGCTGTCCGCATTGCTGTAGCAGTCCACGGAGCTGGGCGAATACGTGGGCTTCAGCGGCTGTTCGTAGAGGCCACCCGGAGTGGCCTGGTTGTGATTCTGGTTCGTGGAGTTGCAGGTGCTTTCGTCGGTGGGCGAGGTGTAGCTGGAGGAGGCGGTGGCCAGCGGAGGTGTGGCCAGCTTGGGGTTCGATTTGGGACCACCACCGCCCGGATTGGGCGAACTCTCGCTCTGCTCCTTGCCGCCCGGCTGCATGGCCCGCAGCTTGGACTGCTTGCGCCGCCGGGGTCTGTACTTGTAGTTCGGGTGCTCCGTCATGTGAATCACCCGCAGGCGCTCCGCCTCCTCCACGTAGGGCCTTCGATCTTGCGGCGTTAGCGAGCGCCATTTTTTTCCTGCAGGGCGTAAATAGAGATATATATGAAGGGATTAGCTATTAATTATCGCTGATTAGCATTCTAAAAGTATTAAAAATATTTACACCCCTTATATTTCAATCGCAAGTCAATGCAAATAAAGTGCAATTGAATCGATTTATATTTGCTGAGGAGTGAGCACACGTTTTTCTAATATCCAATATGCCCCTAAAGTTATAGTTTAATTTCTATTAATATGCATACAAAAGGATTATAATGGAGTATTACTGGATGTACATTTGTATTCCCTTTGCTGAAGATACTATAACTTTAGTCAAAAGTTTGTAAAGCAGTAAAGGATGTATATATATTATTGATAACTCAACTTTTTTATAATTTAGAAACAGCGTGATTTATAACCCTTACCCGTTTTTGCTCTAAATTGGTCAAAACAAGACCCACAGCTTCAGAAATAACTGTTTTGTGCAGCTGAGGACCTAAACTTTCCGATTTTTACATTTTTTATAAGGGGTAACATTGTCATTTTTGGCGAAAACCGTAAAAATGAAAATTTTGAGCTGTGAATGCCACTCGATTGGAAATTTTATATCGAATTCAAAGAGGTATGCCATTCCAACATGAGACCATTATTTCTCAGGGTTTTGATCAAAAAACTGAGAAAAAGGTTGATTTTTCCGGATCTCCGGATTTCAGCATTTTTCATAAGGGGTAACATTGTCATTTCTTGAAAAATGAAAATTTTGAGCTGTGAATGCCACTCGATTGAAAATTTTATAACGAATACAACAAGGTATGCCATTCCAACATGTGACCAATATTTCCCAGGGTTTTGCTCAAAAATCGAGAAAAAAGTTGATTTTTCCCGGATCTCCGGATTTCAGCATTTTTGATAAGGGGTTACATTGTCATTTCTTGAAAAATGAAAATTTTGAGCTGTGAATGTCACTCGATTGGAAATTTTATAACGAATTCGACAAGGTATGCCATTCCAACATGAGACCATTATTTCTCAGGGTTTTGATCAAAAAACCGAGAAAAGGTTGATTTTTCCGGATCTCCGGATTTCAGCATTTTTCATAAGGGGTAACATTGTCATTTCTTGAAAAATTAAAATTTTGAGCTGTGAATGCCACTTGATTGGAAATTTTATAACGAATTCAACAAGGTATGCCATTCCAACATGTGACCATTATTTCCCAGGGATTTGCTCAAAAAACCAAGAAAAAAGCTAATATTTCCGGATCTCCGGTTTTCGGCAGTTTTGATAAGGGGTTACATCATCTATTTTTGCGAAAAATCGACCAAAATGAAAATTTTGAGCTGTGAATGCCACTCGATTGGAAATTTTATAACGAATTCAACAAGGTATGCCATTCGAACATGAGACCATTATTTCTCAGGATTTGGATCAAAAAACCGAGAAAAAGATTGATTTTTCCGGATCTCCGGTTTTCGGCATTTTTCATAAGGGGTAACATTGTCATTTCTTGACAAATGAATATTTTGATCTGTGAATGCCACTCGATTGGAAATTTTATAACGAATTCAACAAGGTATGCCATTGCAACATATGGCCATTATTTCCAAGGGTTTTGATCAAAAAACCGAGAAAAAGGTTGATTTTTCCGGATCTCCGGTTTTCGGCATTTTTGATAAGGGGTTACATCATCTATTTTTGCGAAAAATCGACCAAAATGAAAATTTTGAGCTGTGAATGCCACTCGATTGGAAATTTTATAACGAATTCAACAAGGTATGCCATTCCAACATGAGACCATTATTTCTCAGGGTTTTGATCAAAAAACCGAGAAAAAGGTTGATTTTTCCGGATCTCCGGTTTTCGGCATTTTTGATAAAGGGTTAATCATCTATTTTTGCGAAATATCGACCAAAGTGAAAATTTTGAGCCGTGAATGCCACTCGATTGGAAATTTTATAACGAATTCAACAAGGTATGCCATTTCAACATGTGCCCATTACTTCCCAGGTTTTTGATCAAAAAACCGATAAAAAAGTTGATTTTTCCGGATCCGTCATCTATTTTGGCGAAAAACCGACCAAAATGAAAACTCGATTGGAAATTTTATAACGAATTCAACAAGGTATGACATTAAATTGTATGAGGCCTTTTTTGTTCCAGATTGTCAAACTAGCATGCATAGTGTGTAATCTGATCATATTTTTAATTCCTACGAATTCAACAATTCAATTCAATTCAATTACTCTTTTTTATAAAGTAATACAAAATACAAAAGAACTAATAAAATAAAGGACTCGAAAAAAAAGAGTATAAAATCATTAAAACTTATTAGGATTCTTTAAACAACTTTCTCAGATACTGGACAAGTTTGGAAAAAAAGGGACAAGATTGAAAGGCACGATTGTGCGGTTAATGGCACCCACAATTAAGAGATCATTTGCAAGCAGAAATTAGTTAAATACTTAATTGATGGCTTACCCAACATCTTGCTGAGGTCGGCGTTATGCAGGTCGGGATTCTCGTCGGCCAGCTTCTTGCGCTCGATCTTGGCCCAGACCATGAAGGCGTTCATCGGCCGCCGGATGCGCGATTCTTTGGCACTTTTTGACTGGGTTCCGCCGGGCCGGTACTTAAGGTCGGCGGGCAGCGGCTTGTGCCGCTCCAGATAGCCACAGTTGGGGGCGCAGAGCTCGCCTTTGTAGTCGTAGCTCCACATGGACGCCGGCTCGATGGGCGAGTGCGATGTGCAGTCCTCCATTGGGCCCGATCCTCCGCCCACCATCCCCGCGTGCGGATGCGACAGGAATTTGTTCAGCACCGAGTTGCCGCCACCGCCCAGCAGAGGGATATTGCTGCTGATCAGCGATCCGGATGCAGTGCCTCCGCCCACATAGGCACTGGACACCATCGGCATGGGCGAGTGGCTGTGGCTGTGCGCCGCCAGCACGGTCTCGTTGAGGTGCTCGTTCTCGTATCCGGAACTCTGTATGGCTGGCGAGTGCAGGCTGGGCGAGGAGTGCTCGCTCCCCTGGCGCACGTGGTAGATCCCGGCATCGCTGTTGCTCTCGTGCATCAGGCGCCCATCCGTCAGGTAGACCCCGTGCTCCGGATAGTCGCTGCCGGTGGAGTGGCTGTACTCAGGCGTGCGCGATACGTGCGGGTACTTCTTCGAACTGCAAGGGAGCAGGAGGAATGGAAGATTGATAAGCTTATTTATTTTTAGGACACCCTGGACTTACTTCGATACCAGCCATTTTAAAACCATATTTAAACTAATCAGCATCCCATTATTATTTAAGAACTATAAACTAACTTAATCACGCAAAACCAAGTTGATTTATTAGCTCAACAATATAGTTATACATGTAAACAACTTTTTGCAAACATTAAACATGTTGGTATAAAATTAAATGTCAAAGTATTTATGGGTTATCATAAGTCTATTTAGTTGCGGGAATTTACAAAATTATCATTTATTATACAGCTTACTAATAACTTTACCTTAAGCCAGTAGCCTAAATTTCCAAAACTAGTTTCAGCGTCATTAATGGTTAAAATATTTTCAAATGATCTTAACAAGTTTTTTAAAGTAATTAGTTAGTTGGTAAGAAAATTATTCTGGTAGATTAACATAATTGATTTCTTCACTCAAAAACCATAAGTATTAAGCTTTAAAGATAGCTGCCAATAGACTATACAGAGCCCACAAACCCAAAACAAGATGGAGTTATCCCTCAAGTCCAGTCCCCGCCTCGTATCACATTCATGATCGTTGTTAATCCCTCTCCCAAAGGGGCTACTGCTGGAAATTACGTACCGCCGGCAAAAATGTCCGCCGCAAATGTTCTTTATAATGATATTTAAAAGGGCTGCTAAATACGTTGACAATTTTCGCGTCGCTGGCACGCACAGAGCAACACAAAAGAGCGGGGTATGGGGAGTACGGATCGGTAGGGAGGGGAGGGGGGAGGGTTTAGCTTTGCATTTATCAGACACCAGAGAGACACAAACTGGAACTGGAGATCGGAACGGAACGGATCGGATCGCCTGGGCTCCCTGCATCGGTGCGCTCCTTAATGTCAGCGGACATAAATGTAAATTGGGCGCGTGCAGCTATTGTATTATCAAAGGAGGCCGCTTAAACTCCGACAAGCCACCGTCGCGGAGTCGGCGGAGTAAGCAAAGAAGCTGGAGCAGAAGCTGAAACCCAGACTCGGGCTCAGACTCGGACTCAGACTCAGGACCAGACCGCGACTCAGATCGGCAATGAGAATGAGAATGAGAATGAGGCTGGCCGCAGTCTGGCTGCCTTGGCCGGACCTTTATGCATAACTTTTAAAACTTGCGACATATCGACACATTTCAAAGTAATTCGCCTTCCAAGAATTCAGCAGCATTGGGAGCATGGAGAGCAGCCCCGAACGACAAGTTTAAATATTGCCGAAGCTCCCGAGATCCCGACTTCGATCCGGGTCGGTTTGCTCCTTTGGGGATCTATCTACCCATGCCGCAGTATGCGTGCTCGCCCGATCTCCTCGATTTGTTACCGTTTGAATTTATTGCTGCCCACTACACTTTTGGTCTATTGTGTGCCGGGATTGCCTTCTGCCCTCTGCCTACTACTGACTCCTTTGCCTACCTACAACAACCACTGGGCCTAATTGTTCGCCTTCGATCTGGGCCTTAAGCCACTGAGCTCTAAGTTTCTTAGCTCTAATTCTTCTGGCCTCTAAGCCACTAGGCTCTGACTTTAGTCGTTGGCTTTAAGCCCAAGTATCTTGGCTAGGTCTATTGCCTTTAAGTCCCCCATCTCGAGCTAGGCGCTCTAGTTTCGGGGACTTTCTTCCTTGACAATGCCGACAAAGTTGCAAATTTCGGTTGGCCCCGACTGCCGGCATTGCAGTACCCTTAAACCTAAAACCCAACCTAACCCCTGCACCACTCTTTAAGCCATCTAAATGTGCGCGGACCAGCCCTGGATGAAGGCTCGATAATTTATTGAGGGTTTTCGGTGACGTCGTTACGTTTTTGATATTCGGTTGCGGCTGCCGCTGCCGCTAAATACTTGGCCGCTGTCGATACGCCAGCTTGGCCAAAAGGGGTACACAAAATTATACCGTCCTGGTCTGGTCCGTCCTTCCGTTTGTCCGTCTGTCCGTCTGTCCTTCCGTTCGATGCTGTCCAACCTGTCCCAACTGTCGGCCGTCTGGTCGCAGTCGGTCTGGCTTTATCCTAAGCCCGCTCACGATCCACGAAGCTCCAATCCAATCCGCTCGGCTTAGCCAGCTTCTTTGGCCCCAGCTTCAGTTTTCAGTTTTCAGCTTCAGCTTCAGATTTCAGCTTTAGCTTTAGCTTCGGTTCTCTGTTTCTGGCCGCGGTCTGCTTAGCCATGGCCCTGATTTTAAAATAGGACACATACAGTGGCCGGTAAGTTGGCATTTTTATGCGCGCAAAATGTCAACATCTTTGCAAAATGCCACATATTCCACATTGCGGCCAGCCTGGTGTCCCCCTGTCTCCTCCTCCTCCTCCTTCCCCATACCTGTCCGAGTACTCGATGTCCGCCGCCGACTTGGGGACCCATGGAACGTTTTGTTTACGACAACATCGACTTCTCTGGTGGCTGCCACAGAGTCCCGGTAAAAGTGGAAAGGGGCCTTGGGAGTAGTGGAGTGGAGAATGGGGAGTTGTTGCCAAAAGGAGGAGGTGGGGAGGGGGGCTCCCCCTTTGGCTGCCACAAAAGTAGGCAACTCCCTTCTTTTAACAAGCCCCTGGCTTCATTCAGGAGCCGCAGGCTCCCAACCGAAGAAGCCGCATTGATCTGGAGAGTGTCAGGCGCTTTAGCATATTGTGATTCATGTGACGCTCTGCCGCGCTGCTCAAGACAGCCTTTTAAGTTGGAGGATCAGGAGGACCAAGAGGACCATGAAGCCCCCATCCCGAAAATCAGATGCATATACATATATAGGGGGACAATTGTCAGAGGAGTTGGGTAATAAAGAGCGGCTTCGACTGGCTTCCACTTAATCTATATTATTTCTTCCATATTCCTGGCTAATTTTAGAAAGCGTTTCGGGGGCCGCATAACTTCGGCCTGACAAACTGACATTCCAGCAAATAGGACAGTAATTAAGACAGATCCAGCGCTACGGTGAGCTGTCAATACCTTTGTCTAGCCATTCGACTATTCGGCAGATGGGCAAAGGGGATCCTCTGAGTTGTGGACAGGTATGTGACAACAATTGGGCAGATTTGTCTCGGATTCTAAACAATCACGGTGGCTCTGCGAGTTGAGAACAATGGCATTCTACTATTCGGGAGATTTGTTAGGCTTTTTTGGTATTTCATAGACCGATTTAGATATGGAAAGCAGTAGGCACTTTTATAGGTTAAGCTGTGACTTGACTGTCATGATCCAAATTTTCTTTTAGTTTCATATTAATCCAAAAAAAAAATTAGGGTGTAGTAGTAGTTAATATAAGAATCAGTTAGAAATATTTTAATAGATAAATATTGAATGAACTAATTAAGTTGTAATTTAATCGTTATGTTGGTTGTTTGAGTTCCAGTTATTTTTCTAGTGATTAACTTCATAAAGAAGAGAATGTGGGAAAATGAAATTGGCTTTTAAATTACTATTTACACTTGCAGTGTTATATTACTTGTTAATATATGATTAGACCCTGTGCCAATTTTCCTATTAAGTTAGAACACTGTTACCAACCCGATTGCCCTCATATACATTTTAGAAAGCTTCTGCCCAGCGACATGCTAATCGGCAACCTTGATAAATAATTTATTTAGATCCGATTGTTAGTTGTATTTAGAGCTAATCAGAGCCCGCTTGCCAAGCTTAGCCCCCGTGATCTGGCCACCAAAGAGGAGCATGCCTAGAATGGCAAATCATTTGGCGCCTCATCTGCGATCGCATTGGGATTGGGCCACTTGAATGTTTGCTGCCAGTGGCTGTAAGCGGTGCGGCAAGGTAATAAAAGCCATTTTGGTTTTCGGCCGAAGTCAAAGCCAGATTGCGGGGATGACGTGGAGGCTGCAGGGGGGTGGGGGGAGGTGGAGGTGGGTGTGGCCAGCGCCTGGGGAAGAGGCATCTGCCGCGGCTCTCCATTTGCTCCATTTGCAGTCTATTGGCTGCCTGCTGTGGCTGCAGGCGCCCCAACCCGAATACAAAACAGATTTTCAGAGGCTCACCGGCCAGAAAACGAGTTTGGCCCAAACGACTTGGCACGACTTGGGCCCAGTTCCAGTTGGAGGTAGAGCCATGGAGCTGTGGAGCTGGGGATCTGTGGGGCTGTGTAGCTGCGGCCCAGGTGTGATGTACTTGAATAACTTAACGACGCAGGCCCGGTCTCGGAGCACCGCGATGAGTTGTCGGCCGATCGGATCGGCCATTTACGCATACATATGCATGGCCGCCTCTATATAAATGTACGCTCGCATATGGCCGCATGTAGATGCTGTTGACCAATAAGCATAAACAGCCCAGCATCCGGGCCCAAAGAGCCGCCATCTTAGCTTTAATGAACATGAACATGAAGGTGAGCCACAGCTACCTGTGTCGCTGCGAATGAGAATGAGATCGGTACGCACAATGGACCGGAGTATGGGTATATACCTGGGTATAGCGTGTATATACGGATGGTGTATATATGGTGTATACACCGGGTATACATAATTAAACTAATGAAGCAAGCGAAGAGCGAGGCATCATCATCACCATCCATCTTCGAGGGCCGAACGAAGCCGAAGTCGGTTTCGTTCGGCTAATGAGGTTTATTGCGGCTGTCGTCGCTGGGATGGGATCCCCAATCCCCCTCCCAATTCCCCACTCCCAGCCATCGAAGAAACAACGAAGACCCAGTTCTCACACAAGCGATTTAAGAGCATAAAAAAGATACAAAAATTTAATGGATTTTAGCACGCACACCAGCACACGCAGCGGAAAATATATACACAGATACTCCCTCGCAGGTTGAGGGGTACTAAATTATATGGATTGCATGGAAATGGAGGCAGTGCTACATGTTCGTACTAGTAACTAGAGTAATTGCATGTGGAGGATCTGTACTTAGCTAGTTGGTGGATACGAAAATAAGTATCCGGGAACCGGACTCTAATCAGTGCTGTTTCATGGCCTCAAGAGAGCTTTACCTGCAGTCCTGATTTTACTTGCGACTTAAATGGTTACAGGGTGTTGACTGATTTAAATGTTTTCAAACCACTTATTAAGCGTGTTTAAATTAATTACCCAGAAAACGTTTTTTAGCTCATACAAGGTATCTTAGTTTTTAACCGCAAGCAAGGGGTTGTTTACCAATATAAAGCTTTTCTTTATTAAATTATTGTAGAATAGGTAGTTTTTAGGCTTTTTTGTTAGTGTTAGGGCAAAAAGAAAATTTGTAAAGTTTCTTTCACAAATAAATCGTTCTCATTAAATCTTGAAATGCACACTTTCTACATTGAAACCCATACCAAACACTTAAAGCATTCAATACACCTTTAGCAAATAGATTTTGATAAAACCATTCTCAAATTTTGTTTTTTATCTTGTTTGGTTTTTGTTTTTAAATCAATCCCTTGTAAGTTTTGCAATAACTTTCCCATAGAACAGGAAACATTTTTCCGAATTTGAACGAATTAGAAATGTTTATGAGGAAATCGAATAAACCGAAAATCATTTTTTCCTGACAGTCAAAAAATTATTTTAATTTGCAGTTCTAGGATTAGAAGGCCAACACGAACGATTTTTAAATTTGATTTTCGAAACGATATTTATAAAATTAGATGATATATTAGATATAAAATCGCAGAAAGGATAAGGAATAATTATAGGGTCTAATGGAATAAAGCATTCTTTTTGATTTTAACAAAAACTACCTTAAATAAATAAGCTAGCAAAACTAATAGTATAAATTACCTTTCTTTATATACAGAAGTGATATTTGATGATTATTTAAAGAAATACAAACAACAAAAATAAAAAAATAGATTTAATAACATTCTTGGCATTCTCTCATGCTTTCTTCTTCTTGAAAATCAAAGTGCAAACTATTGCATTTTCTTTTTATACCCTCCAGTTTCATTAATACAATTAACCAATTAACCTGTCGACACACGATTTATAAACATTTAATAAGATTTATCTCTTGCTTCCAAGAAGTCACAGTTGTCGGAATCTCCTTCTACGTCAGAGAAAAGTTTTAGTTCCTGCTTGAAGAAAGGGGAACTCCATAAAATCGTAAGCTTATGTTTACTTATACGTCACTAACTATGCAGATTTTTCAACCAGGAACTATGGTTAACCACGGACAATTATTAAAAAATTTCAAATTGGTAATTGAAAGGCAGCAACGCTTATTAAATCTTTAAAGTTTTTCTACCCAGCTTAGTCACAATGAAATCTTAATTAATTGCCAAACTTGATTGAACATCCACATATACAGATGGTTATTTATTGGTCATTGAATTTTATTTTTATGTGGAAAACTATTTAGATTGAAACTGAAGTTAGCAAAGTTAAGGTAGATCGAAGCCTTGGCTTGATTTATGGGGAAGCCATAAAAGATCAAACTGAATGAAATCGCATCAAATCGAGTTGATTTGTGGCCCTGTCACGTGCTGAGCCAATCCCAAACAGGAAGATTCGAAAAATGTGACGAAAAATGCGACAGGCTTTCGCCCATGAAATCTTTGTGTATTTTGGGTTTTGAATTTCATACGAAAAGTGTGCGGATTTATCAAAGCTTTTCATCTGTACTTAATTTAATTTCATGGCTTCATTTCCATTCATAATTTCAGCCAATTTGTAGACGGGAATTTCCCGTCGGAAACTACGCAAGTCAGTTGGCTAAGTAGACACTATATAGGAGTGAATATATACGGATATTAAAACCTCATGCGTATCTATCAAGCTGTGTAGATCGGACCTAAATCTTTTTAATGGTCAAATCCGCATGACCTCTGGCCGAAATATACAGAAATTAAAACCTCTTTCGGGTCGTCTGTGCGTTCTTGCCCTCCGCTTTTTCCCAGGGTCTCCACCCCCGTCTTGGCCGGAGTCTTGGTTTACTTTCCACTTGACCAATTTCGAGCCGCGTCCGAAGACGAAGACGGTTCTTAAGTTATTCGCAGCCGACCATTTACATATTATGAGGGGAGAGAAGAGGAGAGGGAAGGAAAACTCACACAGTGAAGCGAGAAGCGGATACGAATACAAGTGCAAGTGCTGCGGGGTCTGAAAACTGGGGCCACACCAAGGAAAATCTAAGCAAATTCCCAGGTACTATATACTATAGCCCCTATATACCCGTTTTTATGGTCGCAGCTCTGACAGTGTGCATTCGACATCCCCGACGGTGTTTCTCGCTGTCGTGCCCGCCGCCAGTATCTTAGTATCTGTATCTGTCTCTGACTAACTCTTGAAAAGTCCCAGTCATGGGCCCATGTACACGATGTATATATATATATATATATATATGTATAAATATACCTACGATCTAGAGAATTTCTTCACTACTACACGAGCGCCTTTTCCATTTTTCATTATGGTTATTATCTTGAAGATATGTATCTTCGCTTCGGTTGGATATAATTAAACAGCGAGAAAAAAATTTTAGCATGGGAAAAATGTAAATATTACTTGTAATTTGTTAGCAGATGATGTGGATGTTCGTGATCATATGAGGGTTCCATTTTATACGGCAACGGCGACGTTCGTGGTAACGGTGACGGTGACGTTGATGTTGTTGCAGTTGCAGTTGTTGCTGCTGCTGTTGCTGTTGCCGATGTTGTTGCTGCTGCTGCTGCTGATGTTGCTGCTGTTGTTGTTGACGTCGGTGGTGGCAGGTTGAAATTGTTGTTGGTCGGGGCTTTGCTTTTGCAGGGCCAGCAGCATTTTGCTTAATGTTGCATTATTCCGTTAGTTTTTTCCCTTTGTCGGTGGGTTGGTGGGTGGTTCGGTGGTGCCGCCAATGTTGCTGGTGGTGGTGATGGTGCTGCTGCTGCTGCTGCTGGTTGCCGGGCCAAACATTTTGCCCAGTTACAGTTCCAACCATAAATTTATGTGCGCGGCATGTGTGAATTTGCGTCCATTTGTTGTCAGATTTTGTTTTGTTTCTGGCTCAGACCCTAACCCACATTTTGGCCACGATTTTGCAATCGCCTAATGATGTGGATATATATTATTCTCACTCTTCACTTCGCACTGGGTATTTTCAAAACCGTTTGGTTTGCAACACTGCAGAATGGGCACTTTCAAAAACCGATTCGATTGGCACTTGGTTTTTACCGATACTTTCAAAACCCGGTAGATTGTAACTTTTAAATATCCACTTGGCTCTTGTTTTATTTAGTTTTTCCGATACTTTGAAAACCAATTCGACACTAGCTTTGAGAAAATACTATCTAGGTTCTTAGAAAGCACTTTTCTGTATGTTTCTAGCCAGCAAGAAAAGCTTTTCAGGTGGCTGTCGACTAATGATCGTATCGGTTGCCCAAAATCAAGGGCTTCGACATTTCACAAGATACAAACAGCGGACGCTGTGACAGCAACAACACTCTTGGGAAAATGAAAATGCACGGCACAACGGCAACCACTAACTAACTGGGCCTATGTACAGCGGGCCAGTCTGTATGTAGATATATTTATGATTACAGCCGGGGACGCAGATGGCGATGTCAATGGAGAGCTGACTCTGAAGCTATAGCCCGATTCAGAGTCTGACTGCAAGTCCGAGTTGAAGTCGATGTCGAAGTCGGAGCCGCATGAACCACGCTGATGACGAACCGCAGGCCAACTGAACTGTGCGACCGATCGACGCTCTCTTGAGCTCGGAGATTGTGAACTGAACGCTGAACACTGGAAACTGAGGTGTCTCTGCCTCGGATCCGATGCATAAGGCCAAAAAGCGAAAAGCTGAAAGCGCACGGGCGAAACCTTTCGCGCAGTCTTGGGCCAGAGCGGCCAGAGAGCGGCAGCTGCTCAGCAAAGCGGAACGAGCAAGTGGCCCGAACCCAGGCTCAGACCCAGTTGACTTGGCTCTGACTCCCATACCATACCTCCGATCGCTCTGGGCCCAGACCCCGTGGCCCCCGAACCCAGAGCAGCGGCAAGTTCTTTTGAATCTAATGAAACAAACCTTATTTAATATTCGTTCGTTCGTTCGATCGTTCGTTCTCTCTCGATCTCAGTTAAAGAGTCTCCGGCTCCGTCTCCGTCTCAGTCCCAGTCTCACTTTCAGAAATGGAAAACCTGTTCCCCGATCCATTTGTTGTGGGAGAGACGACTTTGCATTTGGTTTGTTTCAATTGGTGGAGGCCCCAATGTCGCTGGGGTCTATATATATACACATGAGTGTCTGTGTATGCTGGCCACAAATACTCGAAACGGGGATCTCACCCATACACGGAAGCCAGCGTATGCAAATATCGTAATGTGCGGAACCTCTGGGAAAGGGTGTTATATGGATCAAATGGGGCATAGTCTTCAAAAGAGATTCGCGAAAGATTTGGAAATATTTAAATTGGCAATCTTAGCAAATGGGAAGCAAGAAAGGTCATTAATCAAAGGTGATGTATGGATAAAGAGAGCAGAGGAGTATGGAAGGCATTTTAGACAGTTTTACAAATTGCAATGAACCTAAACTAACAAAATAGTTAAAACATCCTCAATTAGCAACTATCAAATTACTTATAGAGTTTAAAGACTTCGAAGAGCGCCAAAATCTTTAAATATATAAAAAAGTAAACAAGATTCATAAGTATAGTTGGGCAAAGAACCAAAATAAACAACTGTGTAAAAAACTCACACCAAAAAAACATTCAAATTCTTTATTAATAAAATGGGATGTAAAATAAAAAAGAAGTAAATGATTTAATTAACTAAAGCAAAGATAATTTATTTTTTTGGAATGAAAAAACCACTTGCTTTTTAGGAGTTATTTCCCTTACTCTTCATCCATTAAGCATACGCCCTGTAAGCTCAGTAATATGCTGCCTGCAACCTGGGCAGTATTCAAATAGAGCCATATTTAATTTTTATTTCACTCTCCACCCACCGAAGCCGGGGCCAAGCTGATTGGTATCCAGCTGGAGATAAGCAGCCAAATTGCATATTGCAACAACTGCTGCCAGCGAACCGCATGAGCCAAGCCCAAAAATCGGGAAAAAAGCGACGACGAACCTCCCAGAAGACGAGTCAAGTACGTTGGCAGGTAAAAGTGCATGCGGCCACGCGCAGGGCATTTAATAAACTCGTACTTGGTTGGGGGGCCAGGCCAGGCCAGCCAAACCGGAGTTCATAATTAAGCGCCAGAATGCCGGGAAAACCTTCGCTTCTTCTTACCATAGATGCAAAATATTTGTTTATCACATCGCGATAATTGCCGCCGGCGAAGTGAAGACCAAAGACTTCGTTGTCGTGGCGCTGGATTTATGTGCAGAGGGGCAGAGTCGGGCAAAAGGTTCCGAACATCGAAACATCGGAGCATCGTATCATCGGTCAGACCAAAAGAAAGAAAAGCCCAAAAGAGGGGAGAATCGCTGCGCAAGCGTGTGCCGATCGCCGACCGCCTTCGAGGAGACTGAAGACTAAAGTCTAAAGACTAAAGACCAAAGACTAAAGACCGAGAACGGGGCTGGGGCTGGGGATAAAGATTGCGAACGAGGATCGGATCAAAGCGTGCCTCGGTGGTGGGTACAAGTTTATTGGCGTGGCGTATGTGCAAATAGCCGCTCCATCGACTGCTCCAAAAATGTGGGCGTGTGACACTTGAGCGGCTATCGCCAGCGCATCTCTGCCTAAATGCGGCAAAAGGAGAAAAAAACAAATTATTGATAAGCAGATCGGACTGCGGCACTGTGAGAAATCTGGCCCCAGCCAGCCCCAAAACAAACTCGTTTGAGGGCTAGCATGGCAATGCTCCGGTTTCTCCCAGTGCACCGCCAGGTAGGAGGTGCAGTTTGCGACTCCTTATCGCTGATGAAGCCCGGCACACGTTGGCCCGGTCCAGGTCCGGGCCTCATGCATTGATGGCTGTCTGTTTCCGAGGCTCTCGCCGTTCTGTTATGTAAGCAATACTCTGCGGCAGCCACTGCGGTAGGTAACCAACCTGGAGATCGCCGGGCTCGCAACGAGGGAGTGTTCCGGCATTGCACAGTTTGGCTGCCAAATTAGTTGATAATGAAGTTATTACCTATTACGTATTAGTTTTATGGATGAAAATATCACACAGAATGATTTCTTTGGACTTTCTTAATTTTTAATCCAGGCTCCTAGAAATTTTGATTTTAAATTATCGCGGCTCGCAGTGCTGCAAAGCTCCTGTATGCGCACGTTATCAGCACTGTTATGGTTGCCAGATCGTTAGAAAAGCAGGTAGATTAAACATTTAAGGAAATTGGTAAATAATGAATGCTAAATGAAAGTGATATTCAAAATTGATTGTTTAAGTTTATATTCCTATAACTAATACATTGTAATGGGTTTTTTTTATAGCAAAAGAGGAAAGCATTTTATCTAAAATTAAAAGAGCCAAAATAAATATAAATAATTTTTCTCATAAAACACGAATTTGCTTAATAATCTTGAAGCCAATCTTAAAATTAGGTTATTTAAAAATATACAAACAAAATCTGAGTGATTTGTGTGTTAGCCTCAATTTAACTATTTCTCTCATTTAACCTAATATCGTGTCTTTTTGGATATTAAATTTGGTAGAACAGCAAACAAAAAAAATACATGCAAGCCAAAATTGATAGTCAACAAAATCACATTTAATTGAAACATAAACAGCTTTGTTTCATTTTTTGTTTATTTAGTTTTGTAAAACCCTAACTCTGCTTGTCTGGAAAAAGATTAGATGCGTGTTCATCTAAGATCTTGGGCGCTCCTTCTTCTCCTTGTAGAGGGCCAGGAGAGAAACGTTGGCCACCTTGACGACCTTGAAACGGACACCGGGAATATCACCGACGGCATGACCCTTACGACCGAAACCGGCGACCAGGACCTCGTCGTTCTCCTCAATGTAGTTCAAGCTACCGTCACGGGGTACGAAAGCGGTGATCTTTTTGCCGTTCTTGATCAGCTGCACCCTCACGCACTTGCGGATGGCAGAGTTGGGCTGTTTGGCCTCGACACCGCTGTGGAAATAAGAGGGAAAATTGGATTAGTTATGGATGCAATTGCAGGGGCAGATTACTAGAACCAATTTCATAAACTCTTCGCTGCTGGCACGCTTGTCATCTCACAGTATAATCCTGTGATTTGAGTTGCAAAACGAACAAAACACAAAAATATACTGCGAGGCGTCGAGACGTGGGATCTCTCCAGAACGGAACACACTTCTATAAAGAATAACTGTACTTACACCTTCTCAAGGACGATTCCCTTGGCGTGGGAAGCACCTCCGAAGGGATTGGCCTTCCATCTGGTTCCCAAATGAGCCTTCTTGTAGTCCTTGTCGGCCCAACGCTGGTCCCGACGGTGGTTCACATGCTTCCTGGCAGTGCGCAGACCTCTTGGCTTGCCTGAAATGGTTGAAAATAATTCATTAGTTACAGATAACCCATGGCTAAAATGCAACAACACAATGTAAACAAATGGCAGCTTATGCGGCTTCGGTTTTTGAGGTTAGAAAGAGCCTAAGTCTGGGGATACGTGCAAATGCATTTTCAGCACAAATAACACTTGTAATTTGTGCCCAAGGCTTACTTGTCTATATAAAACAAGATAATTGCCTGATATATACAGCGATTCATTTGATTTTGTTAGATTTCAGGTCAGCAAAATCGCAAGTGTCCGACTTGTTTGCATTTGCAGGTATTTCACACACTTTCTGCTTTCTTCACTTACTCTTTCAGCCGCGCCGCATTCTAAGCTCCGTTTGTTCACTCTTTCGCAACGATTTTTGTTTAATTCGCACAAAAACTACGCTTTTCAGCAACTCACCCATGATTTTCCAACTTTCTCGGCAAACGGCGGAAATAAAAAGAAGGCGTAGAGGTGGAAAAACTTCGATGTTAGCATTGATTTAATCGATGTTTTCGAAACATCGGACATATCGATGTTCGGCAGGGCATCATCGATGTTCTTCCACCTCTAATCAGCAAATAAAATGGTGGGTGTACCCGATAGCTGAAAAAATATGCCATTAACGGTCACCCTAGGCTAGAGCTGGAAGAATATCTATGTTTATTCGATACTATCGCTTGCAAGGCTTTTGGATTGCTGATCTGCAATATGACCATATCTCACGACCCTTTTAAAAGTGCCTTTACCGTAGACTCAAACCAATTTGAGCGCCAGCCCTGGTTGTTATTAAGAGAAAGTAACTGGTTCTTAAAATTCTATCTTGTAACTGATTTTAAAAATTCTGCTAAAAATTGTTTTTAAACGACCCGGTTTTTAAATCTGCATTAGAAGTATATCACATATTCTTGCAAAAAGACAAACCAAAACATAGATGAGTCAACTCCTTTTGGTCTTGTTATTATTTGTGATATCCAACCGACGAAGAATTAGTCATACTTTTAGCATACATACAAACGGAGTTTGTTTTTTATTTTATGGCCCATCACGCAAAATTACGCATTTTCTGCTGATCAATGCTCACACAACTGAAATTACTAAGCAAAAAATAGCAATGCACTGATAACAGAAAAAAACGAAACGTCACAGATGCTGCGTAAATTGATAATGAATCTGGCTCTAAATTAAATGGGAAATCTCGAGCAGGTTCTTACATAAGAGCCTCGCTTTAAATATATTACACGTATGTTTTTATTGCACCCAGCCAAGACCGAAGTACACATATTTATGTCCGCCGTATTAATGCGATTAGATTAAACACCAAATCCGGCCAAGTTAGGTAAGATTTTGGCTTCCCTAGCTGAAAATGAATTTAATTTCTCTAGTCTAATATATTTTTATGACGTGCCAGCCATGGCCATTTAAGTTTGGGGGCTTATCACCGCAGCAAGGGGTTTTTTGGGGCCCAGAGCATCGGCTTATCAATCAAAACTCAAAGTCGGCGCACGTTGATTGGGCGATGTGTTTGAGATACTAAAAAACGGAATTGACCTGAAACGATATCGACAGTAAAATGTACTTGAAAGAATTCATTAATAAAGTTCCCAAAGGGACCAAAGTTCGAGAGTCTCCCGGAAGATAAAACGACCGCAACCGGATAATACCCAGACTGATAAAAACTAAATACCAGAGGTTCTCCAAATCGGTTCGCGTTTGCACTGGCTTTTGCTTTAATCAATTAGCACTTCTTGAGTACTTACAGTTCATGGCCCTTCTAATGAATTCAAGCCAGCGCCAGACTTTCCATTTTTGCCTACTAATTACCCTTGTCCCGGTTTATATATGTATCTTTCCAGCGCTATGATTTCATAATTTCTGGAAACAATTTCGAAATGTCCGCTTCTCTTTTTGGGCCATTAGTAAGCAGAAAGCCGGTAACCTGCTGATGGGCAAACAGAAACTCCAGACTTCCTAACACTGTGAATGAGTTCCATTCACATTTTTCAGTTTATCTCTTTGGTAGTGGAAAAAGCCAGGGGCCCACACACCAGCAACTGGCACAGCACGAGGGCAAACACTCACACACGAGTTATCCCACTATTGATACTGCTCGAGAACACTAAAAAGCGATATATGTGTAGTTTCTTTTTCTCTGGAAAAAGTCCCAAAAAAGAAAGAGAACCGCCGGGGGAAACACTCCCAAAAAACTCGAGTCGAATCAGAAAAGGAGGCAAAGTCAACAGCAACAGCAATACCAACAGCAACACCAACATTGCGTATACGACGGAGTGTGCTCGAGCCATTTTGACTGAGAAGAGCGATGAAATACATAAGATGCCGGCAACTCTCACTGCGTTTTCTCTCTTACTCTTACTGCTCCGGGAGTAATGGTTTCCTGGGGCGATCGGTTTCGGATTAGATCGGATCAGATCCAGGCGATTCCATTCAGAACGCGGTCCATGTAACCAGAAATCCGAACTAGTAAAAACACACTCTCGCAGGGCGAAACACAAATACCCACGCACACCAGCTCAGGGTGTTGCTGCCGTGCCGTTGGTGTTGCTGTTGCTGGTGTGTTGGTGTTGCTGTTGCTGCTGTGTTCGTGTTGCTGCTGCTGCTGCTGCTGCCGTGCTGCTTTCTGCTGCGCGGTTTATACTGCCAACACATTCTGATTTCCCTTAGTTATCTTTAGTCCGTCGCGTCGCTCGCATCGATTCATGAGGCGATCAGGCGTCCGCAGTGAAAACCGCAACTGAGTGTTTCGAAAACGAATAACAGAAAAACAGAAAAAGTAAGGCATAGCCCAACTCAAAACGAATCGGAACGAATTCCCGAAACGCGAAGAAAGCAACAGCAACAGCAACAGCAATAGCAAGAGCAACATCGGCGCAGGAACGACATAGTCGCGCGCACTTTTTATATGCTCCGCATATATACATGCTGCTCTGTGCTCCGTTTAGTTCCATTCCGTTCTGTTCGACTATATAAACATATGTATAATCAGATACTGATACATATGTGCTAGAAGTATTTTTAAGCGTGTTGTTTCGCTTCACGCCGATCCCGCTTCCTCGTTGCCGTTGCCGTTGCCGTTGACTTTTAACTTTCGCTTTTACTGTGTCGGCGTACGCGTTCGATTGCTTTCGCTTTCTCACACCAGACACACATCAAATTCTTTGCAGCGCGCCAAAAATAAGAGCAGAAGTTGCCAATAATCCAATAACCAATAACCAACTGCAATTGCAACTGCAACAGTGCCGCATCATCAACGCCAGCAACATCGACAACGCGACAGCGACACCGAAACCGACACCGACATCGACAACGACAACATAACATATAGATAGGTAAGCCAACTCCCAGAACCTGGAGAGTTCTCCCTCCTCTTAACTTGGCTCAAAACGGGTTTTGGCCAAAAACACACGACCACGAAACAAACGACCAAACGACCAAACGGCCAAACGCAACGCAGCGACATGCGGCAAAACTGCGAGCGGCGGGTTGAAAAATTATCCATGTTCCCACTTGGTTGGTGGCCCAAACGGGAGGCAGGGTACGGGAATGGTCTAAAGCCTTCGGCATCGATACCAGGAAAAAGGCAGCGGCCAACGGCTTTCGAGGCGCAATTTGCAGCCGTCTTTGTTGCTTTGTTTTCCTCCCTGAACTTGAACAAAGAACGAAATCAACTTACGTTAGATCGATACTAACTAAGCCTATGTTTTTGCTCTCAAGAACAATATCAATCGGGTACTAAGAAATCGTGATCAAATATTAATTCGATTTGAAAATACTTAAACCATGTCGTGAAACCCATATTTGTGTTTATCGGTAGAGTTTTTTGACCTCGCTCCATGCTCCAAAAACATTTATGTTTTTCAAATCCATAGGAAAAAACCGCTTGTCATAAGAAAAATGCCATAACTATATTAATTTAAATATATAATATCAAGTTAAAATTATCTGAGTTCTGTTTGTTTAGCTTTTTGATTGTTTCGCTCTACCGAATGGAAATTTATTGGAGGATTAAAATATTCCATTTACTTTACTTCCATTTTCATTTACCAGTGCAGAGTATCTGTCAGTATCTATTTGCACCTGCTGCCTATGCAAATGCAGATCTATTTAGACCGCGCTTGCCATCATTATCCGCACATTAATTATGGCCAGCAATTTCGCATGCAAATCGGACGGTGAGCTTGGCTTTATCTCCGATCCGAGTCGGTCCAATATAATCCGACACGCCTTTCGCCGTTCGGTGAGTCAGCGTTCGAATTTTTCGCATTTGCCCAAGGCTTACTTTTGGGCTTTGCGCGTGGCTTTTGATGCGTTTTATCTTACAACCGGTTGCCGGTAAAAAGCAAACAAAACAAGCCGCAAGCCAAGTGTTAATGGCAGATCCCACAGCTGTCGAGCAGTCAAAAATCGAAAACCGAAAATCCCCAGCTGAAACACTAACCGAAGACAGACATCTACATCTACGTCCACATCCACATCTATATTCATATCAATGGGCCGTGACGCGGGTTGGAAGCATTAGAACTGCAAGATGCCAATGACCCAATTTCCCCCACTCCACCACTAATTGCCCTGCCTTGGCAATTAATCAGTCCGCATTCGAATCTGATTTTGAATCTGAGTCTGACTCAGAGAGACTGGCATGTTTGAAACTACTTTTCGATATTTTTTGGTTAATTAGGAGCACGCTTACAAAAAATTAGAAATCTTTAATTCACATTAGCCAGCCGGCAAACATGTTTTCTGCATTTACAATGGCCCCCAGTCATTGCCAAATAAATGGGGTTTTCTCAAAGAATTCTTAGCGACTGGGGTTTCTCATTCTTCGGCATGGTCGAGTGCGTCTGCGTGTGGACTGCAGACGGTGGATTGGAAAATCCACACCTAAAATCGACAGTCGAGGGTTGAGAGTTGAGTGCCTCGCGACTCGCGAGTCGAGACTCGAGTCTCGGTCTGTGGAAATTTTCCCTTAACACGGATCGGTAATCGGCCTGTAAATATTTACAGCAGATTAAGCCAATTTTAGACTGCAACTGCAGTTTGTTTGTTTCCTTGATTTGCTTATCAGATCAGCGTCGAAAACAAAAACAGCAACAGCATTTTGGCGCCAATGTCGGGGTCGAAATGGATCGATTTGAATCGTATCATTACTCAGTTTGCTTAGTAAATCGTTTCGGGGTCGAGTTGGATTGGAAAACGAGCTCGAAACGGAGAGATGGGATGTGGAATCGGGGGCTGCGTCATGAGACAATGACATCTGCGGATGGGGAAGTGGCTGACGCAGCCACGTGCAGATAACCCAATAAGTGAACATTCAAATAGAGGTCCGCAAACATACGAATCACGACTTTTGGTCGATTCTCTCGATACTCTCGATTTTCATTTGAAAATAATTGCGCTACTTGCACTTATTTTCCACGATTTGAACATGTTAATTGATTACGATTCATCCCATGCTCTACTTCCGATGCGAAAGAGTAGAACCCGGAGCAGAGACCCCGGCGACCATTGATCGCTCCACTAATTGTCGCGGCCTTTGTTCGTGCCGATAGTGGTCTGTGTTCGGTGGTCTATGGACTGGACTGGTCAACACCAGCAGTGGAGGCAGAAGAATCGACAGCTGATAGTGCCCCGCATAAGATAGCTAACTGTGCCACACATTTCTGTCCCGCAAAGATACATATTTCCCGCCAAACACTGGCATATCGTGCTCCCCGGATTACTCCGCCGGGTGAAAGGCCGAGCGATGAACTTGAGGTGACAGCTGCCCTCGAGTGTTTGCAATCCCATCCGAGGAATGGGGTCGACTTGAAGTGGCCACACGAGTGTGGAGTCGTGAAGAGTGCGCCCCTCGCTCCAAAGAAAGCCATTCACATATCCGATCTGATTCGGTGACAAACCGGCGATATATTTTTGGATCTTTTCCGCTGGTATCTGGGTAGGGGTTTTCACTGAAATACAATTTCGGAACACAAAACTCACTTAAATTGCAGCTGTTACATAAATTCCGTGACATACAAATTCCTTGACTTACGAATTCCTTGAAATAATACGAAACTCCTTCAAATTTCAATTCTTGAACTTAAAATCATTATGATTTTAATTTCAAAATATTACAAATACAAATAAAAATATTACTGGTTTAACAATGATATCTAAGAGGGGCATGAAACTTAAAGCATTTTAGATAGTATTTCCTTAAATGATTGTTGATCAAAATGTCTTTTTATAAAATTTAAAGTAATTTTGCATCACTTAACTAATAAACTAACTAGTCTATTTCATTTTAAACAAATTTTATATATGCTACGATTTCTACAGGTAACCTTTTCTTTATCCTATAATTGCTTGTGCCTTACGCAACAGTCTTTATTTTATTTCCTCCTGTACTTTGCGAATCACATTACATATTTTTATAGAACTACTTACAATTCTTCTGAGGTTGTTTAGGAGTTTCAAATTCTACTAAGAGCTTACACAAGATTGGATATCTTTAGAGCATCCCAAATTCGGTGTTGACCAGGCCAATATCTTCGTTTTCACTGCAACCTCTCCGCCAGACTCGCCTTCTAGGGCTGTCGCTCCATTTTGGGGCCGGCTTAGCTAATTAATATTTTGAGCATAAAGTCGTTTAACGATTGCTTCACTTGTACCTACAAATTGCGGCGCTGAGATACGGCTCTCGGAACCTGTCCGAGACACCGACTATCTAAATGGGTCCGCACGCACGAAGAGTAAGAGTAAGAGGAGAAGGAGGAGGAGGAGGAGGAGGAGGTGGGACCAAGAGAAGGACGCCCGGACGCAGACCAAGAACCGGACGCCCACAGTTGCATGTTATAAATAACAGAGCCATGTACTACTTGCGACATATGTGTGCAATGCCGAGGGAGACGGACACGGTCGCAGATAAAGATACTCGTACAAATACTTGTAGATACATGTGCACGCTGAAGGAAAACCAGCGGCAGGAAAACATCTAAAGAAGTCGCCGTCTGCGTCTGCGTTTTCGTCTGGCCGGTCGCTCACTTCCCCTCAAGAAGCCCCCTCATAAATGTCCGACCTTTTCTGGCCATATGTGTTTACCTATAACATTTAATAATTCCATCGACGGGCATCAATTTAAGCGCTGTCAACAGTCACAATTGGCGCTGACAAGTGTTTGCGACCTCCGCCCCCGTTTTCTCCTAAAAAAATGAATGATGGAGGAGGTGGTGGCTATTTACCCACAGCGGGATTAGCTTACACAAAGCGGGAGGAGGCGGATTCGGAGGCCACGGAGGCCGCAGGAGCCGCCTTGTCACATTATCCGCCGCTTGTGGGGCCAATCCCATCGGGAAACAAACAAAACGGAGAGCAAAAATGTTAGATTTCCGAAGCTCAAAGATGGGATACTCTTACAAGCAATAACAACAGAAAGGGATTTCGGATATATATATATAAGAAGCTACAGTTCATTTACATATAGACAAAAGGTTGAGCTTATCGAAACATTGGGTATAAAAATATATACGTACTTATCTGGGTAAAGCAACAGTATATATGTATGTACATATAATGAAACGAATCTTAAATATTTAAATATTGTAAGCTTGTGAGCTTAAAATAAACAAATTGGTTGATCCCCCACAAACCACTTAAGATAGTTGACAAACCCTTTAGGCAGATTTGCAAGACCCACTCTGGGTGCGTCCTTTAGCCAATTTGTAGCCCTAAGATGTCTTCGCTTTCGATATTGTGGTCACAATATGGGATCGGGGCAACTAGTAAATGCTAATGTCTATTTATACTTCTGCTGTTGGCTGTTGCTGTTGCAAGTCAGTTACGCGGAGGCACTTGACGGGCTTCCTTCGATGGGTTCTCGATGCCCGGTTGCCACTTCTCGGTTCTTGATTCTCGATTCTTGTTTCTGGGTTCTGGGTTCTGGGTACTGGGCTCTTGGCTATGGATCCAGCACATCCACATGCCTCCGCCGACGTGGCCATTTGGGCATGAAAATGAAAACAAAATCTGAAATACGAGTCGGATAGGGGTCTTGGTCTGCCATTGGGTGTGCGGCGAGTATTATGTTATTGTGTTTGGATTGGCTCGAGGATGGTTGTCGCTACACTTTCGATTGCACAATAAACAAAAACGGGCCAGACCCTGGCGCTATCGGAGCACTTGGTCTTTATGGAATCCCATAAATTCGCATGGTCAATGATATAGCCGAAATTCGGCCATAAAGGAAATACAATTATCAAACTGGGCCCTGTCACGTGGTGGAGTTGCCGGTGTTGCCGGGCACGGATCCGTATCTGTTGGCCATAAGCCGTATACTATACGGTTAAGCCGTTGCCGGGCCACGAAAATCCGCCGTGATAAGGCCCAAATCTGGCAAAATAATCAATTAATTTATGGAATGCAGGGGCAAGTAGAAGCCAGTGATAATCAGCCGGTTATCCGGCCATATCTCTGTCTGATGATTAAATCTCGGACCCCGTAAATCCCTGCAATTTGCAATCTGATATGGTGTTTATCCAAGATTGTCTGAGCCTATTTGCTAACCTCTTTGTGGGGGGATCACTTTGGAGATCAGTTCTGGCTTACTTACAAAATATCACCACTCATCTCGCCTTGCGACGGTTTATGACGGCTTCCCAGGCTCCGTGCATGTAAGCATCCGCTCCACGGCAGTTATGGGCTGGTTAAATTCTATGGCCAAATGCCCCTCGGCGGATCAGATTAGATAAAGGTAGCAAAGCTCGCGCCGAGGCCATGAGTTTGTTAGCCGAAAGATGTGGACAAACAAGAAAAACGCTCAAAAGAAAAGGCGAAATTCACACAGCAGTATGTACTCGTGTGCCTGGCATATTGAATTCTATGAATATTGTCGAATTGAGAGACGGGACTTCTCCACTGCCAAACGAAATAAGAATCGTTGCGGATACATAATTGCAAATTCCATTTGGTGTTTGTGCTTGGCCAAGACAATCGTTGACGCACTCCTGCCCCTGGCATTGGCCATGCCTGACGTTTGACAACCCAACACCCACTGAACACCACCTGCCGCCACACCACCCCCCACCACCCACCTCTGGATCACCCACCTCCCAGCAAAGACCGCCCCCCTGTCAGTGCCATCTGCCGATTGACGTCGAAGTGATAAACAGCGAAAAGCCTTTCACACCACGCACCTTTTTGCAGATATCCCACAGATACATTTGCATAGCTGAGGGGACATGAATAGTAATTTGGAAATATCTTCAAAGATTATGAAATACTTTTAAATATATTTGTTTTGTCTGTTTTTCAAGCAAAGACTGGGCGATTCTAAAACTGTCTGATTGAACTATAGGTCAGGAATATTATATTAATAACCAATTAATGGCAAAATTTGTCTACTAATTAATTACTTTTTAAGCATTGGTCATTTATTAAAAAAACAGAACAGCAAGCTTATTTATATAAGAGCTTGTTAAGTTTCCAAAACCACCACTAAGTTTTTGGGCCGCACTGTGGCGGTACAGGTGCAGGCAAATGTTCAATTGCGCGGCTATCGGGGCACGTGACATTTAAAAATAGACTTATCCATGCAAAAGGGAGGGAGCCACGGGGTCGTATACGCAATGTGAAGGCCACTCGGTTTGGGTAAACACTTGCGTAACGTGACACACGAATCGATCTCGCTGGGTGCGTCCGTACTGATCCATTCTTCGCCTAATCTTTCCAGAACATGGCCACGCAACATACCAAGTCGCAGGACGAGCTGACATCCAAGGGCCTGGTGTCCAGGCAGCCGGACAACATCAAGGAGGAGAACGAGAATGAGAGCGAGGAGGACATCGAGGAGGCAGCAGTGGTGGTTCCGCCGGACAGTGGATGGGCCTGGGTGGTGATGGTGGCCTCCTTCCTCTGCTGCACGGTGATCGATGGCATCGTCTTCTGCTCCTCGATGATCAGTGAGCCATTGATAGAGCAGTTCGGTGTGGGCCGCAGCTATGTGGGGTTCGTATCATCCCTGCTCAGTGGAGTCTACCTGATGGCCGGACCCTTTGTGAGTGCCTTGGCCAATCGGTTCGGCTTCCGTCCGGTCACGATTGCCGGAGCCATATTAGCGTCCATCTGCTTTGGACTGTCTTACTTCGCCCCCAGTGTGGAGTACCTATTCATAATCTACGGCGTCCTGGGGGGCATTGGATTCTGCATGGTCTACATCCCGGCCGTGGTGATCATTGGCTTCTACTTCGAGAAGTGGCGTGCCCTGGCCACGGGAGTTGCCATGTGCGGTTCCGGAGTGGGCACCTTTGTCTTCGCCCCACTGACTGAAATGCTGCTGAAGAAAGGCTGGCGGCATACGGTGGCCATCCAGGGACTCATTGTGCTGTCGTGCGCCATCTTCGGCCTGGCTTTCCGGCCCATCCAACCCATCACGCTGTCGGCCACCAAGGAGGAGGGAGAGGAGCAGGAGAAGAGCAAGCTGAACGGCCATGGCAACACGGTGGCCCCCACTCCGCAGCTGCACCAGGCGGCCTTCACCAAGCCCCTGCCCGAAGGTCGTTTCGCCTACTCGATGCCCAACTCCGCCCACAACACTTACATGGGTGCCTCCCAGCGGCACCACTACCCCACCGCGCAGGAGATCTTCAAGGGCATGAACCTGGAGCGTCGTCCCTCGGGAACACCCCAGGGCAGCAAGGGCACGGAACTGAAGCAGCTGAGGAAGTCGCAGCCGACCACACCCAACGGAGATCCGCAGCAGCTGACCTTCAACCTGCACAAGGAGCTGACTACTGTGGGCGAGAATGAGGAGGAGGCGGAGAACGACAACCTGTTGGAGACGGAGGCCAAGCCAGTTACCATCCAGGCGCGCAGGCACACAGTATCCGGACGCCGGCCCCAGGACATCGGAAAGCGACCCGCCGCCGGCGCCGCTCACGACGCGCACCACGGTCAGACGCAGTCCTCATCCAGACCGATGTACCGAGACGATATCTTCTTCACCGGATCGCTCACCAGGATCCCGCAGTACCAGTCGCAGACATCGCTGGCCTACCACATGTCCGTGACCCGACTGCCCACCAAGCAGGACATGCTGGAGGACCGCCAGAAGGGATGCCGCATTTGCCCAGAGGCAGTGCGTCGCACCCTGTCCACCATGCTGGACACCTCGCTGCTCAAATCGCCCGCCTTCATGTTCTTGGCCTTCAGCGGCTTCCTGACCATGATGGGCTTCTTCGTGCCCTTCGGCTTCCTGGGGCCCCGCGCAAAGGCCGCTGGCATGACCAATCCTACGTCTCTGGTCAGTGGCATAGGCATTGTGAACACCGTCGCTAGGATCGTTTGCGGATTGATCAGCTCCTTCCCGGCCATCAAGCCCCTCTGGCTGAACAACATCGCCCTGACCGCCGGCGGCCTCGCTACCATCTTCAGCGGAGTGGTCATCAACGCGGCCAGCCAGTGGGCCTTCGTGTTCTTCTTCGGCATCTGCATTGCCTGCTTCTCGGCCCTGCGTTCCCTGATCGCCGTGGAGCTGATTGGACTGGAAAAGCTGACCAACGCCTACGGATTCCTGATGCTCTTCCAGGGCGTGGCAGCCATCTTTGGCAGTCCCATTGCAGGTGAGTTGGCGCCGGAATGACAAACGGTTGGGGTCACCTTTCAGTGCTTTACGATCATTGAGTACTTTCATCAAAGATCTAAAACTAACTATACCATTTTGCCTAAATGGCGTTAAAAACTTACCATTAATTTAAAAATATACCACGACTTTAATTTTGGTTAACAAAAACGGAAAAGAAAAGTCCTCCATTCTAAGCAATATTCATATTAAGTAATGCATAATAGAAAGTTATAATGCTGCGTCTGCCCTTATCTAGTACTTCACATCGTTTAAATTTTATGAACGATAAAATGCTCAATCGGTCATAATTACAAAAGCCAAAAATGATTTCAAGATGTTAAACACCATTTTTTACAAATTTCATATAATTTTATTTATGCAGATGAATACAAATAAAAGCTTACTTTAAAAGGGATTGCACCCGCTTAGAAAAAGATAGTAATCGAGATGTGTATAATGTTGTAAAGGAAACATGAACTAATGTTTTTTTTTGTTTTTTAATGCCCCGCAGGAGCCCTCTATGATATGACCGGTAGCTACAACGCGACATTTTACTTTGCCGGCGGCCTGATCCTACTCTCGGCCTTCCTGTGCTACCCACTCACCTGTGTGGGCAGGTGGGAGCAGCGGCGCAACGAGAAGCTAACCCCCCTGCCAGCGGCCTAGGGAGCTGTGGATATCGGAGCAAATGAAGACCTGCCCGACAGCCTGAACACCTTGTCATCTCCGATGGCAATGGCACCCTCGGTTTTGGCAACACTAATTGCCAATCACTCGATGTACATGTCGATGGAGTTCCCGATTTCGATGGGGAAGCGAGCGCGGAAGCGTGTTCCGAGTACTTGATACGTTAAGATTAGACTAAGCGTAATGTTGTGCCTTCAGCGATATCGAGTGCCTATCATACACACACACACACCCCTTACCCTAAATCACACGCATAACAGCCAAATGGAGCGAGCGTAAATTATGTTTCTATAAGCTTTAGTGGAGGAGCCCAGCGGTGGACTAGAATTTAGCAGATAGGCTAAGCGGAGGATCGGAGAGAAGGAGAACCGAACACATTATTAATATTATTATGATAGCCGTAAGCAGCTGAGCACATGGCTGGGCCACAAGTCAACTGCCAAGTTAAGAATCGTTTGTTGAGTTATTTAACATGATAGGGAACGCGCATTTGTTTACCTTGTAAGAGAGATGGTACTGCACCGCCACCATGGACTTGTTACATAGCTAGCTAGATATACGTTTATCAATCAATCAATTAAAGACGCGGCCAGCCGATCGGGCGGGGTTAATGCACCCGCCGCCGATCCCGATCCCGCTGCATCGTGGGATTAGCCGATCGTGGACAAAACAAATAAACAATCAGCCACACGATGAGGCATCTGGTACAAGTGCTGTGCTCTTATGCAAACAGATTTATATATTACACGATACAGATATAGAAAAACACACGAACCGTTACATACTCAGCACGTTGAGTGCGTTTCGCGTTTACGTTTATCAACTACAATTACATTGAAAGAGAAAGAATGATTTGTATTACATTTAAATTAATGAGTTTACATTGCATTGCATGCGACATAAGGTTACACTTCATAAACAATAAAGACGATTTCAGTAATACGAACTAACGATCTATTGGTTTATTACTTTCGGAGCACAAAGTAAGCTTAACTAAGGGGCTCGGTTTAAGCGTGACTATGAACGAACATTTGAAATGTGGGCTTAAAGTATCCAGTTAAATAAGTAACGCCTCGTTTGTTGTGTCTTTGGTCATGGCACACTACTTCTCCTGATTTAGTGAATTGATGAACTCCTCTAGCTTCTCTTGTATCTGTCGCACTTTGACTGTTGAATTAAGAGCAATTAAGTTGGCGCTAAATTCAATTAACCGGCAAACTCACTTAGTTCCTCCGCTAGCAGCACTCGCTTGCCGGTGAGCAGGTAACCCTTCTTCTCCTCGTCATCGCTGAACTCGTCCAGCACCGCCTTGATCTCTTTGTCCAGGCGCCGCGCCTCCCTATTGATCACCTGCTGCCTTAGCGCGTTGCCCGTTATCTTGATCACCTGCTGGATGCGCCAGAAGAGCACGACGTCGCTGCAGGAGATCTGAAAGGGGAGTGAACAAGAAGGTTAAGTAAATTATCTCAAATGATGGGAAAGTCTTCCGGCTCACCTCACACTCGGCCCCCTGCTGCGTATAAAGGTAGTATGCCTTGCGGCAGTCTTTTGCCCTCTGCAACGCTTGCTGCAGGAAGTGCCTAAAAGGGGACGATATAAATGTCACAGATAAGCCTGAAATTGTTTAAATAAGACAACTCACTTTCTGTAGACTGGGAACCACGTTTGCCTAATGTAGTCCGTGTCCACATCTACGTTATCACGCTGGAGGTTCTTGCGCACCGTCGTCAGTTCATCATGGGTCAGGGTGGGCAAATGTTTCTACAATTAAAATTATAAAACATGTTATTATAAGGGTGATATTAAGTACATTTCAAACATTCAAACATACCGTATCGTTCTTGAGTATTTTGTCGAGTTCGTTTTTGACGCCTCGCCTTTTTTGCTGATCCTGCGTCAGGTACTGCCAGTGTGTTAACCGTCGCAATTGACCGGGTCCGAACATTTGTGCCAGCGTCTCTTCCGTCTGCACGAGCTTGGCATTCACAGAAGTTTCCAGGAACTTGACCGCCGAATCCCACTCCTGTTTGTCATGCACGAAGCGATCCTCGAGGGTGTTCAGTTGAATCACTCGCAGCATGTCGATGGCCTTATCCTCCCAGCTGTGCCGACGAATAGCCTCGTCCACTACCGCGGACTTCAACTGATCGAAGATGCCGTCGTGATCCTGCGTCTTCTTGGAGCGCTCCATCAACGAGATAAACTCCAGTTGCAGCGCCTCCCAGCCGGCCTCCACCGATTTGGCGGGCAACGCTTGCTCAGCCCATTGGCGCAGCTTGATGTCTACCATTGTGTTAAATGAATCTATAAAGAGCGCAATCATTGGATGGAATTAGTTGAGCGAAATTAGCACGGTACACAAGTTTGGGGGAATGGTAAACAAAGTAACAAAACATTTAGATGCCTAACTCGATAACTGCAATTTGGATCAATTAGGCATTGATTTGGCTGAATTCATTGAGCAAATTAACGGATCTGTCATAAAATGCAAAATAAACAGCCGCCGCGCGGACCAAACGTGTTTGTCGGCCATAAATCGCTGATATCGCATTCGTTTTTGTACTGAGCACATTAACCAAAATCTGGTTTCGTTACAGGTGATCGTAAATCTCCGCTTATAACACTTTCCGGCACATGACTGGGACGCAGACCCTGTGACGATCCCGGCTTAGTCACTCTATTTTCAGGGCAAAGGCAAAACGGTGTTAATGGAGTTGAATTTGGCCGCCGGGGAGTACACATTAAATTTACACTCATGATTCAATTGGGAGTCGCAGGAGGCTCAAACCGGTTTAGAAATCTTCGACGCATGTGATTCCCTTGCACGGGAATGCGGGCCATGATAAATGCAAAATTAAACAAAACATTTTAACGACGCGACATTTACAGATGCACGTGAAGTTCGAGGCAGGTGCTTTCCCTCCAAGAACTACACACAATGACAGAGCACAAGGCGGGCGATTGGATGGACGTGCCCCCAATGATGACGTCGGCGACGACTGCTTACAACCTACAACTTAGCACTACAAAATATTACTTTGAGAACCTGACTGAGCGGCGGGCAGGTAGATGGTTTCAAACACATAGTTGGAAAGCTTCTCCCAGAGTTTAGAATTGAGGGCGTCGTCCCACTTCTTGGCGGAGATTTGCGAGAGCGTCACCACCTCATCCAGTATCTCGCCCTTGGCCTTGTCGAACAGCTCGTCTCGGCCAGACTCGCGCAATCTATGAAATTTGATCGCAGATGTTATAGAACTGAATTATTTTGGGATAAATTCACCCACCTGGGGAAGTTGTTTTTCCATTCGGTTTCCAGATTGAATCTAGTCGCCTTAAATGCATCCGCCTGCTGCTCAATGGTCTCTCGCACCATTTTCCAGAAACGATCCGACACCGCCAAGCTCAGATTCCGGCTGGTCACCTGATGGGGCATGATAACTCCGCGACGACTAAGAATGGAGAGAGGTCAATTTAAGTATTTACCAATCATATCATAAATTTGATACTAACTGGAAAAGCTTGGAGTTCTTAAAGAAGTCCTCCTCATACTGCCTTATGGCATCTATGTTGTCATCCTTCCGCCCACGTCCCGTCACGACCGCATAGTAACCCAGAGCCTTCATGGGGAAGAGCTTGCCCGAGAGGATTTTCCTTATCCTATCCGGATCGGCGAGTTCCTCGGCCAGATCTACCTTGGTCAGCACAAAAATGGTCCGCCGACCCAAAGGATCACATTGCATGACCAAATCGGTGACGTTGCTGCGCTCGGCATCAACAGATCCATCCTGAATGCAGAGAATAATGGCATTAGGATTGCTCATGTAGTGCTTGGTCATCTGGTGAATTGAGTCTTTAGTATCCGAAGCCATGTCCACAGTCATGGTCTAAAAGAAAATACATTTTAATATTTTATTTATGAGCTTTGCGAAAATAATAAGCATACTTACCGAAATAATGCCAGGCAGATCCACAAGAACCATGCGCTGAAGTCCGGGACCCTTGACCGTCATGGAAATGACTTCATTGCTCACTGTTTTACCACCTCGCACAGATGCCCTCATGCGTAACTCTACATCGCGACGTAGCTCTTGCAGATCAGACTCCTTGGTAAGATCGTATTCCCGATCCGAATCGCGAAACTGAGCCACATGGTAAGGTCCTTCGGCCAGGGTGACTTTGACTGGAGCTCGCGTCATCATCTCTCCACTGCCACGGGGAAAGATGCGAGCTTTGGCAATAGATTCCAGCACAGAGGTCTTTCCGCTGCTCTGATCTCCCACCACAACAACACGGGGCAGGTGATCGGCCATGGTGTAGCCCGTATCATACCCGGATAGTTCATCCAAAACTTCCGAGTACATGTCTATCAGGGACTTTTTGATCTTCTTCGCCGTGGTCTTTTTGTTAGTCTTAAGGATGAGGTACTGCTGGCGCAGCTCGCGATTCTCCTTCTCCATCTTTTCCAATTCCTTTTGATACTTAATCTGCACGTTCATGATCTCCGTCTGCAGAGTTTCCACCTGGCTCTGCAGCTTTTCTGTGGGGATAACAATAGTATTAGATATATACTCCTTTTATAAGGGGGCCCTGGAACTTACCATACTTCTTGCGGCTCTCATCGGAGGTTATGCCCAGAGCGGCCACCGTCGTCTTGGCCTTCAGATCATCTTTGGCTGCAACAGATGTTAGGAATAAGTCTCAACTACGGTGGACAGGGTTCTCTCACTTTAAATTGGCCCAACGTTGGGAGTCTGTGTGTATGTGTAAACCTACTTTCGACAATCTGAACTCCTTGATAGTCGGCCGCCTCGATGGCATCGTCCAGACGACTGTCGAACCAGCTGCGCCATTCCGACAACTTATCCTCGCCTAGCTGCTTGAGCTTTGGATCTACAAGCAAACGCCCCAATAACATCAGTATCAGTCAGTGCGAAAAATCAATCAAAACGAAGATTTCAATGCGATTCTGACCAAGGTAATGACCATTTAAAGTGAGAGATAAAGAGGGCGAAGGAGGCGCAGCAAGGGCACTTACCAACATCGATGGCGTTCTTCACCAGGGAGCCCACCTCGATGAGATTCCGCGAGAACTGGCTCCACCGTTCGCCCTGCGGCATTGCGTCCTCCAGCCACTTGAAGTCGGGCAGGCCATCCTTCCAGTCCTCGTATTTCTGGGAAAAACAAATCGTATCTCTTGAATTTGCAAAGAGTATTATATAACTTGCGAAACTCACTTTGCTCAGAGACACGCCCCCACCGATTGCGCCGCCCAGGACGAGGTAGCGCAGCTTGAGTGCGCCCCGCAGGATGCGCACCACCAGCATCCCGTAGCCACGCGATGGCGGAGGCATCTGCCAGCCCCTCGCCGGATTGCCGGCGAGCAGAAACTCCTCGTGGCGCTGGTGGTTCCCATTGGAGCTCGAGCTCCCATTGTCCTGCGGACGTCGCGGGTGGCTGGTGATGCGGCAGAGCGTGGAATGGTTGCAGCAGGCCACCTTGGTGGAGTAGACAACAGCTTTTCTCGCGGTGCGCCTGTGGACAAAACACGACTAAATGAGAGATGCACCGATGACGAAATCGTCCAGAAAAGGCTAGGTAAACCTTTGGCCTTTGCTGTTGCGGGCGTGCATCCTTACCGGTAAGTGTTCTGATAGATGCGCAACATGATTGCTGGTCAGGATAACAGTTTCCACTCAGTTAACTTTGTTTATTTATTATTTATTAATCAATTTTCGTGCCGCAAAAAATCATCTCTTTTTCGGGACCGGGGCTGTGTGACCAGAGGTGGACCAGCTGGTCTGCAGTGTTGGAAAACGTACATTTCTTGTGAACTTTAATATGCAAGGATGTGCACACACTGCCAATGGAGCGCCAAAACTCAAATCAAGGACAGCAGAAAGTTCCTTCGTTCCAAACCCAATTATTTAGTTCCTAGTCCAGAAACTAGTCACTTTTTAGTCCAATGTCATATGGGCATTAATGTATTTTCACTAAATATTGCATTAAGTGATTAGACTTATAATTATACATAAATTAATATATTTAGAATAATTTAAGCGTAATGACGACGACAGACAAAACAATTACGCTACCACTAAATTTAAATTTAAATATTCTCGCGCGCTTTCCTATATACGGGGCATAACGTTGACGTTTATACGTTTTAATTAATACATGAATATTTTCTACGTAGTTCGCTTAACCGAGTTTTCTTTAATATTTAGAATGCACTTTGCAATGAAGTAACTGTGTCTATTAAGAAAAATTCATCATGGGAAAATATTTTCCCAGCCGTCGGATTTTCTTTATGGTGACAAAGCATTTAGAGCCGGTAACGTGTATTGCTTTGGTAAGGCTTTTATCCTCCAAAATCAAGTCGATCTGGTCGATTGAGTTCAGGTTATAAATATCTTTTGGTGTTTCGTTGGACTTCTTGCCGTTGGCTTTCTGGCTGCTCATGGGGATGATGCCCTGGGTGTGATTGTTATTGTTGTGGCTGTGATTGAAGTTCCTACTAAGATTGGTATTGTTATTAAAATATTGCTCTTGTTGAAGCGTAGCTTTGGCTGCATTCAAAGTATTCATGATTTGGTCCGTGGCATCTGCGGCGTCTGCTTCCTCGTCGTACTCTTCCTTGGTTTCGGCAACGGAGAATGTGCTAGTATTCAGGTTGAGCACTGAATACCTCTGATCGATATGTTGGGTGGACGAGGACGACGAGGAAGGCGCCTCGCTTTCCGCGTAGCGATGCCGCATCTCGTACTCCTGAGCCTCTGTGATGCGGTCCAGGGACTGACTCTCGCGCATCCGCCGTCTTCTGTTCGAGGAGTTTGCTGTTGTAGCTGTGGTGCTCTCTGCCTGCTGCTTCTCAGCGTGGGAATGCTTGTCAACATGGTCCTTGTGCTGTTTCCGGTTCTTTTGTGTGTGAGATTTGCGGTTTTCATCGGATTTGTTTGGCTAAGATGAAGGGGAAAGTGTGAACATTTAGTACCTATTTATTGTTAATGTTTATGGTTCCCTAGCAACTCACCTCCTTGTACTGCGATTGTCCTTCTTTTTTGCCACTTACGGACCCGCTTTTCGAGATAAAATTTGACGCACCGCTGGCCGAGCCGGGCGGCGGATACAGCTGATCCTGCGAGTCGCTAGAGTCGTCGTGCGAGTCCCGCCGATGCATGCGAAACCGCACGGGCGTGTCGCCCACGAACTTGTTGATTTTCTTCTTATTGCGCGTCTTGGTGTCATCGTCGGATGCCTCTGAGCTGCTGCATGAAGGCGTCCGAATCTTGTTCAGCTTTGTGCGTCGGTGTGTAAGGACCGGATTCTTGCTGCTGCTGGGTAACGGCTTTAGCTTGCCAATCTCCAGCTCCTTCAGGCCACTCAGCGTGTCCTCGTCTAACTTGGCACTTTTCTCCATCTGCTTGAGCTTCTGGGCCAGCGTCGCATCCACGGAGACGACAATCTTTGTGCGTGAATGGCTTGCCACCCCGCAATTAGCAACCGGCTCTCCTCGCTTTTGATTTCCGGACTCAGAGCTGGAACGCTCGTGTAGTGACCTGTTGAAAAGACCATCTGAAGTGGCCTCTTGCCGTGACGTCGTTACCGTCAATTCATTTCCTATGCCCGAGCATTCGGTGGCAGACTCCTCCTCGTCCTCCTCCCGCACAATGCTGCACTTGCGACTGCGTTTGTCCTGTCAAAGTAAACGCTTTAATTAGATTTACTGCAGTTGAAATGGGTTACTAATTGACTTACTGGCTTGCCACCGTCGTTGGCAAACTGAGCTGCTGGAGTCACGTTAATGCTGATGGGTACTCCTCCTTTCGGTGCTTCTGTTGGACTTGGTTTCTCAGGCACTGGCTTGCGACTCGCGTCTCCCACTCTGAATAAAGATGTATGGGTTAAGGCTGAAATTTCTTTGGAATTTAAAACTCACTTTATGCTGGGGTCATTTAAAAGCTTTTGCTTTTGGGCCTGTTCTTCTCGCCTCCGTCGCAGACGTAATTCCGCCAGCAAAAAATATGTAGCTGTTATGTGATTGTACTTGTTCTTGTCGAGAGCCCTGCAATGACGTCATGTGGGGTCAGCCGGAAATAATTGGTTTTATATTTATGATCTACTCACTGCAATATCTCTTCCTTGGACGCAATGTTTCCATTTATCATTTTCTGTATGATAAAAGCGTGATCCTCTTCACCCAGCTGCTCGCGGCTGACCAAAGGCAGGATATGCTCCGTGGCAGAGGTCATGGAGTCCGGCTCATCGGTTGGCTTTAGCCAGGCGGAAGAGGCAATCTCCTCGACGGTTGCTCGCTTCTTGGGATCCCGCACCAGCATCGAGGCAATTAGATTCCGGCAATCGGTAGACACATGTGAGGGCACCGTGTACTTGCAGTCCATGATCATGGTTAGTGTTTCCGAGTCGTTGGCCTTCTCGAAAGGCGCCTGACCGCAGACCAGCATGTACAGGATAACTCCAAGGGACCAAATATCTTGGGGATTAAACAAAACGGTTAAATAGTGACAAAGGGATTGCTTGGGGAGGACATACCCACTGCCGGCGCATCATATGAATCACCCAGAAGAATTTCCGGGGCCGAATAGGCCAAGCTACCGCAGAAGGTCTCTAGTTTTTGGCCCGGCAAGAACTTATTGCTGAACCCAAAGTCGGTAAGCTTGACCAGGCCTAGCTTTTCGAAAAACACCACATTTTCCGGCTTAAGGTCTCTGAGAATGTGAGGAAAGGTTACGTAAATCAGTGATCGAGACTGTACGGCGTATTATCAGTTGGAACGGGCCCTCACCTGTGCACCACGTGTAGCTGATGACAGTACGTGATAGCACGTAGGATTTGGCGGAAGTATTTGCGGGCCAGCTCCTCGCTGAGTCCGGATTCGTGCTTCATTATGTAATCGTACAGATCCCCGCCGTCGCCAAGCTCCAGAACCAGGTACAGCTTGGTTTGGGTGTCAATAACCTCGTACAGTCGCACGACATTGGGGTGCTGCACCAGCTTCATGCATCTGGAGAGGATTAAGGGGAAAGGGGTTATTTAGGGGTCTTCTATTAGACTTGTAAAGGCACGTACCGTACTTCCTGGAACAAGTGTGCCTTGGACACCTCGTCCAGCTTGGTCTTGTCCACCACCTTGACCGCCACCTTGGCGCCGGTGAACACGTGCCGGGCCAACTTGACCACGGCAAAGTGCCCGGATCCCAGGGTCTCCTCCAGGTCGTAGAGCCCAGCGATCTTGCCGTCGCTCACCCCGCCAACCGGCTGCGTCTCCAGCGTCATGATGGCTCCTTGGCACTCTTCCAACGGCCTGCGTGTTGGGCACTACTGTCCGCGATTAGCTGAAACTATAATTATATAGCTCTATCATTTCGGACACGGGATGTTTGGCTGGCTAAGTGCTGCTTCATGAACGGAGATTGATGTAATAGGTGCTGCCCTAAATGGCGGGGGGATCAGCCCATCCCGCCGAGGTATTTACAAGCTTATCGCCTGCTCCCAATTAATGATTCATCCGGATACATATGTCCTTTTTATGTTGAGCTCACAGCAGGAGCAATGCAAAAGCAGGGCTGTTACACAAGGGGATGCGGAAAGGCAGGGCTGTTACCTTTTACAGCGGAGGGGAAGTCGAATCTCCGCCAGCAGATGCAGGAAAAACTACGATGCGCGACCCATTCCGGGATGGAGGCGACTAAACCTGACCTCTCACTGGCCGCTCGAACGTCTCGCACTAAACTCTTGGACCTTATCACTCATGAAAACTTTAGTTAGTTAGACTTTTTGTATACACATTTTCGACTATTTTCTGCGTTTTTTTCTGAATTTTTAAAAGTGTGGCCAAACGTTTTGAGGTAGTGGTGACACAAAAGCAATTGTCTCGTAACTATCGTATGTACAAAATATGTTATATTTCAAATAAAATAATATATTTCTGAAATAAAATTACAAAACCATTTGAGCTAAGAACAATGTATCTTCAAGTAAAAAAACTTAAATTAAAAATTAATATTGGATTCCGCATGGTATTTCGCTTTGGTCACACCTCTCTCGAAATACAAAAAATACCATCGAAAATCGCAAACGCCTTTTCTTCGGTCGTTCCAATCAAAATTCTCAATTAAAGTATCAAAAAACAGAATTCACGCAGCCAGAGAGCTATAATGAGTTTGAGTCCCAACCCAAATCAGCAGAGCCCACATGTAGACCACCACAGCTGCACCGCCGATTGCGAACAGGGCCACAAGGTAAGGGGGTGGGGGTCAGGTCCGCTCCAGGCGGATTGGCATTGTTTTGGACTCTATTACATGACTTTCGATTTTCTCCCGGTCAGCTGGCCAACGGGCATGCCATGAGCGATCCCCGGAGCAGCTGGTGCCACGACAAACTCTTCAGCGGATCACTCAACTCGCTGGCCAGGCGCGATGATGGGAGCGGGAGCGGCAGCGGGGGCGAGGACAGCGTCAGGGGCTCTGGCACGGGACTCGTCGGCCTCCAGAACATCGCCAACACCTGCTACATGAACTCGGCTCTGCAGGCCCTGAGCAACCTCCCGCCGATGACGCACTACTTCATCAACTGCAGCGACCTGGTGGAGTACATAGCGGAGCAGAGTGCTCGCCGCTGCAAACCCGCTGGCCTGGCCAAGAGCTATCGCCGGCTGATGCAGGACATCTGGCAGGATGTCGATGAACCCAAAGGTTCTGCCCCACATCCTCTTAACTGGAAACCCTACTAAAGTTTGAGCTTTTGCAGAGTTTATTGCCCCGCGTGGCATTTTGTACGGCATTCGTTCGGTGCATCCCATGTTCCGAGGCTACCAGCAGCACGACACCCAGGAGTTTTTGCGTTGCTTCATGGACCAGCTGCACGAGGAGCTTACGGAGCAGGTCTCGCTAATGCCACAGTCGCAGAACCAAATCCAAGCGCAATCACAATCCCAGCCACACCAGCAGCAGCCCAACGAAACGGACGACGACAACGAGGACGAGGCGGCTCCGGCGTCCATGACGCCTACAGTTTCCGAGAGCGAGTACGACACATGCGAGAGCAGCATGTCTGAGCGCTCAGCGGAGGTGCTGCTTAAATCCGAGTACTTTGTGACGCCCTGTCGGACGAACAATTCAAACATTGTCCTGCCAGAAGCTCATCCAATGCACATGCAGCCACCGCAGCTGCAGCACCAGCAGAAAAATACATCCTCCCCAGAACAGAAGCCCATTGAAGCGGCTCGCTCCATAATCAGCGACGTGTTCGACGGCAAGCTACTGTCCTCCGTGCAGTGTCTGACCTGCGATCGCGTGTCCACGCGCGAGGAAACATTCCAGGACTTATCGCTGCCTATTCCCAATCGGGATTTCCTCACCGTACTCCACCAGGCACACAGTTTGAGTGTGCAGAGCCTAAATGCAGCCGAAACATCCGCAAGGACCAACGAGGGATGGCTGGCCTGGATGTGGAACGTACTGCGATCCTGGATCTACGGACCCTCGGTGACGCTCTACGACTGCATGGCCAGCTTCTTCAGCGCCGACGAGCTTAAGGGAGATAACATGTACAGGTGGGAGTGCCCCTTTAACAGCTGTTGAACTTGAATCTAAGTATTTGTGTCTTTCAGCTGCGAACGTTGCAACAAACTCCGCACGGGCATAAAGTTCTCCCGAGTCCTCACTCTGCCCGAGGTATTGTGCATACACCTAAAGCGCTTTCGCCACGATCTGTCTTACAGCTCGAAGATCTCTTCGGACGTCTACTTTCCGCTGGAGGGCTTTGACATGCGTCCGTACATCCACAAGGATTGTAAGAGCCAGGTGCCCATCTACAACCTTTCCTCGGTGATTTGCCACCATGGAACGGTGGGTGGTGGCCATTATACCTGCTATGCGCGCAATGCCCTCAACGGAAAGTGGTACGAGTTTGACGATCAGTATGTGATGGAGGTGTCTCCGGAGACAGTGCAGACCTGCCAGGCGTATGTGCTCTTCTACCAGAAGCACAACCCCCAGATGAAGCTAGTGCGGGATCAGGCGATGAATTTGTCTACTACCCATCCACTGTGCGATTCGGACATTCAGTTCTATGTAACGCGTGAGTGGCTCTCGCGACTTGCCACCTTCTCGGAACCGGGACCGATAAACAACCAAGAGATGCTCTGCCCCCACGGTGGTATTCTACATTCCAAGGCCGACATGATCAGCCAGATTGCGGTGCCCATATCCCAGCCGCTATGGGACTATCTGTACCGGAACTTTGGCGGCGGACCGGCGGTGAACATAATCTTTGAGTGTGAGATCTGCAAGCGGGCGGCGGAGACGCTGACCCGTCGTCAGCAGTACGAGCTGAATGAGTTCACCAAGTACAACGGATTGCAGAACGAATTCGATTCGACGGCCATTTATGCGATCGCCATGCCCTGGCTGCGGTCATGGCAACAGTTCTCGCGGGGAAAGACCCACAAGGAGCCAGGACCGATCACCAACGAGGGCATCGCTGCTCCCACGGAGAATGGCTCGCTGAATGGAACTGCCACTGTGAGCTGTGTGAGATTGGGCTCCGACTACGCGCAACTAAATGCTCGCCTGTGGCGATTCCTCCATAATATCTACGGTGGTGGACCGGAAATTATGCTGCGACAGGCTCTTTCGGATGACGACGATGCCGAGGAGATTGAAATCATCGATCAGGACGATGAGTGCGACGATGATGAAGATCAGGAGGAAGACGACGACGAGGAGGTTGCGGTAGCCAACTATCAGCACAATCATTCCGACACCGAAAGCAATTTGGGCCGTCGCACTACTCCGAGTCCAAGTCTCAGTCCCAGTCCAAGTCTGACGTCCAAGCGTCAGCCGGTGGAGGCGGAGTCGGATCTGCGGCCAAGTAGTCCAAAGTCGAAGCGCAGCAGATCCAAGATGAAGGTGTCCGCCTTGCGCTTGAATATGCGGAAGAGGGGCAAGCGCAATCGCAGTGCCTTTAAGCAGCACGCTGAGATGTTTGGAGCCAAAGGTGGGTTACTGCGATAAGCTTTTATTTATAGGTGTTAAAATCAAAGGTTGGGGAGGTACTTAGGTTCGGTAGCGCTAATTTTAACTACAAAATAGATAGATAGTTAGGATTTCCCTTATTGTTAAATCCAAAGACAAAGGTTTCATTTTGATAGCTTTACTAAAACATATTTCGTTTGTACTTATTTTTTGCAGGAAACTACAATGCTCATAACAACGCGGATCCGCCAGTGGCAGAGCATCGCGATAGGGAAAAGGAGAAGGATAAAGATAAGGACAAGGACCGAACTGTTGCATTTCAGAGCGAATACAGCTTACCCATTTCGATACCATTCCAAAGCGACAATTTCCAGGTGAACGGGGTGCACGAAAAGTCGCGCGACAAGGGCAAACAGCGGAACGGCTCCAGGAGTGGTAGCACCGCTACCAACAAGGAGAACGTCACGCTGCAGAAGTTCGTAACCCTGCGCGAGGCCAATGGCCCGAGCGACGAGACTGATATTTGATCGACGGCGTCGGATCGAGGAGGTGGAGAAGAAGAAGGAACCAGTACCCTTGGCCAGAGTCACAAAACGCCCACGTTGAAACGCAGGCCAAAATCCAAGTTTAGGCGCAGGCGAAAGCGCTAGTAGTTTTATACCTCAGTGTTTTGTTGGGGTGGAGGCTATATAAATTATGTAAAAATTGTATTTATAAATTAATCGTAAAGCTATCCCCCATTCGGCGCCTTACCCGGTTATGTTATCCCAGCTCCTGGCCAGGGGTGATTTTGTATATAGTGCGGGAGTGCTTTAATCGGTGTAACAATAGAGAATAAATTGTAGAAATCTTGGCCAAACTGCAGGTTCTGTGAATCTAGGCTTTCAGCGTGGCCCAGATAAAAAAAATCAATCACTGTTTGTATTTATTCTTACGGTTAGGGTGGCCCGCTGCACAGCATTGGTCCACTCAAAAGCGACGTATTGGGTCTATTTATAGAGGAGCAGAGCGAAGAGCACGGCAGCAGCAGATGTGTGTGGCTCTTCAGCTGGCCCAGTTTATAGAGATTCAGTGAGGCGTGCGGAGGTGAATGCACATCTAGCAATTGTGTGAGAGTGCGGATGAATTTCTCTGGCTGAAAACCATCACTTCTGGATAGTATACTCGCGTTCGCCACGATGAATCCCTGCCATGTGTGCGAGGAGCCGACGAAGAACAAGTGCTCCAACTGCAACCAGGTGTCCTACTGCAGCGCCCAGCACCAGAAGCAGGACTGGAAGGCGCACAAGCCCAGCTGTCATCCATTCAAGGTGGGGTACTCACATTTATCCAAACGAAAAGGCTTTGATGGCCCAACATAACCTCAACCCGCTTGCAGATCGCCTACAATGAACAGCTGGGCCGGCATCTGGTGGCCACTCGCACCATCAAACCGTACGAGATAATCCTCAGGGAGGCGCCTCTGGTGCGAGGTCCTTCCCAAATCTCCGCCCCTGTGTGCCTGGGATGCCTTAATGGCATCGAGGCAGAGGATCACATCGAGTGTGAGCAGTGTGGATGGCCTCTGTGCGGACCGGAGTGCAAATCCTTGGATGAGCACAAGGGGGAGTGTCGCCTCACCAAGGATCGGGGTCATAAGGCCAACGTTCAGGAGTTCAATGGACCTCATCCGCTCTACACCTGCTTAAGCACTGTAAGATGTCTACTCATTGGCGAAACTAGCCCGGAGAAGGCGAGCAAGTTCCAGGAGCTGGAGTCACTGGAGGCAACTAGAAGAGGTTCCAGCCAATGGAAGGCAGATCTGGCCAGCATCGGGCAGTTTATTCCCAAGTAAGTATTACAGAGCTTAAACAGGCTTTCCAGCTATAGATAAACTTTTAACATTCCGTAATAAAAACCCATAGTTGTCTAGTCCAATTTAATAATCGTTTGAATTTTTATATGATATCAATAAAACTTTTATTGAAGGGATATTTATTCTCATACTCATGCTTAGCAAGTAAGTCTAGCGAAACGAAAGTAGAAGGTGAAATATGTAAACGTAAACAAACTTATCTTATCTGCCCTTAATATGCATGCATATGTACCCACCGTTACTTTAGTGCTATCGCCTCAGGTCATAAATATTTTTAAATCGTTAATAAAATAGTAATATTAAAGAAAAAGAACATATACATATAGCCACTTTACGATATTATGATATAAATATTTAATTACTTGATCAAAAAATATAACGATTTCAATAATTTGGGTGATAAGATATGGAAAAACTTCCGAATTACTCTGATTACCATTCCATATGTTTAAATCGCTTTCAGGTTCTTCAAAACCGAGAAGTTTAGCGAGGAGGAGATCATGCGAGCAGTGGGTGCCCTGCAGATTAATGGACACGAGGTGCCAACAACTGATCCCTCGCACGTGGCCGTCTTTTACACGGCCTCCTTCACGGAGCACTCCTGCCTGCCCAATCTGGCCAAGAGCTTTAATAAGAATGGCCACTGCATCCTGTGGGCCCCGCGCGAGATCAAGAAGAACACCCACCTGAGCATTTGCTACTCAGATGCCGTGTGGGGCACCGCCGATCGCCAGAGACATCTGATGCAGACGAAGCTGTTCAAGTGCGCCTGCCAGAGATGTGTGGATCCCAGTGAATTGGACACCAACTATAGTGCCATTAAGTGCGAGGATCGCCAGTGTGGCGGCCTGATGCTTCCCAGCAAGGCGGACGACTGGAACGGCAGTTGGCGGTGAGTCCCCTTTGCCCATTCTTAAAATATTCAGAAGATCATCTGTTTCCCTTATCCTTCCAGCTGCTGCGAGTGTCATAAGCAAGTGCAGAAACACTATGTGGAGCGCATTTTGGAGCGGGCTGGCAAGGATATCCAGAGCATGGAAAAGAACGTCGAAAACGGTTTGAAGTAAGTACTTTTTACTTAACCTATGTACATATGTAAAATGTTAAGTAAACATAAAAATAACCAGAGTTAGGTTTAGAAAACAACAAATATTCTAATAACTATTACTATGGTCCTAATGAAACAATTTTACGATCAAAATAATTTATTTTGATATACATACTTAAGAAAACAATTCGGTGCAGTATTATTTTCTGGCTATAATTGTCATATTCCTATAATTAATACTAACTTCGTTAGTACAACAACAGATCATAGTATAATAATTAACAATTAGTATTATACAAATTTTAACATTGTTTTTACTTATCTTCTTAATTTAAAGATATCTTAAGCACTATGAAAAGTGGCTGCCTCCTCACCATTTTCACATGAGTGAGATAAAAATCCTACTAGTCCAACTTCTTGCCAAGGATCAGAAGGAACTAATGGTTATCCCAGAGGATAAACTGCTACTGAAGCTAAATTTCGCGCGGGAACTCGTTGAGTTGTATGAGAAACTGGCGCCGTGTAAGTGTTATTGTTGATTATTACTTATACGCAGCGTTATCTTAAGTGGTTATTGGTTATTTTCCTATCTACTCAACAGGCGAAGTTCGCACGCTCGGCACGCTTTGCTTCGAGTTGCATTCGGCAATCGCCGAACAGACTCGTCGTGTGGCGCTGGAAACCAGCCTGTCGCCCAAGGATCGCTTGGAGGAATCTCTGTACTATGTGGAAAAGTGCGTCAATTATCTGCAATACGAATCGGATATTTTCGTCGAGGGTCACATTCTCAAGCAGGCAAAGATCAATCGCGACGCCCTGAGAATGGTCACCAGGATATCCTAGGCAGCCAGTTGAATGGCCAATACAATCAGAACATTTTCACAAACAACCTGTATCAAAATTACCAATAAATAGTAATCACTGAATCCCCTTAATTGAAGTCTATAGGTACTAAATCGGCATGAAATTGGCCAGTCATGTCTTCACTCATAGGTCCAACGTCATTAGTTGCCGGCCAATTAGATTACGAATGTATTGTGTATTTGGTATTGTGAGTAAGCCCTGCTGACAGTCCATCCGATAAGGATAATTGTGTGTGAACCGTGACATTTTAATTTTGTTCAAGATAACTTTACTCTTTTCTTCGTGGGTTGTAGCCTATATAGAATTATAGAGTATTATAACTCATTCAATAAGCCTTCATTCATTACAAATGCATAAGCAATAACTAATTAAATGTTGTTGCAATATTGTGAATAGTTGAGTTATTACTCGATATCCACGCTGCTTGATACTTTATCTTAAGAACTGAAATATGGGAAACACTGTTTACTTATCATTGGCAATACATTATGCCCATTTATAACCATTAACAATATGATTTAACTTGTCCTTGTAGTAGGTAGGTTTGTAGTTTGATAGCACCGAAATACAGGTTCAAGAAAATGTTGTGTGATAAAATGACTGTTTTACATTTGTTTTTGTTTTCTTAACAACAATAAATAATTAAATTTTAAAGTTACTGACCTATGCTTCTATAATTTGACTACTTGAACTTATTCCTTTCAAAGTCCCTCCTTTAAAGTCAATTATTTGGTTTAGATCCTATCAGTTATCACGTTCCCAGCCATAACATTCACATTATAATCGGTTTCATCAGAATTCTCTTCACATGCAACCAGCGGCGTAGGCAGGGGTTTTTTGGGGGTCAAGTCTGAAGGCCACTCAAATAAAAGCTGATATTTTAATCCTTAATTTAAAAAGAATGCTGTAAGTATGATATTCTGAAGCCCCACCACATCAAATCCTGGATACGCCACTGTTTGCAGACATTTGACAACGAATTTCACAAGCCGACCAAACTCACCGTTAGTCTTAAGAATTATATACCTGTTCAATAAATTGATAAACAAGCATTATCAGCTGATAAGGCTCCACTCTCGTCGGGCAGCCATTCAAATATAAGCCCAAAACAGTTGCCATATTCTAATAGTCTGTTTAAGTCAGCACTGCCTTCAGCTCTTTCTGGCCCATGTGATACCTGTACCTCATACGGATTGATATAAAGTGATATTTAGTCATAGCCTTAACTGAATTAAATATATAGGATGACCGTTAAAAACGGCGACATCGTCAAGGACGATGGGAATTTGCGATCGCAGTACAAATCGAATATCGTCCTGAGCAGCAAAATTGAGGATTCGCAGAGAGATCGGAAGAGCTTGTGAGTTTTTTAGAAAGTGTTTTATTACTTAAAATCCGATAAGGATATACAACTTATGAACAGGACATTGGTGTCTAAAATGTGGAAAAAACAAGTGTTTTATCGTGCAATAAACGTGACTGAAAACATAAGAAATATAAAAAAAAACTTATAAAATATATTAATTGTCAACCACCAATTAAATATAATTAAAAAATATATATAATAAATTAATTAGTATATAAATTTGTATTAATTAATTTTCATGTTTCTATCAAGTGCTCAATACAACCTTTATTACGAATTCCATTGAAGTTTTTCACCTTTAACAAAATTGCTCTTTAACGATGATATTGCAAATTAATTATATACAAATGTTCGCATAGTATACGTACTTTAATTCTGGTATACTCTTGCTAAATGTGATACACTGACTTTCTGAAGGACTTGAAAAAAACACAAAATAATTACAAAACAATTAAGTAGTATCAAAGCATAATTCTCGGACTAATGATACGATAATTCAAAGAAACATCTTATAAAAGTCGTATCCCTTAATTGAAATTGATTTATGTTATTTTAAAAACAATAAACTTAAATTAAATTTAAGAAAAGTTTTCTCTATTTTATAAATTACTAAAAACCAATGATTTACTAAAAAAACGATATTGTTAAATAATTAATGATCGAGAGTATTATGGAGTCGTTAAATTCTAAGGGCAGCTATTACTTTATCAGTCATTGATTGCTAATGCAATAAATGTTAACCAACCAGAAGAGAGTCCATATCACACTATAGATAGTAAATACGTCGGGCAAATCCTAAGCGTGGTCACAATGTTATTGACTGTTTAGAATCACTACCCTCGGAAAGTGTCATGGGCAGATAAGGGTTGTGCGATTGGCAACTCGTCGCCCCACGGGTTCAGGGCTATACCGTCGATTGGATAGACTTTATTACTTTTATTATTATTGCAGTGATCCCAACAAATCGAAAAAGAAGTCCAAGCATGACGAGGCGGATGCTAGCGATGAGGAAGATGGCTTCCAGTACAAGGAGGAAGTCAAGCAGGTTAGCTACTTCCAGCTCTTCCGGTATGCCACCAAAAAGGATCGCATGCTCTACGCGATTGGATTACTGTCTGCCGTGGCCACAGGCTTGACTACTCCTGCCAACAGTTTGGTCTTTGGAAATCTAGCTGATGTAAGTTTAATTTGATACTCTGAAAACATGTGTGCTAACTTAAAACCCTTTAGAATATGATCGAATTGGGCGGTCTGGCGGCTGGGGGAAAAACTTACCGCGCTGACGACAGTTATGCTACTTTGCTTTTGGACAAAGTACGAGAGTTTTCCCTGCAGAACACCTACATCGGCATCGTTATGCTGGTGTGCTCCTACCTCTCAATCACCTGCTTTAACTATGCCGCCCATTCCCAAATCCTGACCATACGCTCCAAGTTCTTCCGCTCTATTCTGCATCAGGACATGAAGTGGTATGACTTCAACCAGAGTGGTGAAGTGGCCAGCCGAATGAATGAGTAAGTGACTCAAACTCTTTATCACATTCCTAAAAAAAACCATAAATGGTTATCAATTCTAGCTTGCTTTCACATTGAACAAGTCTCTTGTCTGAGACTTATCAATATGTTAACGTAAAAGTTATTCACTTTATTTTTAAATTCCTTAAAGGTAGATTAATTTTTGCAACTAATGCTAAAAACCCGACTGTAAAGTACAGCAACCAAAAAAATAATTCTAAGATAATGATTTTAGATTTTTTACTAATTACTATACTCAACTGATTTATCGTTTTTACTTATTTCAGAGATCTTTCCAAGATGGAGGATGGTCTTGCTGAGAAAGTGGTGATGTTTATCCATTACCTTATATCCTTCGTGGGATCTTTGGTCCTAGCCTTTGTAAAGGGCTGGGAGTTATCACTAGTGTGTTTGACCAGCCTGCCTCTGACTTTTATCGCCATGGGTCTGGTGGCGGTGGCCACATCCCGCCTGGCCAAAAAGGAGGTGACCATGTACGCCGGTGCAGCCGTGGTGGCCGAAGGCGCTCTCTCCGGCATTCGGACAGTGAAAGCTTTTGAGGGCGAAGCCAAGGAAGTGGCTGCCTATAAAGAACGCGTGGTGTCCGCCAAGTTGCTGAACATCAAGAGGAATATGTTCTCCGGAATCGGGTTCGGTCTGCTTTGGTTCTTCATCTACGCCTCCTACGCTCTGGCCTTCTGGTACGGAGTGGGTCTGGTGCTCAAGGGTTACAACGATCCGAAATACGCGAGCTACACTCCTGGCAACATGATCACCGTGTTCTTCTCGGTGATGATGGGCTCCATGAATATTGGAATGGCGGCTCCTTACATCGAGGCCTTTGGAATCGCAAAGGGCGCCTGCGCCAAGGTCTTTCACATCATCGAACAGATCCCAATAATTAATCCAATTGGTGCTGCGGGTAAAAAGCTGAATGAGCCACTTACTACCATTGAGTTCAAGGACGTGGAATTCCAGTATCCTACGCGACCAGAGATCCCCATTCTGAAAAGACTGAACCTGAAAATCCATCGGGGCCAGACGGTTGCCCTAGTGGGTCCATCCGGCTGCGGCAAGTCCACCTGCATTCAGCTGGTCCAGCGATTCTACGATCCCCAGGCTGGTGATCTCTACTTCAATGGTTCTAGTCTCAAGGACATCGATATCAACTGGCTGCGCTCTCGGATTGGAGTGGTCGGTCAGGAGCCCGTTCTTTTCGGCGTTTCTATATATGAAAATATCCGATATGGCCGCGAAGATGCCACCCGTGCTGAGATCGAGGCAGCCGCTGCCGCCGCCAATGCTGCGATTTTCATTAAGAAGCTGCCCAAAGGATATGACACCCTGGTGGGAGAACGAGGTGCTCAGTTGTCTGGAGGTCAGAAGCAGAGAATTGCTATTGCTCGCGCCTTAATCCGTGACCCCGAGATCCTGCTGCTGGATGAAGCCACCTCCGCTCTGGACACCGCCAGTGAGGCTAAGGTACAAGCTGCGCTGGAGAAAGTCAGCGCTGGAAGAACCACCATTATTGTGGCCCACAGACTGTCCACAGTGCGCCGGGCAGATAGGATTGTGGTGATAGACAAAGGAGAAGTTGTGGAGAGTGGGACCCACCAAGAGTTGATGCAACTGAAGGATCACTATTACAACCTAGTGACCACCCAATTGGGCGAAGATGATGGCTCAGTATTGAGTCCCACCGGCGACATCTACAAGAACTTTGACATCAAGGACGAAGATGATGAGGAAATTACCGTTCTACACGAGGAAGAAGAGGAAGTAGTGGAGGTGTCTTCGAAGAAGAATAAGAAAAAGAAGAAGGTCAAGGACCCGAATGAAGTGAAGCCCATGTCTGAGGTGATGAAGATGAGCAAACCGGAATGGCTGCAAATCACAGTGGGTTGCATCTCCTCCGTGATAATGGGTTGTGCCATGCCCATCTTTGCCGTGCTATTCGGCAGCATCCTGCAGGTTCTTTCGGTTACGGATAATGATGATTACGTGCGGGAAAACTCTAACCAGTATAGCTTGTACTTCCTTCTGGCTGGAATCGTAGTGGGTATCGCCACCTTCCTCCAGATCTACTTCTTTGGAATCGCCGGTGAGCGGCTGACGGAACGTCTCCGAGGACTCATGTTCGAGTCTATGCTCCGCCAGGAAGTTGCCTGGTTCGATGACAAGGCTAATGGTACAGGAAGTCTGTGTGCTCGACTTTCCGGAGATGCAGCTGCAGTTCAGGGTGTAAGTTGAAATGAGATCTCCATTTAGTAATTCCCTATAATAATTTTCATTATCTTTAGGCAACTGGTCAGAGAATTGGAACCATTATCCAATCTTGCTCCACTCTTGCCCTGGGTATTGCTCTGTCCATGTACTACGAGTGGAGTCTTGGATTGGTGGCTTTGGCTTTTACGCCCTTCATCCTGATCGCCTTCTATATGCAGCGTACTCTTATGGCAAAGGAGAATATGGGCTCGGCCAAGACCATGGAGAACTGCACCAAGTTGGCCGTCGAAGTGGTTTCTAACATTCGTACTGTAGTGTCGCTGGGACGAGAGGAAATGTTCCACCAGACCTACATTGGCATGCTGATTCCAGCTGTTGAGGTAGGCTATCGTCCTTACAGAGGTCTTTAGATCTGCTGGCATAGTCCTTTTAACTAATTAATGCCTTCTTACTATTCACTAAATAGATTTCCAAGAAAAATACCCATTTCCGAGGCATGGTGTACGGTCTCGCCCGTTCCCTGATGTTCTTTGCCTATGCCACCTGTATGTACTATGGAACCTGGTGTGTGATTAACCGCGGAATCGAGTTTGGAGATGTCTTCAAGTAAGTACCCAGACTAGTAATGTCAACCAAGAGGATATCCCTAAAATCGATCTCTCTTTTAGGGTATCCCAAGCCCTGATCATGGGCACAGCTTCCATTGCAAACGCTTTAGCCTTTGCTCCTAACATGCAGAAGGGTGTATCGGCAGCCAAGACCATCTTTACGTTCCTCCGCCGCCAGCCGATGATAGTGGATAAACCTGGAGTATCCCGCGATCCGTGGCACTGTGACGGAAGCGTCCGCTACGACAAGGTGGAGTTCAGCTATCCCACGCGCAGGGAGATTCAGGTGCTTAAGGGCCTGGATCTGGGTGTGGGCAAGGGTCAGAAGGTCGCCCTGGTGGGGCCATCAGGATGTGGAAAATCTACGTGCATCCAGCTTATACAGCGATTCTACGACGTAGATGAGGGTGCTACTCTCATAGATGAGCAAGATATTCGCGAAGTTTCCATGACAAATCTTCGCAACCAGTTGGGTATCGTATCACAGGAGCCAATCCTCTTCGATCGCACAATCAGGGAAAATATTTCCTACGGTGACAACTCGAGGAATGTGACTGATCAGGAAGTCATCTCCGCCTGCAAGAAGTCCAATATCCACGAATTCATTTCTAACTTGCCTTTGGTAAATTAACTAGTCTTGAATTCTCTTTTGGTTGTACAATAGTTTCTTCTGTTTTTTCTTAGGGATATGACACGCGAATGGGTGAAAAGGGTGCTCAGTTGTCTGGAGGTCAGAAGCAGCGCATTGCTATCGCAAGGGCTCTCATCCGAAATCCCAAGATCATGTTGCTCGATGAGGCAACCTCAGCCTTGGACGCTGAAAGTGAAAAGGTGGGTGTACCTAATTTTAAAAATATCTGATCCCAATAAAATATTTAAATTCCTGCCAGGTTGTCCAAGATGCTCTCGATGCCGCCTCTGAGGGTCGTACTACAATCAGTATAGCCCATCGACTGTCCACCGTCGTCCACTCAGATGTGATCTTTGTCTTCGAGAACGGAGTAGTCTGCGAAAAAGGCGATCACAAACAGCTTCTCGCGAATCGGGGACTCTATTACACGCTCTACAAACTCCAGAGCGGAGCCATGTAGATACATACTGATAGTTCTAACCAATCATCTTAGGTTAGTGAATTTCGAACAACGACATTGTCTAGTATTTGAAAAAAAAACTCCATAGATTAGTTAGGCTAAGATAATTTATCACCGCAAATTATTTAATATCTCGAGGAATATACTTAACTTCAATATTCTAGGGAAAATAAAGATATTTTTGTAAGTAAATGTTTGTTTTTGTTTTATTTTAAGTTTACATCGATTTGTTTAAATTTAATTGCATATTACCCAGTCGAATTGGTTGTCCACTGGAAACCAACATACAATTTAGCTTAAAGTAGGACCTCCAAATGATCATCTGTTTAGTTGTCCGCGTCAAGAACGCCGTGGCCGCCTTGCGAATTGAGTTTTTGTGCTGTGCTCGTTATTGTACAACTACAACTAGTTTAGAATATACGTAAAAATAATCAAAATCTTACAGGAACACAACACAACACCGACCACGCGATCCAGATAAGGGAGAAAATCGATTGATTGCATAATAAACAATAAAAACTTTATGCAGTCGCCCGTTTCGGTTCCCTGGCGGCTTGGTCTACGTCTTTACGCTTGGAAGTCACATCATTTGATTCGACCTGATCGCATCTGATTTTACTACACATTTTTTTGGGTAAATGCTTGTGGCTTTGTGTGATTCATGATTCGGAAAGGAATATGACGTGTTTGTGTTTAACGTAGAACTTAATCGAAATCCAGAAGCGGTTATTATTAAATAGGGGAACAACAACTATGACTATGGTTGCCTAATTTAGTTCTTCTCTTCTTTCTTGGCGTCGCCAGAAGTGTCGCTTGAACTGCTGCTGTCGGAAGATCCAGCTCCAGCGCCACTCTCGCGCTCAGCTGACATCTGAAATTGGTGGAATACGTCAGTATATAATGTACTACTATTAAAGCTCATTAGGGGACTAAAAACACACCTTCTTGTAGGCCAGCTCGAAGAGCTTGAGGGAAGACTGCTGCAGCGAGGAGGTGGCCTTCCTGACTTCCTCAAGGTCGGCGGTCTCCTTGTTGGCCAGCAATGTACGCAGATCAGCAATCTCCTTCTTCAGCTTCTCGCACTGAAATTAAATTAGATTAGTATTTTTAAGGATGTCAGTTTTCCTGTATTGTTTACCTCCTCAGCGGGCAGCTGGCTCTTGAACTCCTCCATCTTGGTCTCGGTGTCGTGGACTATGCTCTCTCCCTGGTTTACGATCTCAATCAGTTCACGCTTTTGCTTGTCGGCTGTGGCGTATTCCTCGGCCTTTTTGATCATGTTCTCGATTTCATCCTTGCTCAGACCACCGCTGGACTGGATGACGATCTGCTGCTCCTTGCCGGTACCCTTGTCCTTGGCCGACACGTGCACAATGCCGTTGGCATCGATGTCGAAAACTACCTCGATCTGTGGGACGCCTCGGGGTGCCGGGGGAATTCCCACAAGTGTGAAGGAGCCGAGCAGCTTGTTGTCGTTGGCCATCTCACGCTCGCCTTGGTGCACTTTGATCTCGACCTGGGTCTGACCATCGCTGGCCGTCGAGAAGACCTGCGACTTCTTGGTGGGAATCGTGGTGTTGCGGGAAATCAAACGGGTGAACACTCCGCCCAGGGTCTCAATACCCAGCGACAGGGGGGTAACGTCGAGCAGAAGCACGTCGGTGACATCACCGGCCAACACACCACCCTGGACGGCAGCACCAACGGCCACAGCCTCATCGGGATTTACAGAGCGCGAGGGCTGGCGTCCGAAGAGTTCCTGCACGGTAGCCTGCACCTTGGGCATACGAGTCATACCGCCAACCAAAAGCACCTCTCCGATCTCAGACTTGGCAACCTCGGCATCGGAAAGAGCCTTCTGGCAGGGCTGGATGGTACGCTTGATCAGATCACCCACCAGGCTCTCCAGCTTGGATCGGGTCATCTTCAGGTTCATATGCTGGGGACCTGCGGCATCCATGGTGAGATAGGGCAGATTGATATCAGTCTGCTGAGAGGAGGACAGTTCACACTTGGCCTTCTCGGCGGCCTCCTTCAGACGCTGCATGGCAATGTTGTCCTTGCGGATGTCAATTCCACTGTCTTTTTTGAACTCGGCCACCAGGAAGTTGACGATGTGGTTGTCGAAGTCCTCACCACCCAGCAGGGTGTCTCCGTTGGTGGACTTCACCTCGAACACGCCCTTTTGGATCTCCAGAATCGAGATATCGAAGGTTCCGCCACCCAAATCGTAAACGGCAATGCTGAAAGGAAAACATGTGGATACTTTCAGTTATATTGTGTGTAAGACGGTTAACTAAATTAATTGGTTTATCCTGTTTGGATTAATAAGTTATTAGCATCCGTATAAATAAAGCATTTAATCACTGCTTGTCCAATTAAAGTTCAAAAATATAGGTATACTTTCTAAATACAAATCGAAAACTCACATTTTATCCTCCGTCTTGTCCATTCCGTAGGCTAGAGCAGCAGCAGTGGGCTCGTTGATGACGCGCAGCACATTAAGTCCGGCGATCTGACCGGCATCCTTGGTGGCCTGGCGCTGGGAGTCGTTAAAGTAGGCGGGCACGGTGACCACGGCGTTCTTCACGGGAGTGTTCAGGTACGCCTCGGCTGTCTCCTTCATCTTGATTAGGATGAAGGCTCCGATCTGGGAAGGAGAGTACACCTTGCCGTCGGTGGAGGAGACCCAGGCATCGCCATTCGAGGCCTTAACGACCTTGTACGACAGGTTGGTGATGTCCTTCTTCACCTCAGGATCATCGAAACGTCTGCCGATCAGACGCTTGGTGGCGTAGAAGGTGTTGGCCGAGTTGGTCACAGCCTGACGTTTGGCAGGCATGCCTACCAGGCGCTCACCATCCTTGGTGAAGGCGACGTGGGAGGGTGTGGTGCGGGCTCCCTCGGCGTTTTCGATTACCTTGGCCTGCTTGCCCTCCATGACGGCCAGGCAGGAGTTGGTGGTGCCCAGATCGATGCCAATAACAGCACCTTTGACCTCGCCGGACCTGCAAAAGGGGGTGGGAAGTTTGGTTTACACGGGCATATGGAAAGTGGCCTGATAAGGCCGCCGGCAACAAGTGCAGATAAGCGCCACAATTCTATCTATAGATATTTCAAATTATCATTTAGTATTTCTTTAAATCTCCTCTATTATGATGCAACTTAAGGTTGCTTCTGGAAATTCCTAAGTTTACCGAGTGCTTACATAAGCGGGGTCCGAAATTTGGAGAAATCTACAGATTTAAAGGTAGACATTACTTACTTGTAACGCTGCTGCACCGATAATCCATTACTAGCACCAGGCAGATTCTGCAAAAAAAAGAGAGGTGCTCTACTATAGAATCTTCCCGTAAAACATGAACCCGCACGCCGCATGCCGCACTTTATATAATAGCTGGGGTCGGGGGGGAAAGTACTTACACGGAACATGCTAGAAGCCACCGAAATATTGGAAGGCACTACGCCGGCCTGGCGGGCGAGACGGGGCAGAAACTTTGGTACGCGCAGCATTTTGGCTTTTTACTTCTGCAATTTTACACGACAATTGTCAAATTAAAAGCAAAAATTTCGTCAGAACGGCGGAGCACGTTTCTTCCCGTAAGAGGGCTGTAGGTAAGTGACTGTCTCGTCTCTATCTGACCATGCGATAGTTCCCCGCGGTTTGTGTGCCAGAGTTGCCAGCGCGCGTGCTGGGGATTCTTTATTTTCGATTGCGAGTTCCTATTGTGTAAAAAATATTTAAATATTTTACTTCGATTCCAGCACAATGTGGTTTGTTAACATAGTGAATGAAAGCTAACTGGATTTAACACGACTAAACAAATGAGTCTTGAAGAAACTATAAACCGCCAGTCAATGACTTGGTAATTCTATAGGTTTTACCTTGCCGCGCTGCTGTGGTAATAAAATATATAAGAATTGATAAGTTTAGTGAAACCATTTATTACTTCAATATTTGTATGACCTTTAAAGAAACAAAGCGGTAAAGTCTCATAAAAATAAAGCCATCTGTTATCAGTTTTAAATATCATGCAATAGTACAACAAAATTACCAATATGTTTTTAAGTTTTTGCTATCTCTATTTAACGATAGATAATAAAGTTAGCAACATCTCCCACCACTAGTTAGCCATTCATATGTAAGACCATACTGCCGCAGTATGACCACACGTCACAACAAAACCCCATTGGAGCAAACCATCGGCACTATCGGCAATTTCGACACATGTATAGGCATTGCGTAAAAGTACCCAAAAATTTCGAATTCCCAAATTAACATAGAACGCCGGTGAGGCCCGTGCGCTGCCCCGTCCTTGCCCCTCTTCAAATCCGAGCAGCAACCGCGGGTTCATACCAGCGACATGGCAACGGATCACGAGGAGTCCGACGCAGAGCTGGACGAGAACTACTACACATTTCTTAATTTGCCCCGGGATGTAAGTGCAGTGTCACCGGCCGGTAGATAACCGTCGAGCTAATCTCCTTATTTCCAGGCCACCGCGGAGCAGATCAACACGGCGTACCGGAAACAGAGCCGCATCTTCCACCCGGACAAGCACCTGGAACCGGATAGCAAGAAGAAGGCCGAGATCATGTTCAACCGCACCAAACGGGCCTACGAGGTGCTCTCGGATCCCCAGCAGCGAGCCATCTACGACTCTGTGGGCGAGAAGGGTTTGCGCACCGAGGGCTGGGAGATTCTCCATCGGACGAAGACTCCTGCCGAGATCCGGGAGGAGTACGAGCGGCTGGCCCAGGCGGCTGCCGAGCGACGCCTTCAGCAGCGCACGAACCCGCGTGGCAACATTACCATCAACGTAAACGCCACGGAGATCTTTGCGCCGTATGACGACTCCGAAATGCCGCGCGTCGAGATCGGCTCCATGAGCATTGCTCAGTCTATTGAGGCTCCTATTACGCGCAAGGACATGATCATCATGAGCGGCAACCTGTACTCCTCCAATGGCAACGGCAGCGGAGGCTTCGTGGTCGCCGGGCGACGGCTGCTCAACAAGGGCTGGCTGGAACTGTGTGCCGGAGCTGGAAACGGATTCCTTCTGGGTCTCAAGGGTAAGTGTTTATCTAAATCACTGACCAAACAAAGATAAAAGATTTCCATTTTAGGTGGCCGAACATTGAGTCAAAAGGTAACAGTAAATGGAGGTACAAACCTTAACTTCCGGGACCATGGAGTAATACCCGCCCTGTTCTCGACGCTGGCCGTTCAGCTGGACAAGCACACGATGGGCAGCCTGACGCTGAACGCAGGTCCGCAGTCCTCCATGTCCACGCAGATCGATCACTCCAAGGAGACGTACTCTCTGAGCTCGTCCCTGGTGATTGGCACGCCGAATGTGTACTTCGGGCTATCCTACACCCGCAAACTAATGGAGAACGAACTGAAGCTGAAGTTGGCGGCCAAGTAGGAAAATCGGAGAAGCTATAAATCTTTATAAATGATTATTCTTTTTTGCAGGGTTGGAACCTTTGGCTTTATGGGCGAGTATGGAGTGGAGAAGAAGGTTTCCAAGTACAGCTCAGTGACGGCCATGGTATCGATTGGCGTGCCTTCCGGTGTCATACTCAAATTCAAGTGTGTGCATCTATAAAACTTTCAAAACATCAACTTCACTACCACTTTTTTCCCCAGAATACTACGTTCAAATCAATCGTATGTGTTCCCCATCCACCTGAGCGATGAGATAGTGCCGGCGGCAGTTTTCTACGCCTCGGTGACGCCGGTGATTGCGTGGTTCTTTATCAAAAAGACTGTGATGGACCCCATGGACGCAGAGCGCAAGAGTATTGAAGTGGAGCGGACGAAGCGGCAGAACGAGCAGAGGTTGACTGCCAAGCGGCAGGAGGCGAGTGCCGCCGTCCACCTAATGCAGGCCACGTACAATCGGATTATGACCGAAGAGCTTGAAAGGACGGGTCTGATTATAACGCGAGCCGTATACGGTTGCACGGCGGAGGGTGGCAGCCAATTCAAGCCAGAGCAGTCGCTAGACGTCACCGTGCCCATTCAGTGCATGGTCAAGGACGGAACACTGCAACTGCATGATTCCTCAAAGGTGGGTCTCCTTATCTATTCTAATTCTGAAGGATTTTATCTGATATTCTCGTGCAGAGCGACCTGCCCGGATTCTATGATCCTAGCATTGGGGAGGACAAGATCCTGCGCATAGAGTACACCTACCAGAACCAGTTCAAAGTGATCAACGTCAAGGACAACGAGGCACTGCAACTGCCATTGGCAGGATAGTGGGGCCTCGCTGCTCTACACTGCAATTAGTTTAAATCTTCAGTTGTGTTTGTAGCTTGTTTTTATTCTTGATAGAAAAGACCCATTCCCAGGACTTGGGGCAAGTATCGCCAGTTCGAATATTGCCCCAATTTACAATACCATTCTGTAACTCGCTATTTTTGGGATACCTACGCGATCCGAAGCGCGCAATAAACCACTAAAATATAAAAAATCATGGGTATTAAATTTTATTAATATTGTTTCTAATTCCAGAACAGTTTTATTTTTTAATTTTTGGTATTGATACTTTAAACTTATTTTTAATGAAAAGCTTTAATTATATTGTTTTCATTTATGAATTGCATGGTTCAAATTTATTTTTAATGATTTAAACAAATCTAGGTGTTAGCGATGGGTAATTGAAATACAGCGCCGAAAACTATCGGAGGTCTATCGTTACGAGAATTGCGCAATCCTGGCAACCCTGGTTGATGGGGAGATTCACCTGACTTATCTGCTGGAGTTGCAACTTTAAACGCTTTTTGTTCGGTGGGCGAATGTTTTGCGCGTGAAAATGCCAGTTCGCAGCGCTAGAGCGTCGAGCAAGGTATGATGCAATCCGCGGACCATGTCCCTGTTCACAAAGGCGAATCTCATTCGCTTCCTGGCCGGCGCGATTTTCTTGTTGCTGGTGCTTAACTTTGTGGTCTTCCGCACAGACGGGGCCAGCAGCACGTCCCTCAGCAAGCTCAGGTGAGTTCCAGGTGAATATTCCCCGAAGGTGGACTAAATATCCCTGCGTACAGCATCCGGCGTGTGCACAAATATGCGCATATCTACGGGAACGCCAGCAGCGAAGGAGGAGCATGGCTGCCCGCTGCCCCGCTCGCCCGGTCCAAGGAAAGGGAGCGGGATCGCGATCCACACGGCGGACCCAACTCCACCGCAACGACTGTGATTGCCACGGCAAACTTTACTTCCATTCCACAAGACTTAAACCGCTTCCTGCTGGGCACACGCAAGTCACTGCACCCGGGACAGAAATCCACATCCGCCCTCCTCGCCAACTGCACTGATCCCGATCCCCGAGATGGTAAGGTCTCATGGGAATTCATTTGGCTAGAATTAAACATACACCTACTATTTTCCAGGTGGACTTATCACGCCCAACACCACCCTTGAATCACTAGACATAATCGAAGCAGAGCTAGGTCCCCTCCTGCGCCCTGGTGGCGCCTTCGAGCCGGACAATTGCCATGCCCAGCACCATGTGGCCATTGTAGTGCCCTTCCGCGATCGATACGCCCATCTGTCCGTCTTCCTGCGCAACATCCACCCATTTCTAATGAAGCAGCGCATCGCTTATCGCATTTTCATTGTGGAACAGACCAACGGAAAGCCCTTCAATCGGGCCGCCATGATGAACATTGGCTATTTGGAGGCCTTAAAGCTGTACCAGTGGGATTGTTTTATATTCCACGATGTCGATCTTTTGCCTTTGGACGACCGCAATCTCTACAACTGTCCACGTCAGCCGCGGCATATGTCGGTGGCCATAGATACGCTAAATTTCAGGTTAGCAAGGGCATGACCACAGATAAGAACGATAAGTTAAATCGTTTCATTTTCAGGTTGCCTTATCGATCAATATTTGGGGGCGTTTCCGCCATGACGCGTGAGCACTTCCAGGCCGTAAATGGGTTCTCAAATTCGTTCTTCGGCTGGGGCGGCGAGGATGATGACATGTCCAACCGGTTGAAGCATGCCAACCTATTCATATCAAGGTATCCCGTCAACATAGCCCGCTATAAGATGCTGAAGCATCAGAAGGAGAAGGCCAATCCTAAGCGGTCAGTTACGATAAACCAGTTATAGTTTAGTACCTAAAAAATAATTTTTCCCCATATTTCAAACAGCTATGAGAACCTTCAAAACGGCATGAGTAAAATAGAGCAGGATGGGATTAACTCGATTAAGTATGCCATCTACAGCATCAAGCAGTTCCCAACCTTCACTTGGTATTTAGCTGAGCTAAAGAACTCCGAGCGCAAGAGTTAGTCTGCAAAAAGACAGCGTTACAATACGTGACCTTTCCAACTATCTAATATGCGTATGTACAAAGGACAACATTACTTTCACGAACGGTAGTCTCTTTTAATAGAATGTCAGATCATGGCAACATGATTAGTATATTAGACACATATTGTGTACATGGTAGTAAGTCCAGTAACTATACTCATATTACGATGTAGTATACTTTTTATCCATCATTTAGCTTCAATTCGTACTCAAAGAACAACAGTAACAACTCGTCTCTGTAGCAATAATCCTCCCGTTCACTACTCAAAGTGCTCAATGATACTTAGGTATATATAGTATATATAATAACCCATGTTAATTTTTGTATTGTTTTTGTTTTGTTTTAATTTTTGTTATTCCACTATTGTACTTTATTAACTTCTCAAAAGACAGCTACACCTACTCCTACAAGGTGAAATGTAGATATTACTTTTGTGATATGCAAATTGTTATTCGATCAGAACGATTTATACCAAAATAAACTTATAAAAACTTTTACTATACCAAACTTGAAAGTTTTGCTTATCCCCACGCAAATCCATCCATCCAAAAACGCAGTCAAACAGTTCATCGCTTCGTTTGTTAGATCTCGTTTTTATTATGGTTACTACGTGTATTAGAGATAGTATTTATGGCTCTGTAACGACTGGTTACCTTTTAAGTCGCAGTTACGATTATGGTTTATGATTAGTGGGTATTCGGGGGCGCTAGCGAAACAAATAATAGGGGGAATTGGATTCCACGGCTCATTTATTAGTGTTTGGTATGCGGTATGCAAATTACAGTTAAAACAATTGGCATCGAGTAAACTTTTTGGGCATCCCACTGGCAAATTTAAATGCTTGAGCAACAATTTTGAGCAATCTAAGTTGGGGCAAACTATCAAATCCAAAAAAATATAACAATCGGGCCATCCGTAGACGCCGCTTCACAAATTATATACATAGACAATAACGTATAGATATATAGACATAAAATTTGGCAAAACAAATTGCACGTACAACGATTAGAGCAACCAATTGACAAGCAAACCCAATAGAAGCTAGACGACCTAGTAGAGAGCAATTAAAGACGCGGGGCAGGATATAGCGTTAGACCTATTAAGGGCAAATATTAGAAACCTATGTACAAGTAACGATTTCCCGGCAATGTCCACCCAACTACATAATGGAGCAGGGCATGGCACAGCAGAGGGGCAGGCACACGGGCACCACGGCGCCGCCGGACTTGGTTTTCGTCTTTGACTTGGAGCCGGACTCGTACTCGTACATTCCGGATCCCTTGGCCCAGCGACCCTGAAATATTAAAGATTATTAATTTGGGATGTTCCAGCCGACATATTATTAGGTACTCACGCCAGCAGCAGACCCAGCATGCATCTCCTCGCGCTTCATGACGATGGTGTCGTGTCCGGGTGGATAGTACACCTCCTTTCCCATTTTGTTCACGGATGGCACATGCTGCTGGTTGGGCGAGGCCACCGCCGTCTCGATTTCACGCTTGCGTACTGGAGTCTCAATGTCCACTCGATCCACATGGTCAGTAGTCTGAGGAGAAGAAAATATAAGGTAAGTGAAAGTCATAACACAAAGCACAAAAAAATAAATCACTAACTTCAAATCTTGACTGTGTTTATGATATCATAACAGTAAATTAAGTCTTATCTTTATCTGTTTACAAGTCGATTTAGTAATTAAGGTATCAAAAATGTCATTTTCAATAACTTCCTAGGCAGGGTGATTAAGATATGGGTTCTTATCGTATATTTCCAACATGCCTCTACGCTTTAAAAGCAATTAAAAATATTGTTGAGAACTACTAAATGATGAGCTCTAATAGCAACAGTTTTTGTATCTTTTATAAATTTAAATATTTTAATTTCCGAAAGCCATAAAAAATAGGTTCTTGAGAGACTATTATACTCAGAAAAATGATTTGTTTGTTAACATTATTTTTAAAGTTATATTTAATAATCTAAAACGCCAATAATTAAACGTATACTTACAGTTCCGAAGGACTGCATCAGATCGTCCACCCTCTGAGGAGGATTGCTATTCACTGGATACTCAACACCATCCACGGGGAATGGAGATGGCGATCCGTAGTCAGGACCACGTCGATTGTTTGTGTTGGTGGTCGAGGAGTACTTGTAGCTGTAAGTGCTTGTGTTTGGGGGATATCCATTTCCGTTTGGTGGCTGCTGTGGTGGATACGCGTTATTGGGTGGCAGCTGCTTCAGTGGAGCGGACTGGGGTAGACCTGGCTCGTAGGGTCCACCGTTGGGCGGCCTATGCAGGCTGTTCACCGTGTTCGAGGTCTCCGTCTCCTTGTAGTAATAGCGATTTACTCCCGGCTGCAACGGTGGACTGTGGGGTCCTCCGTAGTTGGGACTGTGAGCCGGACTGTGCGGCGGATAGCGCTGCTGCGGCGGCAGCTCATTGACTGTGTTCACGTGATCCGTCTTATGGATATTGTATATAACCGTACGGTTGCCTGGCGGAGTGCCCGCCGGACCCGTTCCAAGGGGCAACTGGCGGGGCTGTGGACTAACGCCGCGAGTGGTGGTCTCCTTGTGCTCCCGGATCTCGTAGGACTGGTTGCTAACCACCGGGCGATCGTTAGGCCTGTTCAGCGTGGAGTAGCTCTCCGTGTTGTAAACCACGGTCTGTGGCACATGCGACGGCTGTGGGTGTGGGATTGGCGACACCTGCGAGAAGTTCTGACTGGAGTTGTGGCTCTCGTGCAGCTTGTAGCTGCTGTTCAGGGTATTCGAGTTGCTCAGGGTGTGAGTGCGGTTAATGGTGTTGGTGTTGCTACCGGGTCCTGTGGCCGGAATCTCGTAGGTGTAAGTCCTCACCGTGGTGGTCACCTTGGTGCCCGGAGCAGGCAGGATGCCATCGCTCAGGGCGATGTCCTGCAGCTCCTTGTCGATGGTGGTGCCGCTGGTCAACGTCTGGTGGGTGCTGGTGGTTGCAGGCAGCAGCTCCACGTTGTTGTTAATGGTGCGATTGCTCTCGTAGATCTTCGACTTGCTCTCGTAATGTCCTCCGCTGGGGGATTGGGCTGAAAGTTTTTTAAATTGAAAAATTAGTTTACATCGTTCATCAGTCCGCTTAAATTAAAATGGTTAGTAGTCTTACCCAGAGTATAAGGCTTTTCCTTGGTCTGATAATCATCCCGCTTCAAGCTCGAATACTTGGCCGTGGACTGAAGGGTACTATAGTCGGTGGGATTGAAGGTCTCCACATCATCTATAAAGGGCTGCTGGCCTCCAGAGCCCGAGTGTTTGCTGGTCTTGACCACTCGCGTAGTCCTCGTTACGGTGCCCAAAGGATCAGAGCGTTCACTGAAACAAAATTAAATAAAAAGCCATAAAAAGTGACTACAAAATTAAATCCGAATTGTAAACCCACAGCGTTCGATAGGTCGTTCCATTGCTGGGCAGCAGATCGCGATCCCTGTTGGTAATCTGGCGTTCCTGCTTCAGATCCTCCAGCAAGGCATCCAGTTGATCTATGTTCTGGTCGGGAGATTTGCCCTGATAGGACACACTGTTATCGCCAGAACTTGAGTATTGGTAGGATGACTTCTTATAGGCATAGTTTTTGTCGTTCTGATAAATTAATAGTGACGTATTAGTGAGTTATTATTATTGAATGGATTATTAATCAAAGTCTCACCCTGCCCCATTTCGAAGGCTTGTCCCGCAACGAGGATGAGTAATTTTCCGAACTGCTCGAGTACTGCATTTCCAATTAGTTTTTTGCTGAAACGGAAACCAGTATCATTCATAAATTATTCAAATTCTACGTGTGAGTAAGTGAAACGAGTCGTGGGTGTCTGCGAGACACGTAATCACGGATTGCGACCCCGAATGGCAGGTTGATTTCGCTCCAAGGCGGTTCGCAAGAATCCCAAGCATTTTTCCCACCCACGCTACCATACGAAAATGGCCGCATTCGGCATTCTGAAGTGAGAACTTTTGGCGCATTAATGGAAGCTTAAGTCATCTGAAGTGGGCACCACTCGAGCACACAAAGCAGGGGATGCCAAACAACAATAGGCATGAACAGGCGGAGGCTGTCATGCGAAGATGAAATGCTCTGGAAAGTGGCAGAAGTGGATCTAAAAGACTGGAGCTTCTAAGCCTTGCAAGGCAGATGTGTAAATGTTGCAGTTGGCTTTTTATAATAATACGACTTTTTATAATAAAACAATAAATTGCTTTTAATATTGTAGTTCAATAATTAAACATTTTTAGTATCATCATATAGACCTGCATTTATATACTTCGAAGGTTATCTCTTGCTAACCAGAAAATCTCCTTGTAAATATTATTTGAACAAACTAAATTATTTTACATACGTATATAAGTACTTAACAATTTAAAATTTTTTTCAATAGGGCTAACAAAAATTATATGAGTATTTGTGACCATCTTTTCTAATACAGCAGCTTTTAACACTTAAATAAAATAAAACGAAGTTCAAAACTTTTCTCTTTTATAAAGGGGAATGCTTTTCTAAAAAGTAATACTTGTAGGTCTGTATAAGAATGAATTCGAACCGTAAATTATAGCTTTATATATAAATATTTCAATCAACACGTCATATAAATTTATTTCTCAGCTCTGAAGCTTAATTTAAACAATAAATTCTGACAACCTTGAAATTTCAAAGCTAAATATTATATTTATATAAGTGCTTAGTATGTGAAAAATAATATTTTATTAACATCATGTAATCGCGATCCCTTTAATATATAATACCCTTTGGCAGAGAATCCTCAAAAATTGCTGGCATTGATTTTCAGAACTGGCACACACGCAAAAACAAGAAAAAAGCCAGAGGCAAAAAGTCAAAAATTCAATGTCAAACAGGTTTTCACTTTCGGCGTGTCCTTAAACTCCTTTTTTGTCTGGGCCGGAACACAAGGTGCACACACATGCACGAGAATATATATGTATGTATCTTATGAATCGGTTTTACTTTGTTGTGGATGCAGTTTTTGTTTTTGTCGATTTTCAGCGATAACCTTGGGGAGAGAGATAGTCTGAGATGATGCAAAAATTCGAAAAGGATGACATGACAGACCGACGATGATGTCATAAGGCGGAGCTTTTGACGGCAACTGCATTAAACGTCAACTAGCGTGTTGACTGGCTTAAGTAATCAAATCAAGGCGAGCTAAAAAAATCACCTTTGAATGGGATTCGTTGGGGATGCTACGCCATATGGTCAACAGAATATAGCTAATAAAGACACACAAAACACAAATAATAAAGCCTCACGTCAGCCAAATACACGCATAAAAAATCATAATATAAATAAAAGGCCAAATCTAATTGATGCCGCCGCCAGCGCCTCCCCCTCCTCCTCACCCACTATATGTGTACATATGTGTGTATGTAGTATGTCCCCCGATCTCAGCACGTTTTTAGCAGTTCTCTGGGCCTCACTTTGGCGAAGAAAACAAAAACAAAACACGGAGAGCGGAGCGCGTGTTTTGTTTTTGCATATGTACACACGCAGGTCAGAAATGATCTCATATACTCAAATACTCGGATCGAAACTCTGGGGTAACATGTTGCTCGGTCTGTCTGGCGATTGGAATTAACCCGTTGCACGACTTGTTGCCATATTTACTATACTTTGCCCAGTCAACATTGACCATTACGATTTTTTTATAATTTTATGAATGAAAATCTTGGCATTACGTATTATTTTAATGATTATATTCATAAGATCTCTAACGTACAGTACGTTTCTTTTTTCAAAACAAACAAACACTTTCCTAAATTAGCTCAGGCTCATTCTACAATTTTCCAATTAAGGCTAACATTCGCCTTACATTAAATATGATTTTGAAATCTTTTATGGCAGTAGAAAGCTTTCTCCATAGTGAGAAATCACACCTTATAAGTTTCAAAATAACTACCTTTTTTTTAAGTTCTAGAAAAAATGTAAACTTGGAAAACGAAAAGTTAATGCCTTTATATCTCTCAAAGATTTTGGGACAATAAATTAAACTTAATTTTAAGTTGACAACATTCTTTTTTTTATTAATCCTCGGAATTTATTAGCTTAAGTGGAAGCATTAATGAATTAAGTCCCACTGACTCATTTAAGAAAATTCTTTGCAAAAGTAAACATCTGAAAATGTGGGATGCATAATATGAATCACATGTTTTCCATAATTTTCCTAAGAACAACAATATTACATTTTCGAAATAATGTTAATATTGGTTTTGGGATCTGCAATAATGAATCACTTTTTTCAAAATAAGTGCATTTCCTTTAAATTATTATTTTCATCAAGCTCTGTTATACAAGTTTTACTTCTTCTTTTTCTTTTTAATCTTGTTAATGATTTTTTATTTATGTAAGTGTTTCTTAAAATCCATTTAAGTTTAAACAAAACACATGTTTCCATTTTGTGCTCCAATTTTTTTCAAAAAAAAAGTCAAAGATCAAATCTTGTAAGAACACCCAAAGGAATTTTGTTGTTTTCCCAATTTGGAGTAGATATATTACAATGGGTTAAATCATTGAAGTGGGCGGGGTTTCGGAAAGGGGAAGCGAGATCACCGATCACAGATCGCCAAATACCAGATCGCATACGTAGGCAATGGCAAACAAACTCGTAAAATAAACAAATAGCGGGCTAACAACGAGTTTGAAATGGCCAAAAAAAAAAGCGAAGGTGTTGTTGTCGTCGTCGCCGTTCTGTTGTTGAAATTTCCGAAAATCAAATCGAAACGTAGGCGAAATTTAACGTCTATATATGCGCCAGGCAGGCATGTATCATTATCTATATGTGTTCTAGACACCAGTGTGTTGCGTATCTGTGTGTCGAGTTGCCAATTTGTGGCACCCACACAAAACAATCCACGAGTTCAAGCCAAGCGGACATAAACAAGGTATAGACGCCGTTTGAACTTGGCTAAATTAAACGAAAGTTTAGCGAGCACCGTCATACAGATACAGAGATACAAAGATACTCAGCTACTGGGCGAATTTCCGAACACTTTTCGACTTTTGCCGAGCCATTTTTTTCGTCGGTATATGAAAACAAATAATTCTATTTATAGTTCACTGCCACTGTTCTTTCAATTTGAATACTGCGTTGTCGGTCGGTTCCGTGGGGAAATAAATCGAGTGTACGTACGAGTGCCCACCGTACATGAATCATCTGGCCAAGAAGAGATACACAACCTATCTGCCAGATACATCGCTACATGGTCGAGGAGGATGCGTTTCTGCTGCTTTTCGAATTTCACTTCAAAAAGCGAGTACTTCCACGTACGTGAAATGTGAAATACCACGACACGTAGGGAAAACTCGTTTCTATCTGCGGTTTTGAGCTCGTCTTCCATAGACCAAAAAGAAACAACAGCCCACACACTCTCTCTGCATTTCTCTCGCACAAATACTTGCAGCACTCACTGTGCACTTTTCCAAAACTCCAAAAACGCAACTGCCAGGTACAGTTCAATGGGGAAGGAAATTCTCTGTAATGTGCGGGAAATTCGTTGGTAAGTGTATTAGTGTTCGATCGCTCCCAGCACAAGAATGTAACGGTTCGCGCAGTGTACGTTTTTCAGTGTAGTAACGGTTCGGATCTCGACGCGTCGCTAGCTCAGGCGGTACTGAGGCCTCCGATCCGCACTTGCCACCAGCGATCCCCACCAGGGCGATCCGATCCGATAGCAACTTGCTCCGGAGACGCAGCTCGGACCTGTTCGCCAGAGATTGAGAGTATCTGGGAGGCAGCCACAGCTCTCTCGGTTTGGATACAAAGCTCAAAAAGCTTTCCTCTCTGCAACTAATGTCAATTGATCAAGCGATAGAGAAAGGGAAGTGTATTTAATCACAAATATTAAACACCCTTGGTAACTACAAGTTCAGTTTTGACTATCAAACAAAACAGGATTGTTTTCTCCTTAAAAACATTTTGGTATTTGAGTAGGTGTAAAATTTAAAAGTATGATAGGATCACTGTGGACGGCAGTACACGTATTCCCTATATAAAAAGGACTCTTAACAGAACAAAATCATACTCCTTAGCGAAAATGTAGACTCAAAACTACATTAACTATAAAAACTACATTAACCATAAAAACTCTTAGCGCTCATACCTCCTTAACAACCTTTAAAATTCCACATTTAAAAAACCAGATAAAAAAAGGAAGGATATTTTAGTTAGATAAAAATGTGGTTTATAAAACATATACATTTTTTTTAGGAAATACAGCTACACATTCCTGATAACCTACACCAAAGTCTGAAACTTAGCTTTTTTGATACAAATTCACGTAAACCACATCCGATTTGACTTCCAAAACGCGTGCTCGGTTTTATTTGCAAGCGATCGTAAGGCAGCGTACTTATGTATGTATATATGTATAACAAAAATTAGCAAAACAATTTTGAATGGAAGCTCGCGAAGCGCCTATATGAACTTACTTACGAACAGCCAACTGAAATAAAAAATTGCAGTTTTTGTATGCTATGCTTTATGGGTCAAATATTTAAATGCCATACGACTGTTCAAAAGTGTATATAATTCGAAGATGCTCTACTTTTTGCCAAGCCGTGATGTGTGATCATTTAATAACAAAAGTTTACTTATAAAAAGCTCGTGTATTTCCCCCTTCCCACCAAAAAATCCGTTCTCGTTCGTTTACTCGATACAAAAGAGTCAAGTGTTTTCATTTTATTCACTCGTATTGCAGTAGCGACGTCCATGATTATAGTGATCAGTGAATCTGTAGTTGATAAGCTTTTTTATAAAAAACAAAGACCGATGATGCCGGTTACAACTGAGGGGAGCAGCATTTACGTTAAAATTACGATCCTTAAGGTAGACAAAAGCGATTGGTCAGGTGGCGATGACCTAATCCTTGGCCGGCACCTCGATGACGCGCGGCTTGTCGATGATGCGGGCGGTCTTGTTGCCCTTCTCGACGATCCCGATGATCCATGCCTGGTAGCCCTCCTGCTTCTCGATGTCCTTGCAATAGGCGGCGGCCTGTTCGCGCGGCAGGCAGATGAGCAATCCTCCCGAGGTCTCGGCCGAGTGGCCCTGCAACAGCTGGAACATGTTGCCGCAGGCCTTGGCCACCGCGGCCATCTTGGCGATCACCGGCAGATTGTGAATAACAAAGGACACATCCTTCTTCTGATGGGCAGCCAGAGTTTGAGCGTGCCCAAGGAGTCCGAATCCAGTGATATCGGTGGCCCCGTGGGCATTGTACTTGTGCATGAGGCGAGCGGCCACTCGATTGAGCCGCGACATGGAGTTCATTGCCCGGTGGTAGGCCTTGCGCACATCCTCCTCAGACACCACCAGCTTGATGCGGTTCCAGCGCTCGGGCTGGTCAATCCACTGGTGGGCATTCACGGCCACCTGGGTGCCCAGTGGCTTGGTGAGGACCAGGACATCTCCCACCACGGCGTTGTCGGGCACAATGTACTCATTCGGCTGGCAAATGGTGGAGGCCACTCCTCCAATGGTGCACCAGGGGTTGACCACGCTCTGCCCTCCGGTAACAGTGGTGCCCGCCTCCAGAGCAGAGTCCTTGAAGCCTCGCATGATCAGCGGTATGACCACGTCGCGCTCCTTCTCCGTCATCTTGGTGCTGACCGCCAGGAGCATCAGCATGTTATCGCAATCGGTAACGCCCATGGCGTAGAGATCGCTCAGAACATTGGCGCATGCAATCTTGCCCATCATGTATGGGTCGTCCACGATGGGGTAGAAGAAGTCGGTGGTCTGCACCAGGCAGAGGCCGCCGTGTCGCAGCGGGATCACCGAGCAGTCCAGACCAATACCGATCCGGGGAATGGCCACGTTGAGGAACTGCGGCTCCTGGTCCTGGGCGGAGTAGTCCTGCTGCAGGGCGGACACCAGCTTGGAGAGCACATCCTGCGGCACTTTGCAGCCGCGTCCTTTAAGATCCGCGAACCGGGTGAGCCGGAAAGAAGCATCCAGATCGTGGGCCGTGGGATCGAAAGGACGACGCAGCTCGGCGTCGCCACCGCCATGAAGCTCCAAGTGGGCCGAGTTCAGCACATCAGCGGCGTAGCTCATTTTGTTTTATGGCTGAAGGATAAAAAATAAGGATTATTAATGGGTATGACCAATTAACGCACTTTTGCCGCGCAACAAAACATAATGGACCACACTATGCAGCGAGTAACTCGCGTTCTCCCCGGGCACCAATACCACAGCGCTCAGACGTGTATGTACACGGATTTTCCGCTGCGTGTGTGTAGCGCGGCCTGTGATTGGCTGTTGTCGCGATGGCGGCTAAAACGGGCGAAGTCAGTATTTCTCCCCGTTGGCGAGGCGAGAAACGTGAACAATGCCCACTCATTTCAATAGCTAAATGCCAAAAAAGTACGCATTTGGCTCTTCGTACTATATCGTTGGTAATTAGTTATGCATTTCCACTTACGTTTGCTTGTGCGAATGTACAACAAGAATTGTATGGGTCGTCAGCAAATTTTATTTATTTTGCGCCTGGATTTTGCTTTTCCAACGAGCGAGATGCAGTGTTACCAGATGGTGAAAAGTTTTTCCCGCAAATGTTCATGTGCGTTAAGTTAACGACAATGACTTAAATGCGATTGTGGAACGATGGAATTGGAAATTGTTATTTGTTGTTGTTATTTTTTAATTTTCTCGTTATTAACTCAATTTAAAAAAAATATGTAAGTGCAGAATTGTTAAGAAGGAAAAAACTAACGTCATACATTTTGTAAGTATTTCAAAAAAGCATTTCCCAAATCGGGTCTTCTCAACTTTATTGAATTACCAACCCTTGACATATCACATACAAAAATGTGACAAAAATTATTCGAATTTGTACCAATATGCACGGATATTTAGGCAAATTTGGAATCGTCTTAAGTACGTTCTGTGACTATTTTAAAGTCGTCAATTTTCGAAAATAACCCAAAAAGCTGTAAAGTGGGCGGTGTTAAAAAGGTCAACAAATAGGCGCCAACTCCAAAACCAGAATCAAGATATGATCGACAATGAATATGCCTTTCCCAACGCTAAATGTATTTGAATTTCTGTGAATCAATATAATTAACATAAAAACAATCAAAGCTTTTTTATAAAAAACTTCTTATATGGAACACTTGTGTCTGCGGCCATTCGATATGCGGGTTCCCGATAGTCTAATCCGATAGTCTTCTGCAGGGCTGCCAACTCTTCAAATATATCGATAAGAATACGCGCCGAGAGTAAAATAAGTAAAAAAAATGGTATTTAAGCGGAATAAAAGAATAAACCCGACTGGGAACTATAATTCACATAAGAAAACGTTCAAGGAGTAATTTTATAATGGAAAAACAGTTCATGGAGAGGTTCAACAGCTTAAAAGAGAGCGGCAGCAAGAGTCGAAGAGCGGTCTGTAAAACCTGTTGCGCCAGCAGAGTGAAAAGTAAAAGTGAGTAGGAAATCACGAATGTATTTACCTTTGTTCGTTAATAAGGTAAGTAATCTTTTCTGCACAGCTCGAAAAGCCCCACTTATTGAAGCGGAAAATTAAATAAACAAAGAACTGCAACTTCGAAAAGGGCAGCCCCCACAAAAGACTTGAGCAACAAACTTGGTCTTGGGCAATGGGCTAAATTAAATTAAAGCGCTGACGAAATCCCAAAAACCATGATTCAGCTACGCCTGCGCAGTCTCGTTCTGCTGCAATTTATAGCCTTGGCAAGTTCGGAGTATGTTTACGGCGAACCCAAGTTCAAGTGCCCCAAAAAGTGAGTTAAATTTCTTAAATATATGTATTTCTGTAATAATACTTTGTTTAAAATAGATCCAAGGTGTTGTACCCCTGCGAATGTGTAAAGGGTAGCGATAATGGTCTATATATACGCTGTGAGAATACCAATCTGGCTACTTTATCCGTGGCCCTCCAGAATTTGGCCTCTTTTGAAGTGCCCATCGAGGAGTTGACCATCTACAGGGGACATTTTGGTGCGTACTTATAAAAACCATAGAAAGTATTTATTAAGATCTTTTTCCCTTTTAGTGCGTCTCTATGGTCCACTATTTGCTCATATCAAGGCGCGCTTGCTGATCATAGAAGAAACCCCACTGGCCACCATTGAGGATTATGTATTCTATGGGGTAAATAACACTTTAGAGGAATTGCACCTACTCCGCACAAATCTAAGCCACGTTGGACCACTAGGATTCGGAGTAAGAACCACAAAAAAAACCAAAACTGGTTTATATAAACATAAAATACACTTATAGATTCTTGGTAAAGCAAAGGAACTGGTGATCGATGGCCATGCCTTTGAGCAGCTGCCAAAGGATCTGTTCGCTGGCCAAGAGATCGCCAACAGTCTTGGTGTCATAAAGGTGACCAATGGCAACCTGAATGATTTGCCTGTAGAGACTTTTCAGCCTTTGCGCAAACTTAAAACCCTCGACTTGCATGGAAATCAGTTGGAGAATCTAAAACGCAATCAGTTTAAGAACCTAAGAGAGTTAGAGGTACTGGATATAAGCCACAATAAGATCCAAAAGTTGGAAGCACAGCACATAGCGGATCTTACAAAAATGGGATGGTGCAATGTATCTCATAACGCCTTAAGCGAACTAAGTCGAGGAACTTTTGCCAGAAACTCGGTCCTAAAAGTACTGCATTTATCTCATAACAAAATTTCCCGACTGGATGCAAATAGTTTCAGGGGAATGCGATTCCTGCGACGTCTTTTCCTTAGCGATAATGTACTCACGGAGATTGGACGAGGTACTTTTGGTTCTATAGCCCGCATAGGAACTATTGATTTGGCTCGCAACCAACTGAAAAAGGTGGAATACCAGATGTTTACGCAGATGAACTATGTGGAGGTAAGCATTTATATGATATAAATATTTATATGTACTCATTAAATCGTCTTAATTTAAGCTTCTCGATTTAGCGGAGAACAACATAACCAAGATTGAAAAGAATTCGTTTAAGGATATTTACCAGGCTGTAATAAACATCTCGCATAATGCTTTAGAGCTAATAGAAACAGCCGCCTTTGAAAACTGTGTAAACATCACGGTTCTTGACTTGTCTCATAATCTTTTGACCAACTTTTCGCGTCGTAGCTTTGATGAAACCACTTTTGCCACCTATTTTCAGCTGAGCTATAATAACCTCACCAATTTAGCACAGGTAATTCATCAATTTTTTAAATTTTCATTTCAAAAAGTTTAATAATTTAATATTATGCAGATTCCAATCCAAAATATGACTGGCTTAAAAGTACTGAATGCCTCGCACAACAGCATAACCGAGATACCCAAGAACTGTTTTCCAAAGCTTTATGAATTGCACACCATTGATGTTTCCCACAACAATATCTCCAGCATATTTAATGGAGTTTTTCAAACCCTATTCTCATTACGCTCCATTGATCTTAGCTACAATAGTATGGAAGAGATAAAATCCTCAACTTTTGGGACTTTGCCTACCCTCTTGGAAATGGATTTGAGTCATAATAAACTGGTTTCTGTTGTTCGTGGATCGCTGGCCAAGTTAACCAGCATGCGGCAGCTATACTTAAATAATAATCAATTGGAAAAGATGTTTCAGCTGCCCATTTCCCTGAATGAACTGCATTTCAGCCATAATAAACTGAGTGAAATACCTGCGGGTACTTGGCCGATCATGAACTCGCTTATATACTTAGATCTGAGCCATAATCAGCTCGGTGATAGTCTAAATGGGCAAAGTTTTACGGGTCTGCTGGTGGTGCAACGTTTAAAGCTTCAAAACAATGGCATCACCCAGCCGCCATTAGAGGCGATTTCTGTTATGTCTACGCTGCAATATTTGTACTTAGAGGTGAGTAAATACCCTAAAATTAAAAAATCAAAATAAATATCCACTTTTATTTAGAACAATAATATTACCACCCTGGAGCGCAGTGCCTTTGGAAAGTTGCCCGTACTGTTTGAATTGAATCTATATGGTAATCAAGTTAAGGACATTAGGTGAGTTAAGTTAATTTTTAAATACATTTTAATAGTCTTGATATATTTATTTAACATACAGCAAACGAGCTTTCGAGGGCCTGCTGCAACTGCTGACTTTGAATCTGTCCTCCAACGGAATCAAGACGCTGCAAAATGACATATTTATTGGGCTGCCCTCATTGCGAACTCTTGATCTGTCCTTTAATTCGCTCTCCAAGTTGGATAACAAGACCAATGGAGTCCTTGATGATTTACTCAGTCTAGAAACCTTGGATTTGAGTCACAATCGCATAAGTTTTGTGACAAAGAAAACCTTCCCTTCTCATCAATACATTCCTTACAATCTGAGGAATCTGAACTTGAGCTACAATCAAATGCCAGTGCTTACCTATGATATTACTTTCGGCACCAAGAAGCTGTTCAAATTGGATGTGTCCCACAACCAGATCAACGATCTTAGGAGAGGAGTGCTGTCCAATTTCACATCACTTCAGAGTCTGGACATGTCCTACAATGAGCTGGCAAATCTTGCATCCGAGGAGCACATCTTTGATTTGCCACAAAACCTGAGTACCTTGAATCTCTCTCACAATCAAATCTATCACCTGCCCTTCGCCAATCTGGTGAAAGTGGACTCCCTGAAATATGTTGATCTAACCAACAATAGCTTGGAGGAATTGCCGGCCTCGGTAGTGGGCAGCATGCGAAATGGTAGTCAAGTGTTCTTTGCCGGAAATCCCCTGCACTGTGCCTGTAATGCCCGCCCTTTGAAGCACTTTATGTTGCAGCAAACGGCTCCGGGTGAGGATTTGCAGAGCATCTACTGCGGCACACCGGCTTCGATCAAGGACAAGCAGCTTCTCTCGCTGGAAGATGAGTATCTGCACTGCGCCGAGGACGAGCGGGAGATGTATAAGGGCTTTGACTATGAACAGCTTACAGACGTCCGTTTCCGTGAAGTAAAAACGTAAGCAGTTATTTTTTTTTAGGTTTAAAAACAAAGTTCCATTCCAAAGGGACAAAATATTTATTAACCTTCCATTTCCCTCCCTCAGCAACAAAGCTGGCCAGTTGAGCCTGAACTGGTATGTTTCCGGGACTTCAGACGTCTCAGACTTTCATGTTTATATCCGGAGCACCAGCAACGAGGTGTTACACCAGTCGGACTACGCATACAACAATCGTACTGCCCAGATTCCAGTGGAGGATCTCGTGGCGCTTGGAGAAGAGAAACTGCGTGGAGCTGAAATTTGCATAGTATCCAGGGATAGCGAGGGCAACACCCGCAAGTGGTTCTCCGGGCAGTGTCAGCAGCTGCCATCGCTTAAGCGTCCCCGTACTTTCTTCTTTGGAAACTTTCAGGTCAGGGGAGGTGTTTCCAAAACTTCCAGCAGCCTACCTCACTGCCTTTTGTATATAATACTCGCTTTGTTTGTTTCCCCGTTGTAGTAAACATTTAATTTAATAACCTAATATTGATCTTTTCGAACTTAAAACTGTATACTGTATTCATATAAATATTGTGGTGATGCTAATTACTAAGATACAAGTGTTACATGCTAAGACTAAACCGTTTTAAGTTCGAATTGATGTGATAAAATGAACCTTTATAAAAGATCAGGGTGACCTTGATTCTTGATCCTATTGTTGGCTGTGTAAATGTGTTTCTGTGACCATGGCTTACTGTAAGGACACGCTGTGCATGTGTCCTGACCTTACAGCTGAACATGTGCGCGACGCCCTATTATCACAGCCGTGCGCACATGTATTTGTTTACTTGGACGCCGCCTCGCGTGGGCAGCCCAATTCAGAAAGCGTTGGAGCCACAGCCAACCAAATGGGCCAGCTGATGGCTGATGGCGGACTTTCATTCAGGGCGAAAACACAAAGGCTGTAATCCGAAGAGCTCCTCGGCTCGGCGATTCATTCTCAATTTGGTCTCGGCTCCTGCTTTTGCAGCGGGAGCATGAAAATGGATGAAAGGACTCGCCTGAGAGCTTGGCAAATGCGCACTCGCGCTCTTAGCCGAAAAGGCATTCGAGGATTACACTGGCGGTCGTAATTGTTGGTGCACTTACATCTCCGCTGGACCTCTAAAAGTATGCTTTGCTTTTTTTAATAGACATTTTGTTATATTTTTTTCTTTTTGCTTTTCAGAGCCTATAAAGCGCATTTAAAACCAACTTAAAAAAAACATATTTTTGTGATGGGAAATTTAATTAAGTTCATACAGGATTTAAAGTTGAAATATTACACTTTTGAGAACTAACAGAACGTTTAAAAGGAATCTGCCACAATTAAATCCTATTTGAGCCCAAACCACGAGATAACTTATACCTAAAAATTAACTTCATCTACATAATAACTTCAAGGTATGTTTTATAACCAATTCAGCTTTTTAGCGCTTTGAGGTATACTTTGATTTTCTAACATCTTTGTTATCTTTCGATCAAATAATTGTAAGTAAGAATTTTAAATACAATTGGAGTGTAACATGGAGTTTCGCCATCTTTTAGGACCTCCACTGTGCCAAAGGACACGAGACACTCAGGACATGTGCACTTTCACTGCCGCGCCACCCACACGCTCTCGGTTTCACTTTGGCCGCAAAAGAATGTGCTTTTGTGCCGTTCGCCTTTGCCATCCTGGCCCCCCAGTCCCCCTCCCCCTACTCTGCATTTTTGCCAGGCGACTTTGCCTGTCCTTATTGATTTTCAGCGAATCTCGCAGGCTCGGCCCGACTCGACTGTTTCTGTTACCACGGCGCACGTCAGTGGCATGCGAATCGGAAAGCCAAGTTTCACTTGTCGCGCTGAGTTCGTTCGTGTCGCAGCAGCAGCAGCAGCAGCAAGTAGCAGCAGCAGCGAGAGTGCCGTTATTCCGTTCGTTACATAAAGAAGAGATTTCAAATAGCAAGTTTAAGTGCGCTGCTCGGTTGCGAATGGCATAAATCATTCAGCTAAAGCAGCATTGTGATAAACATTTAAACAGCCAATGTAAACGAAAGGAGCCAGCGCGACCCGTATGCGAAAAAATAGAAATCAAATCGAAATTGAAATCGAAATCGAAAGGAAAGAAAAGTAATGAAATAAATTCAGAGCCCCAGTGACTGTGTATCTGGTATATGGAGCCCGAAAAAAAATGAAATATTAAATGTGCCGTAACACGGGCGTTGAAAAAAGTACCAGGTAGTCGTGGGCCCAGTGGAAAAAGGAGGAGTTCAAAGAGGAAGAGGCGGAGGTGGCAAGGTGGCAAAAGACGAAAGGCGAACGAAAATGTAATAGAGGTCAAAAGAAGCATTGATTTAACGTGTGCACTTCCTCCCACTTTCACCTCCACTCCTCTGGCTTCTTCTTCTTCTGGTTCTCCCTGTTATCCTCCCACCACCATCCACAGTGTCCTGTGTGTCCTGAGTGCTGTTTTTCGTGCCTCGACTGTGCACTGTGTGCGTGTCTCTCTCTCTCGCAATATTTGCGTGTGCGTGCCTCTGTCTCTGTGTGTTATAAATAATTTGTTTAAAATTCGTCAAATCGCTTGACGTTTCATTCAATAAATTTCACCCAAAAAGTCGCAGAGTCACGCACACACACACAACGCCCCGTGTGGCGCCCGTGAATCGTGTATGTATGTGCGAAAAATGTTGATGACGAACCACTTACGTCTATCGCAACCCACGAAACCAACGAAACCACCACAAACACAAACACACAGCCGCAGCAGCTGAAAAAATCGCATGTAACACACCAACACACCCGCACACCATACACACACATAGCCCTGGGACACACGTACAGTTCAATATCCAATAAGAAACCAAGCATAATTACATAATCAAATAGAACGACTGGCAAAAAAAAAGAATAAAGACAAGAGACAAACACGAATAAATAAAATCACGAGCAACAAAAGCGGAAACCAGCGCAAACAAGGACAAGAAAGCAAACACGAAAATTCAACGCAAAGTGCAGAATTATTTAATCAACGCCAGCCAGTCAGCAAGTCGAAAACCCTGGAAACGCCTAAAAATAAAAGGACACGCGATAACCAAAAATAGAACGTAATGATAAAACCAAAACCAAAGTACCTGCAACAATGAAATTGAGCAAATCTTAAAAGCATATAACCCAAAAAAACAAACCCAAGATAGAATTACTTTTAAAAATATACAAAGGACACTCGCTATATACAAAAGTGCTATAGATAAACGATAAACGCTAAACTTATAAAAAAAAACGTAGTTCGTTGCCGTTTGTTCACCGCTGGATGATACTGACACAGCCCAAGGATATAGAGCGTAATCCCCGTTGAGATAGAGTAATGGAACTAACCTCGTAGTTTGTAGAGAGACGAGCGTCTCAGACCGTAGGACAGCAAATTAAAAAATTCAAATAACCGCAACATAAACGCACTTAACGACTAACTAAAACTACCAAGTAGTTGCCTCTCTATATACAATATATATATATATATACACCTACGAGATATATACAAGATACCTAGCCGTAGCGAATAGATAAACGCCAGTCTGTATATCTACCTATATGGATTTATTTTTATAATGCCGCTAGAGCGAAACTCGATCCCCGCCCTCGACCTAGGCCTTTCAAATTGCATCTAAATAAGTAACGAGGGCGATTAATGCATTAATTGGGTGGCGAAGGACGTCGCCACACGGAGTCCCAAGGAGGGACTGTCGCCGGGTCCGGGTCCAAGTCCACACTGCTTTGCGTGTTGCTCGTGCCAGATACACACACCCAGGACTGTAGACCTCAGACTGTAGACCCACGGAGGGATACAAACGTACAGAACGAAATTAAGCTACCTGCTTTGGGTTTCCCGTGTTGCGCTGCCTTGACGTAACTCCGCCTTAACTCGCGTCGCTTCCATTTGCCACAAAGTAAAAAAAATATAAGGCGACCGCAAAGCCAAAACTGCGGTGCGTTCGTTAAACTTTCATGACCAAACATTAATTTAAGCAGGGAAGAGGAGAGAAGCGGCCAGAAGAGGGTTGGAAAGCGGAGAGATAGCATACATTTCGGAGCAAGGAAACTGAGCTGTCATCGTCACAATCCCCCCTCCAACAGCTAGTTTGTTTTTGTGATAAATAATTCAACGATCCACTCTCGGATCCCGATCCTGCCCACCCCACTTCAGCTCCAGTTACCGTTACCGTTACCGTTATAGCTCCAGTTCCAGGCCCCACCATCACATCTGTACACCACCAACCGAATAGCAACAATAACTATACCCTAGTGGATAAACGACATTTATAATCCAAAGTACAAAACGAATAGCCCCGAAATAACGCTGTTAACTAAAGTAAAACGAAAGCTAAACTATAAATAGTAACATATGGTATTATTATACACGCAACTCAAACAGATAGAGTCCTAAAGAGTCACATAACCTCAAACGAACAAGCGCATAACGAAACGAATTGAAACGAAAAGTGAAGAACCATAAGCAATATTAGAAGTGCTGTTGACTATTTTAGAGGCCACCTTTTAGATATCCTCACCCAACCTACGTTACTCAACCAAACACCTAAGAACCCACCAAAATCGAATCGAAAACCTAACCTAAAACCTAAAACACGGATAAGGACGACGACGAGGACGAACAGCCCCATGTGCGAGTGAGACAGCCAGATAGTAACACAACGAAAAGCAATTTATTTTTGTTTACGTGTCCGTGTGCCCGAGCGCTCGAGCTGTATTAGTTAATGCCAAAAATCGAAGCGGAAGTTGCACCCACACCTGCACACACACAACAACTACTACTAACACACACATACCTACTCAGCCGCCATGACAAGGCCAAGAATTGCAGCGGGCATTGCGGGGCCTTCCCGGCGGCAATAGCAACAGCAACACCCTGAAACAAAAAATAAAGAAACCAGATATATCCCCCGAAACAACAACAACTACGTTACGTTAGCGAAGGTGGCGCGAGTGGTTCGATGTGGTTCGAATCCGACTTCGAGTGCAGGTGGTGACGTGACAGCGGCGGCGTCGTGGGTCCAAGAAAATGCACGTTAAACACACTCAGCGCCGAGTCAGCGGTCCTGGAGCCTTCGGAACCTTTACCAACGATCAACGGTAGGCGTTACCAACTCACTTGCCATCCTTGTCTGTCCATGTACTGTTGTTGTGCACGATGTACGTTGTACTTGTGTGTGGAAGTGCGAGTGTCCTTTGGGTGCGAGTGAGCTGAGTACAGGATGTCCTTGATCCGGGGATCCTTGCTTGCTCGCTCGCTCACACTTGGACCATCTCCCACACCACCTTGTACAGTTTTGAGATGAATGTATTTATGTTTAATTTCAAATGTGATTCCTGGGTTGGACCAAAGTAAAGTTTAAGAGCATAGCGCTTTGGTTGGGCTCTCGAGAGATTACAATTAACATAAGAATTTAACTCCAAAATCTTATTTATCCTCTGAATTCATTCTGCCTACTGATTCAAATGTATTAGACTTAGTTATTTAAAGTAATCCTTCTAATTTGAATCTCCAACAGTTTTCTTAAGCCTATATAAAATAGAATATCCTTGTATTAGAATTCAATAATTAACTAAATATTTCAAAATTGTATTTTGTTACATATAATATGTGTATTTATTAAAAAAGGTTTTTTTTAACTAACATGTGTGAGTAATTATTATATTTAAATTTACTAAACTTAGTCCATATTTTGTGAAAAGTGTCAACATTGCGTATGAGTTATACAGAAACACTCATATACACCATGTTTATAACACATACGCAGTGTTGACACTGACGGATGCGTGATTTTTTTTGTAAATCACGTTGATTGAATAATACATTTTGAACAAATATTTTTAAAAGAAAAAGCTTGTAGGACCAAACATTTCGAGGTCTGAGGTCCAACCTAGTAATCCTGTTTCTTGTGTTGTTCGTTTTGTTTCGTTTCGTTTTGTTCTGTACCGTTTTTGTTCGATGTCTCCGTTTCGTTCTTTGTCTCTTGAGTTACCCTGTTATTGTTGTTGATGTTGTTGCTGCTGCCGCAATTGCTGTTGTTGTTGTTACTGTTCACGTTCATCTGTGTGGGTGCGTGCGTGTGAGTGTGAGTGAGTTGCCAAGTGCTCTCCTTGTTAGCCTGCTGTGAACTGATTTCCTGCTCCTGCTCCTGCCAACCCTACTTCCCGCAGCCCTTTTAAGGGGTCATCCGTCACTCCAGTCAATGCAATTACGAAACTAGATTAAAAGTCAAGCCAGGCCGACAACAATGGCCGCACCAATACGAGCGGACAATCGCACCAATATCAATACAATGAATCGCATCGCTTGAGAATAGTGTCAAAGTACTTTAAGTGCAATCGCACGCAGTGTTGCATACATTCAGGGGCCACTGTACTTGTAATTGCAATTGTGTGAGTGGGCGAGTGAGTGGGTGAATGTCTGTGTGTGTGTTTGAATGAGCGGAAGCTTTCGCTTTTACTTCAATGATTAAACCACTGACCGAATTTCGGCTTGAATTTGCTTGTGTGTGGGCGTGTGTTTGTTTGTATGTATCGATAAGCGCTTGCCGACTACGGTATTGTTGTCCCACCCACACACACATAGTTTATTCACCGATACACGTACACATACACACATGCAGATAACAGACAGAGACGGCGACAGTGAGTGAGTGAAGCAGAGGGCCAGATAAGCTGTTCTTTTCTTTTGTGCCAAAAAGGAAGCCCGATGTTTCCAATTGAGCTAGTTCTAGTTCCACATTTCCATACACTCGACAGCAACAAAAACATACCCACACCCACATACACACACACACTTATGAGCAGGACCCTCTCGTGTCTGTGTGCTTTGTGCAGTTAATTTAATTTCTTATCCCCCAAACGAATCTCATTTAAGTTATTTCCCGCTCAGTTTGTTAGTTTGTTAGTTTTGAGTTTCGTTTCCTTCATTTCTCGTTTTTTATTTCCATTTGGTACTCGTCACGTGAATAACTTGGATTTATTTCGTGTCCTTGTCGTTGTTGTTTTGCAGAAAACTTTGCTTAAAAGTACAAATACGTTGAAAACAAAGTAAGAACCAACCAAACTGAAACCAAAACCAGAATTAAAACCACAAACCGAAAATTTTTGCAACTGACATTTGCTGTGGAGCGATCTTAGACATCATCAGTGAAGGTACCGCCGACCAAGTTCCGAATATTCCCCATACTTTCTCTCTATCTCTCTCTCTTTTTGTCTCTCAGTGTCTCTGCCTCTCTCTCTATATAGATCGTAGTCTCTGTATGGTACTTCTCTACAACTACTACTAATACTAATACTACTACTAACCGTTACAATTACAACTGCAACACTGATTTAAGAAACACACATTTAATGCTACTAACTTTTCTGCTCGTTATTAGAAACTACCCCAAAAAACAAAAACCCACCTCCCCTGCAAGTTTCAACTTTTGAGCTTCACAATTTCTGGCTGCAACCGAAAGTAAACTCATTAATTTTGATGCACTTTGCTAACTTACCCATCTCCACAAATAAAGTCAATGGAATAAAAGTTCCGAATGCATCGCTTTAATGACTTTTTCCCCGCCTGCTTTAAGATCTTTAGTAAACCCACACTTCTCAGACCCCTTAGATGCTAACCCTGATTCCCGATATCACACAAGTCGAATCCAAATTTATTTACAATTGGCATGCCAAGTGGTTGTGATGTAGCATTTCTTTGTTTGTTGACTCCACTGATTTCCCTAACCCCCTTGCCCGCAAGCCTGATTTATTAATTGCTCGGCTGTCGTTATAATTAATGGATAATTTTGGCTGAATTCTGGTTAGCCGAAAATCGTGTTATTTATAGTTGAGCTAAGCTCTCATCGAGTTCTGTGTTCATTTGCCTGTCCAGCCGGAAATCTTTTGAAGTCAAAATTTAATTACTGACTGTGCAGTGTATTTAAAATGGCATTTCCATATAAACGACACTAGATGACCCATTCGTAACCTCTGTTCGTTATTGCAATGACCTTAAACAGAGTGATTCGGATGGTCAAGGTCGTTTCAGACCTGCTCTAATTGTTAATTAAAGTCTTTGTTATATTTTCGGGGGATATAATTTTACTTTTGAAGAATTTCCATGTTGATTATGAAAATATTTAACTCGAATTTAAATAGGATTTTATTGTCATTACTTAGGAGATAGACCAGTGTTGTTTTGAAATTAAAAGATTGAAAGATTATTATTATTTTTCCCAAGGATTATTAAACATTTAAAATTTAAAAAAACAATTTTGTTTGTTTTCTTCATTCCATAAAATAGAAAAATATATTTGATTTCTAATTTTCCTATGGGCACTTCCTTAACGAATTTGCAATGTTCTTGAAATAAAATAAAGGAAGTCGTAATCAGCATATTTATAGTGCCTTTTTTCTGATTCACTTTCATTTATACAAAGAAGAACTCGTAAATATATATTTGATCAAATAAAATCCGCCTGACTGCACAGGCTTTGTAGATTGGCGCAATGGTAAACATTTGTGCACTAAAAATGGAAATTTTCGTAATTTGTTTACACGGAAATGTGTATCGAGTGGCATGTTTGGTAATTTGCTTTCAATTTTGTTTGATTTTGCTGGCGGGAGCTTTCAGTTCATGAGCCATTAAATGCATATTGAACAATTTTCAAAATATTCGCCCAAAATCAATTTTAAAATAGTTCAAGCGGTCAGGTTGAATGTTTCAAAGTTCAAGACCACAGAATTCAGGGGAATTAGAGTGGCACATTTACATGTATATTAGGACAAGTAGCTCAGATATAAATATAGTTGTAGATCCCCCATTTGGGGGGCTCACAGCTGCACTTGATTTAATATCGATGAACGAAGTGGAATGCAGGCAGGCAGCGACTCAATTACGTACGCCTTACGAATTTACGCTTAATGCCTTCAATTGGCTTTTGAATTATTAATTGAGGCATATTGTGTCTCAGTCGCGGGCGGAGGGGCGGGTGAGATTTCGATGGCGGAAACCTGCTCCACCAGACTCGTTTGGCCCCCAATTCCAAACTCTCGAGGATGGGCAGCACATGCTCCGAGCTCCGAGTTCCAAGCTCCACTGATAATCCCCTGGCTGGAGGGCCACTCCACTGCGCCAAAGTTGACATTGGACATGGGCCGCACAAAAGTGCCACACAAAGAAAAAATATTGAAAAATAGGGGTTAGTAACTCAGCAGTTTTTGCTGAAAAAGACTATAATTTTTGGCATGGCAACCATTTATTTGCCGTCTTTATTCATGTAAAAAATAGACAATGTAAAATATGTCTAGCAATATGATAGGGGACTAAAAAAATGTTTAAAATTATTATATTATTATTCAGCTAAAAGATCAACATCAGATCAACATTAAGATCAACGAAATCGTTCAATATAATAAAGGATTGAATAAATAGGAATATAATTATCTCTACCAATAAGAATTTGGTATTTAAGAGATATTAGTTTCACTAAAAACTAATATAAGTTGGCAATAAAATAAATGTTTAAACATGAAGATGGTGTTATTAGACCATAGGAAATGTATGTTTTTTTCTCTGTGCAATCAAGGTTGTCTTATTAGTTTACACAGCCCGAAAACTGGGTCCAAATTTGGGCGTTTTGCTTCTTTGCCTGAGAAAAGGGGCAAGGGCAACTTTGACTGCAGCACTTGACAGGTGGCAAACACTCGAAGCCGAGATGAAAAAGCCATCAGATAGGAACCCCAAAGAGCTGGAATTCCCCCGAGCTCTCGATGCTTTCGCTTTGATTTGCCTTTGCCTTTGCCCTTGCCCCCTCGAAAGTGACTTTCGGCCAGATTAGGTCCGAGATTGCCAAGAGGCCGCCACTCGGCAGCGGATGTGCGATTGTATCTCGGTCGTTCGGTATCTGTGAAGTGCACACTCATCCGCTGAGCATTAGCGTGCAAATATTTGACATATTTACCTATATTTGCACAAACGACGATTCGATTTGATTCCAAATCCAATTCCGATTCGCATTCAAATTTGAATCAGAATTCGGATAATTGCGCCCCTGGCGTGAGGGAGCTGCCTAATTGACCGAAATTGATTCGAGTCGATTCCGGCCTGGGAAATGCTGTTTGCTCTGCACCATTTCCCCCCCATTTTTCGCACTCAACTAAATCTGGGAGCCGGAGCCGGAATTGGAATTGGAATCGGAAAAGTTCGATGCACGCACACCGAGAATAGGGCCTCAATTGTTTTCCCTTTGTTCGAAAACGGGGGGCGGGGGATTTAACCACCCCATATTCCCCCCTCCCTCCTTTGCGGCAGTGTTCAGCTATGTCAACAATAGTTTGCCTCACGTTTCGTAGCATTGATTGCCCAACGCACAGTGGGGCAAATCGCTCGACTAACCAGCATTCCCATATCATTTGTACATATAGCATACAGCTTCCCATTGGGCGCCACTGTATACAAGCCTTGCTCCCACGCCTTATCAGCCGTGTCCGTCTGTCGCAGCCTTATCTTATCTTGGCCATTTGGCCATTTGATTTAGGGCACTTCCGCCGCCCACCGTGCGGAATGGTTTCAGTACCATCCGGGCACGCGTTACCAGCCATATATCTCTATCTCCCCGTATCGACTCGGTGTGTATCTGTATCTGTATCTGTAAATGTATCTGTATCTGTATCCCTATCTGTATCTGTATCTGTATCGCCCTGTAGCTATTTGTTACCGCTCTATCAGTGCTTGGCCTGCGTGCCGCCATACATTAATTTAGTTGAATTTTTCGCGCGATCAGAAACCAGATGAGCATGTCAACCATTGTATATAGATGTCTCTATAAATTGTATCACACATCGCGGTCACAGGGAGCATTTGGTATAAGGGACATTTAGTTAAAGTATAAATTATAAGTTAATAAGTTAATTGTATAAAAAGAAAATGTGTATGCTAGTAACACGTTTAATGTTTAAACTGATAATTTTTTTGATCGACAAGTAAAACAAAAGCTTAGGCATTGGTTTTGCAACCTTTGTAATAAGATAATGGTATTCAAAACATCTTTCTAATATTTGGATTTTAATCACGCGACAGCTTAAATCAATATGCAAGTAATCCCCAGATTAGGTCATTTTTTATAACGAATTGTTATGACTTTACGAATAAAGCACTTTTCGTAAAAGCGAACGTAATTATCAGATGAAGTCATTCAGTACCCAATTATTACCGCAAAAATTCAATAATATAAATCTGGATTTCAGAATGCTCCTATATCAAGTGTCCTCTGTGCGATGAACTCACATGTACGCCGGGAATGCGATACTCCCCCACCTCCACCACTCCTCACCGCTCACATGTTGCACAATCAATATTTATAATTAAGAATTTTCTTTGTTTGTCTCGCGGTTTTCCACACTCGCACACTCTGCTTCCTGCTCACTTTAGCGTGGCCCTCTGAACCACGGAACCTCTGTTCCGTCTCCCTCCAATGCTTGCTTGCCAATTTGAAATAGATAAATTTGAGTGTTCGCCAGCGCCGCTGGCCATTCGTTGCGTTGCGGCATCCCATACTGAACCCGGTACTCATTGAAGTCTCCTCTTTCTTTCCGCCCCACTCCGTCCGGCTCCTTGGGCCGCCCGTGACGATTCCGCCCGCAGTGCCAGCCGCGACAACTTGTGCCCGGAGAACCAGCAGCAGCAGCAGCAGCGGCACTCGCACTCGCACCAGCACTTGGTGCGCCAGTCTCTGGTGAGTCTCAGCAACGGACAGCCGGCGGCATCGGCGGCGGACAGCGTCTCGCTGCTGCGGGCGGGCGATGACCAGCAGCAACATCTCCAGCAGCAACATCTGCAACAGCAACACCTACAACAGCAGCAACATCTGCAACAGCAGCAACGGCAGCGCAGCAGCAGCAGCCGGCTATCTACGAGTGGGATCTCCAAGCAGAACTCCGGGGACAGCAGGAGCGGTCTGCGAATTCTCGACAGCAGCCACAGTCCGGTGAGCTGCGGCACCCAGAGCGTGAGCAGCACCGGTGGCCAGTCGGCGCTCTACGATGCCTGTCACGAGTACTCGCGCAGCTTGAGTGCAGCGGCTGCAGAAGGAGCCGGCTCGCTGCTCAAGAGCCACTACAGTGACCAGCAGTTGGCCCAGCCGGAGCCAGAGCCAGAACCGGATCCGGAAAGGGATCGGGATCGGGATCGGGACAGGGATCGGGATAGAGATCGAGACAGGGAGAGGGAGCGTCGCCACCTGACCAACCTCAACCTCAATCTGAACAGCGAGTACGACTACAGCGGCAGTGACAAACAGCAACTGGTCAACGAGACATACATCTTCAAGTGCATCGCCAACAGTCCCTCGTTCCTGCGCACCAACAAGATCAAGGAGCAGTCCAAGAAGCTGCGCAATCTCTCCCTGAAGACACGCACCGCCAAGAAGAAGGGCCAGATCATCTCGAAGTCGAACGCGGTGTCGGATAACTCGCTGCATCCGGGCGACAAGTACCTCAACTTGTATCTGGTGGAGAAGAAGCACTCGCTGCAGCCGCAGGTGGCCTCCACCTCGAGTTCCACCCCGCATCCGCAGGCCTCCTCGGCGCCGGCCAGCTCCTCCTCCACGTGCACAAGGGCACAGCAGTTGCCCGCCTTGTCCGCGGTTGCTGCCCGCCAGCAACAGTTGCTGCTGAACGGATCGCTCAAGGGCAAGGGGCAGTCCCGGCAGACGCTGCCCGGCCATCGGGCGTCGGTGAGGAGCGAGAGTGGAAGCGGGAGCAGCCACACCATTCCGGCGACGGGCAAGAGTCCGCCGGTGCCGCAATCGCTGGCGGCCAAGATCAGCAGCTCGGCAAGCGGCAGCAAGAACTGCAACCTGCTCAGCGCCAGCAGCAACTCATGCCACAAGCTGCACGCCCACGCCCACGGATCGGGAGCAGGATCGGGATTAGGATCAGGATCAGGATCGGGAGCCGGTGCAGGAGCAGGACCTGGACACTACTCGGCGGCCTCGCCCAAGAGCTCGGTGAGCAGCAACGGGCACCTGAACAAGTACTGCCTCACGGACCTCACGCGCCGCAAGGCCGAGTTCAATCGCCAGCTGAGCGCCCCCACGGACTACACGCACCACTCCTCCAGCAACGGATCGCAGCAGGAGGGCTCCTCGGAGGCCAACGAGGGCCACGAGCCGGTCGGGGAGTCGACCATCACAGTAGCCAGTGCAGGCGTTTCGTATCCGCACCACGCCTCCTCGGCCACAGCGCCCGCCAATCTCAAGGCGTCGCTCCAGCTGCACAGCTTCGGGGGCCACCACCCGTGTCCTTATCCGGCAAGGCCCACGTCCACGTCGTGCACCAACAGCTTCAACCGGCGCCACATCCGCCGGCACAAGGGCAAGCTCGGCGATCGGTGAGTACTGTACACGGTTAGAAAAAGTAAGAAATCTAATTTCAATTCACCATAATGCCATTCCATTAAGATATTTTATTAAAAGTTAGTAAATTGGGATATCAATCAGTTGGTAGATGTTTACTTAATCAATATTTCTGAGTATTTCTGTTTTAATCAATTATTTTTTTATTCCTAATATTTCCTAAACTTAAATTTCTTAGTTTATAAACATGTTTGTGTATATCCATATTTGTATAAAGCATTTTATTTAAATTAGAACTGTTGTCGCCTAAATATATTCCTCTATAGCTTCCATTACAATCAGTAAGGAAATTCAAAAGATAACGCTTTGAATACTAATTTTTCACTCACATTTTTATCCCTTGCTTAACAAGTAAAATATAAATTGTTTGTTGACAAGATAAAGTTCCCAGATTGTCCCGCCTAGAACAAGCCTTCAAATTGAAGTTCAATACATTAAAAAGTATACACAAGCGTTCTTAAAATATAAAGCCTTGAAATAAGAAAATTCCTGAGACTTCTACGTCTTTTTGTTCAGATTACCCAATTCCCCGAAAAGAGAGCGAGCCATTCAAGACATTACCCCAGCTTACAAGTGGGAATTACGCGTATGCAAAGCGACTGACCGTCTCTTACCGGTTTTTTTGAGTGCTTTTCGTTCGCTCTGCTTATCGCAGGGCATTTGCATAATTCCATCGTCGCAGACCGAGATTCCCACTCCGACCTGCCTTTCGTCTCAGTTCGCGCAATAAACTTCTAATGGTCGGCGAGCAGTGAACTCCAAATTTGAGCGGATCGAACGTTTGAACGTCAGTCAAAAATATCCAAATTCAAAGGGTTCAAAAGTCTAAAATCGGTGTGTGATAAGTGCTTTTACGTACAAATTTTAAACTATAGATTTTACAAAATAACTGTTTGTTGATAGAAAAATATTAATACATATGTACATGTTTTGCATTGTTTGCACTATAACTTTTAAACAAAAATCCCGAAGCGATAAACACAACGTTCTGAAGTTAAACCTTGAATGATTGACAATGTTAGTCTCAAATTTGTCAATACTATAGTTGGAAAGTCGTAAATAATCGTATTAAAGAAATCCAGATGGAATACTTGAACAATCATTTGTCATTGTGTGATTTCAAAGTGTAACTGAATCGATAATCGCGCTTTGGAAAGCTAAACGGAAAAGCGACACGGAAAAACAGCTCCATTATCACCCTGATTGCGAGCGACAAAGTAAACAGCGATTCAATCGGTCCGTGTGAATAACATACATAATTCCATAATTTGTTGCGGGTATACAAATTGCGACCGAGAACGAGACCCAGACTCAGATCTAAATCCAAATCCAAAACGAGACCTGGACGACGCTTCCTCCTTTCTTGACCAGTGATATCCAATCCAATCCGAACCATTCCGATTCGAATCCCCCAAGAATAGAACGTTTACATTTGCATAAGCCGCAGACGTATTTTTCGGATCATTGTTTATGTTCCATTGGCTGTTTACTGTTTTCGGATAGTTTTCGATTCGTGTATATTGTATTGTGTGGTTTTATTGGCATCAATTTTTGTGAAGACAGCAGGCAGCGAATTACAAGCAGCCATAATTTGCGTCGACGCTCGTCGCGAAATCAATTAAAAGGCAGCACAAATTCGTTATTTATTTATTGTGCAACGGCTGCGGGGTTCAGAACAGGTTATCAAGTCGCCGCAGCATCTCAGCAATAGCTTAAAAAGAGTCTGGCAAATAAAAAAAAAAAAAAAAAACTAGTAGCCGTAACAGTAAAGAGAAACGGGGGAAAAAAAAAAACAAAAAACAAAGAGATAAAAACCAGCGTCAAGTGCACGGTGTCAATATCTCAATTATTTAATTAGGCAATTGCCAGCCAATTTCGGTCTAGTGTTTCTCGACGTCTCGGAAGCAAACTGCAATTCCTGGCCCAATTGATATTCGAGGTAAGAATATCGCTCGGCCAGCAAAGACAGAAAGTAAAAATAAAGAATTATACGATCCCATCCACCCACTCACACCCCCAACCTCCCCCCTCGCCACCTCTTTTTCGGGTCTCGAGGACGCCCGATTCGATTCCGAAACGCCACGAAGTCGCCGCGATCTGGTCTCGTTTTCGGAGTGTTTGCCGGCGATTTCCAAGCGGTTTGCGAGCGCCGACCGCTAGTCGCAAAAAGTTTGCCGCTGTAATCACTCGAAGTACCCGGTTCTGTTCTACTCTATATAGCGCGCCTCCAGACTTCTCCGATTCGCGGCGAAAGCCGTGCGAGCTATTTTGTGTGAGTCGGTCGATCGGCGCGAGTCATATCCATAAAATCAGAGAAAAACATCTGCTACAGCACGTTTTCCAGTTGCCAGCCAAGAATTCCGAATGCAAAACATCAAACAAAAACACTGTGAAGTGAGATAAATTTGAAACCGCAATTATGAAATGTATCCATCAATGTGATTTGATTTGTGTAATGCAATAGACGGGGAAAAATAAACACTCGGCGGTTGGTTGGTGAGCAACCATAACAATAACTAATAAATTCATTAGCCTAATGCCAATGGCGGCCAAGATTAAATTAAATCAGCTTCATCAGGCTTAATTAAAACGAAACTTTCCCATTTAAAAGTACACACAATTGAGTGTGAACAGGCGAAAGAGAGCAGTAATAATAGAAGCACAGACACAATTACGAAAAGTATTATAAATATACGAAAATATCAGTACGACTAACCGTGACGCCAAAACCAACGTAACCACGAGCACGCGTCTCTGCCGGGCTTTAACAATAGGACCGCCGTGAATAATATCCGTACCACGCTATTTGTCGTTCAGTGTTCGGTGTTCGGTGTTCAGTGTTCGGTGTTCAGCATTTAGTATTTGGTGGCCAGTGTTCGCTGCTCCAAAAAACGCAAGCGGCATAAACACCCAGGGAGTAGGAAGTGGAGAAGGAGGAGGTGGTGCTGGCAGGGGGATTCCAGTTTCTCCGGCTGCTTCCCCGGAAAACCTTGACAATCACCGTCTAGTGGGCAAGGTGAGGGCAGCAGCCGCCGCTCTGATACAACTTGCATTGTGCGTGTGCCGCAATTAAAAGTAAACATAAATATCTAGAAAAACTGGATAGTTTTGAAGATCGAACGTTTGAATACCCTTGCATGTGATTCTAATACTTGAGATGTTTACTGAAATTCGTAATTAAACTACAAATTGTCCTTAAGAACAATTAATTTTAACAATTTAAACAAATAATTCCTAGTTCCTTTTCCATTTACTGTTTGGTATAAAGTAGTAAAACTTGAAAGTATTTAAAATATTGTATTGCGTCTAAAATCTTTTGAGAAATGTTTAATATTTTGGAAGTGTTTTAAAGTAAAGTTGCAAAATATGTAAATAACTTCTGTAACAATAAAACTTTATTTTCGTTTGAAATTTAGTTCAATGATTTTAAAAGGATTTTAATTGTACAATAAATACGAATTCGAAAGATGATCACAACTGGATTAGATGTTATCAAGCCTTTCAAGCGCATATAAGTCAAATTTTTGCTTTGCTAAATTAAAACAAATCGTCAGATTAGGGTAATATCTTGTGCAAATAAATTTAGGATGTTCTTCATTGGAGTTAAAATTTTTTTTAAAAAGTGATTAGCAGACACTGATTATTATATATTAATCTTCACAGCCTATTTTTATAGTAGTCCTCACGAAAGAATATACTGATTTCGTTTCGCACATAGTCTAAATACAACATGTTCTATATAAAGATTGATATAGGGAGATCCCCAAAACTAAGATACCCCGTCATAAGGGTAAATGATATCAGTAAAACCGGTGCGTTAACCGACACCGGACCATCCCGCCCACCTTGACACCCCATCTGCGTAGTTTCACTTTCATTTTAGGCAGACCCCAAAGCCTTATGGCATGATTTCGTGTAACGGAATTTTTCGAGGCAGCACTTCCGTGTTTACTGATTCCGATCTTCTCAATGCCATTTCAGACTGCTGAGCGGGGATAGTGAGGAATCGGTACGCTGCTCCTACTGCTCGGTGCTGAATGTGAACGAGAACGACCTGCGCATTTCGTTCGAGAACACCTGCACCGACTCGCTGGTCACCGCTTTCGATGATGAGGCCTTGCTAATATGCGACCAAGGAACCGAAATGGCAAGGACAAAGGTTCCATTTGTATTACTAGTACAGGACAGACCCTTCCCTAGATAACACCCAATGATCACCTCTGACTCTGACATTGACTGCTTAACCAGGCAATTGATTTTTGGTTAGGGAAGGACTAACAGGATCCCACTTTGATCCTTCACAGGTACACTTTGATGACGTGTCGTTGTACGGCACTCCGAAAGAGGAGCCCATGCCCAACATACCGATTGTGTCGGAAAAAGTCTCTGCGAATTTCCTAAAAAGTCAATTGCAATCATGGTTCCAGCCGACGGACAACCGACTGGCCATGAAACTGTTTGGCAGCCGCAAGGCGCTGGTCAAGGAGCGCATACGTCAGAAAACTTCCGGGCATTGGGTCATACACCCTTGCAGTTCATTCAGGTGAGTCTAGAGATTTCCCAACTATCCAGCAATATTACTGACATGATATAGGACTCGAATTAAACCCCACCATAATTATCACTTACTTATCCACTTAAATCAATCTATTTCGACAGGTTTTACTGGGACCTTTGCATGCTTTTATTATTAGTAGCAAATCTTATTATCCTGCCAGTCGCAATATCATTCTTCAACGATGATCTGAGCACACGATGGATTGCCTTCAACTGCCTAAGTGATACTATTTTTTTAATAGATATTGTAGTCAATTTTAGAACAGGTAATGCACACTCAACCGAGCCAACTAACTAACAAACCCCTTTTCCAAAACCCTTCCAAAACTGGTACCGTGTCCCCCATTTACTGCGCCCCTGCTTAACCATTAGACCGAATATATGATTTCAGGAATTATGCAACAAGACAACGCTGAACAAGTAATATTGGATCCAAAGCTTATAGCTAAACACTATTTAAGAACTTGGTTTTTTCTCGATTTGATTTCGTCGATACCGCTAGATTATATATTTTTAATTTTCAATCAAGTAAGTCAATGTATTTAAGAAACAGTACGCAACATTTTAATTTAAGATTATGAAATTGCAGGATTTCTCTGATTCTTTTCAAATATTGCATGCCGGACGCGCCCTGCGCATCCTGCGCCTGGCCAAGCTGCTCTCCCTGGTGCGACTGCTCCGCCTTTCCCGCCTCGTGCGCTACGTGTCCCAATGGGAGGAGGTCTATGTGAGTACACCCGGTTCATTTTGGCAACGCTCGATCCTTAAGTTCCTTTTCGTTTCCTTCAGTTTCGTTTCGTTACCGTTTCATCTTTAGTTTGCATAACAATTTACTTACTCTCCCTGGTTTTCATTTTTAAGACACACTTGTAAAATATGTACACAGAAAAAGAGATATAAGTTTTTCAAAGATTTCTCAACTTATATAATTTTGATGCCTTATATTGAAAGCCCATCCAGAACTGATAAGCTATATCATTTATTTATTTCCCAGTTCTGTTTATGCCTTTAATAGAAAGTATTCCATACTGCCTAATTTCATTTTGAAGTTAAAAGGTTTAAAGCAATTGTTAAGATGCCTAAAAGTATGCAGTGGTATTTTAACAAATGTGAACAAAATTACATTCATTATTTAAAGTTCTCAGCTCATGTTTTAAGTCTCAATGAAGAAAAAAAAATCATTTTAAAAGCAATGCGTTCCTTTTTGTATCTATTTTTTCTGTGTATATATTTTTTAGAATCCCCCGTTTCGTCAATACCTCTTTAGTTTTAATCCTGGGACCCTTGGTCCCCGATCGATCCCCTTTTTTGGTTAAAATTTCCCTTTCGTTTGCTCCAAATTCTCGACCGTAAGATCAGCATAACTACTCGTTCACTCCACACCACAAAAACAGATTCGAGGATCTAGGTTATATCTAGGCAACTGCAGTTAGGCTCAGCACAGTGATCAGTGGTCGGGGACTATTATATCCTCAAAGTGCTCACTTTTCTTTGTTACATGTGTACGTACATGTGTGTGGCATTAAAAGTACTTTAATTGTGGATGGCGCGCAGAAATGTTCAAACTATGTATTTTCTTTGAGTTGTTATCTGGAACCTCTGTGTCTATGATTTCCGTTAAACGTTTAAATCCTTTGCGTTCGATTACCAATCGTTTTGTTTACCAAGTATGATATACCTTCCTCAACCTATGTGTGTCTATAAAGTCAATCAAAAATAGAACCAGACAATCGCTGTACCATAAGCCAACTCAGTTTGTACATTATACAGTTGTGTGACCCCGATGTTTGTTACGTGTTGTGCGCCTGCTGCGCTTCGGGTCCACCAGACCAGATCCTAAATAATTCCCCAGGCCGATTACTGCAAGAACATACCTATATCTCACACCATACCTGCATACTCGAAACACACTTAAATCGAATCGAAAATGTACCTTTTTTTTGGGTTTTTTCTCGAACCATCTGACGCGCTCGCTAAGCTTGAGAACATGTTTTCACTTGTGCCGCGGGAAGATTCCTTTGCTTTCTTTCACATTTCTTCAGTTGAGTCTTCAATTTATTGCTTCTGTTGTTCTGATATTCGATTTTCGATTTCCTATTCTTTTCTTGCCGACTTTGAAGCACTCAAATCAATATTCTTCATTGCACTTTGTACTTTGAACTTCTTTGAAGGCATCTCCGCAACTCAAGGGTTGGGGAATGTTTCTACCCTATATCTCTATCCAAAAACGTAATCCCCCACCCACTCCCTCTAATCCAAAACCCAACCCAACCCCACCCACAGCACACATCCCATGAGATACGTACAAGTACAGCTCCTTGAGCCCTTTGTAAAACATTGCCTGAAATTGGAAATCACTGTATATTATGATTTATGTTTATTTTGTTTTTGAAACGCTCAACTTAAGCGATGAAAAGAAAAGTATTCCGCTAAATGCGACTAACAACTAATGATGCTTATGAAAATCAGTTTAAGAACAACAAAAATAAAATAAACAAAACAATACAAAAATCCAACCTAGCTGAATCAGGGCCTAAAATACCTGTGTATATATGGTTTTTAGATTCTGCAGAATCTACAGAAAAAAAGTGCTGATCGCAGAGGGAGAATGAACAGAAAAGACAAAGATGGCTTGACAAAAAGCAACCTAATTCTCAAGGTAAACCATCCAATAAAAAAGTAACAACCCAAAAATCAAAATCAACAACACAACAACTTCAGTATATATTGATAAACAAAAACCAAAAGCCTTGATTGATTGATTGAAATTATGATTATGTATTATTGGTGCAACATAACTCAAATTTTGAGGAGTGTTAAAGCCAAAATTGAGTTTTAGTGCATAATTTCGTTCGATTGTTCGTTCGTTCGATTGTTCGTTGATCATGTTTGCTTGATTTTAATGTTCGTTCGTTCGTACGTTCTGTAAATTTTCTGAGACTGCCTTTTTTACATATTGATTGATTGATTGATTGATATTGCCATACATAATCTCTATTTCTCATTTAATGCATAATGAAAATCTCAATATAACGAAAAGAAGAAGAGAGACTAGCCCAAAAGCAGCAATAAAAACATAACATATTTTTTATTTACAAATCTTCGGTGCGAAATCGAAGCTCTTTTCATGCTCTTCACGCGACGTAGAATCAGTCAGAAGGATAATGTAATATATTTCGCTAGATTACGTAGCTTTTGACTCCATGCATGGGCATGATCGGAAGTCCTATTGTACTGCTATATCTATCATTATGAACCACAGATTAGCTGGGTTATATTTCGCTGCGAAGAGCATGAAAACGCCACAGATCTCAGGAGATATTACGGATTCGGATTGTTGTATACTTTGTTAAATGCTTTTGGCTTGCGAGAGAAGCAGCACAGATCGAAATGTTACCTCTGTAAAAACACCAACAAATATGCACTATATAGTAGGAAAAGTAATGGCTGCTGCTGCTTTCGCTTTAGGTTTAGGTTTTAGATCCGGTTACACAGACACACATCCAATATAGTCAATCGATCTGAAGCAGGAAAACTGATCCAACGACCAATCAGATCGAACACGAACACTGTAATATATGTAGCCACATACTACTCGTATTCTATAGCATACATTTGTGGGCCCGCGCCAAACGCTTTCCACATTTCCTAACCTATGTCGTCTATCGTACTCAACTTAACCTCACTTTGATTGACACTCTGCTCAATGCTTTCTGCTTTTGTGCTGCGCGCTTTCCGCTCAAACTTTCTCTTGCTCTCTTTCTCTCAAGTACACAGAGAAAATCTTATCACAGAATCCCTTAAGACAATCATATCCTACGAATATAATTTTGAACATATCAGTAGGATCACATGAAACTCCAATCACAACTGAAGATCATTCAAATTAATACCACAACATTATTTTAATATTCATGTCTTGATATCCTTTTTAAATAATTTTATTGTTACTAATAAATCTTGGATACTATTAATAATTATTTCTGTTATGTTAATAGGTATAAAGTAAGTTTTTATGATAAATACATTTTATTATGAGTAAACATAATATGTTGCTATGCTAACAATACCAATTTGATATGTTCAAAATTATTAGTATGATATGTTCATAAAAAGGATACATTTTGTTAAGATCCTATTATTCTCTGATGATTTTTCTCTGTGTAAAAAATGGAAATCTATTTTGCTGCCTTTGCTACTGTTTCTTGTTGTTTGGTTACTGTTCCTGGTTTTGGTTTTCACTGATTTTTTATTTTCTCAGCCTTCTCTTCCTTTTCTGTTGTACAAAAGATTTCAGCAGAAGCGCGTAAAAAATAAAGAAAAAGAAGCTTTTTTGAAGTGACACCCACACACACATGTACACGCACACGCAGCTACAGCCACTGAATTCTTGAATACAACAACCGTTATTTTATTATCTCAATACCGCTCCCCCTATCTCTCTTTCTCTCAAGCTCTGTGTTCCTGCTCTTGCTCTATGTTTTCGTTTACCGTCCGTTTGGTTTTCGTTAATTTATTGATTGTGTTTATTTCGTTGGTTTGTTTACCGTACTTTGTACAGAATTACGTAGTTCATTTACTAACAACTGCGAAAGTCAGACAAACAAAAACGCTTTCATTGTAAAATACGAGTTTCGATTTCGATATTTTGAACGTTTGAACGGCTTAGTGTCCATAATTATTTTTAACAAACGTAAAACAAAACAAACAAAAAATAAGAAAACAAACAAAAGTAAAGATGAGCACTTGTACCATAATCTAGAAGCTGATTTTGCACCTATTCGAAACGTAGAAATGGTTTGAATTTGAATTGATTGAGTTTGAATTGATTGCTCAGGTTGTACACTGTACACAAAGTACACCCAGTACACCGGACACTGTTGTATTGCCTAACACTAGACTAATCTTATCTTATTTTATCTTATCGGATGTACTTTGTATATCGACTCCGTACCGCTCTGCTCCGATGATCTGCAGGCCGAGGAACACGGGTATCCGTAGCATACTTATCGGGCAGAGTGGGGAGATTGAGTAATTTCTTGTTTAATGGCTGTGGTTTGGTTTGTTTTAGTTGCTTTGATTGGCATAATGCAATAACTGTTACATTTACTACCGGTAGCTGGAAACGCCAAAAAACACGAATTGCGCCAAGTTGCAAAAAAAATGTTTCCAAGTTCCAAGTTTTATTTCCTCGTTTGGGTTTTCTTTCTCTCGTTTACTTGAGACATTTGGTTTTATATATATGTGGAACTCACACCCATATGTAACACGCATACACATTCGAACACACACACACACAAGGACATAGACACACACACATTCACAACCACAAATAAACACACACAAACACGAGCGGTGTTGGGCTTTAGTTGATGTGCACTCCTTTTGATTGACCTCTCTGGTTGCAGTTCCTCAATATGGCCTCGGTCTTCATGAGGATCTTCAATTTAATTTGCATGATGCTCCTAATCGGCCATTGGAGCGGTTGCTTGCAGTTCTTAGTGCCAATGTTGCAGGGTTTTCCATCCAACTCCTGGGTCTCCATCAACGAGTTGCAGGTGCGCCAGATCGGTAAATCCCTACTAGCTGGTATCGGCTATCTAAATGGGTTGTTCCATTTCAGGAATCGTACTGGCTGGAGCAGTATTCGTGGGCATTGTTTAAGGCCATGTCGCACATGCTCTGCATAGGCTATGGCAGGTGAGTTAATGTTCCTATCTACTTTGGTTTCTTGTACCCACCTACTGTCCCTATCTACTTGAACCGAATAATAATTCTCTCTTAAATGCTGATGAATAATGTCCCATAAGACAATCTGACTAATTATTATTCCCACTTGCAGATTCCCACCACAATCACTGACAGACATGTGGCTGACGATGCTGTCGATGATATCTGGGGCCACGTGTTACGCATTGTTCCTCGGTCACGCGACCAATCTCATCCAGAGCTTGGACTCCAGCCGGCGTCAGTATCGCGAGAAGGTCAAACAGGTGGAGGAGTATATGGCCTATCGCAAGCTGCCGCGTGACATGCGGCAGCGCATCACGGAATACTTCGAGCATCGCTACCAGGGTAAATTCTTCGATGAAGAGTTGATACTTGGCGAGTTGAGCGAGAAATTGCGCGAGGATGTCATCAACTACAACTGCAGGTGGGCGATCTGTCACTATGCAGTGCTATTTAAAGTGTTTCTTCTTTCAGCCGATTGATTAGTATAGTATTTCGTATTATTAGTATTTTGCACTGGCCACCCAATTAATCATAAAATAATAAAACACACTTTTTCAATATTTCACAGATCCCTCGTGGCGTCAGTGCCTTTTTTTGCTAATGCCGATTCGAATTTCGTTTCCGACGTAGTTACCAAACTGAAATACGAAGTTTTCCAACCAGGTGAGTGGGTCCACCTTCTCTAAATAATAGTATTAATAACTAACCTAATGATTTTTCCGATCTCTTTCAGGTGATATTATCATAAAGGAGGGTACGATCGGTACTAAGATGTACTTCATACAGGAGGGCGTGGTGGACATTGTCATGGCCAACGGCGAGGTAATATAGACCGTACATCTTTGAATACCATATAATAACTACCATCTTTCACCCTAGGTTGCCACCTCACTATCGGATGGCTCTTACTTCGGTGAGATCTGTCTGCTGACCAATGCGCGTCGTGTGGCCAGCGTGCGATCCGAAACCTATTGCAATTTATTCTCGTTGAGCGTGGATCATTTCAATTGCGTTCTGGATCAGTATCCGCTGATGCGCAAAACAATGGAGACTGTGGCCGCGGAGCGGTTGAACAAGATTGGCAAGAATCCAAACATAATGCATCAGAAGGACGAGCAGCTGAGCAATCCGGAGTCGAACACGATTACGGCTGTGGTTAATGCCTTAGCTGCTGAGGCGGATGACTGCAAAGATGAGTAAGTTGTCTTGGGAAATTATATGATACAAAATAAAAAACAATTAATCTAAATCAATATCAATATAACAAAAAACTTCGTGTTATAAATAATAAATTTTAAAAACACCCAATTAAAGTAAAATTCTATAAAAATAGGTAATCCTTTCTTAGAGGGATATTCTATAATTAAATACACAAATAATTGCTTGTTTGAATTTGTATTAAATCTTGTTGTAATCCTTTTCAGTGACATGGATCTCAAGGAGAATTTACTGCATGGGTCAGAGTCGAGCATTGCTGAGCCGGTGCAGACGATACGTGAGGGTCTCCCGAGGCCGCGGAGCGGGGAGTTCCGCGCCCTGTTCGAGGGCAACACCCCATGACACTGAGGAGCGATGACGAGCGGTGCCGGCGGGCACCGGGCAACCATCTGAAGACAGCGGTTCGCTGGACACTCACTCACCTAAACCCACACCCATACCCCAAAAACAGGACTCCCACACTCACACACACACACTGCGTATATAATAATTTAGTAAAAGGAACCCCAAGACGCGATAAGAGTACACTAAAAAAGAATCAATTTATGGTAGACACTCTATATATGCAATTGCGATTTAGTAGAAAACGTATTAAAAACAAAAAATCCAAAAAAAGATAAAACAAAAACAATTACACAAAAAATGTCCTCAATAATTATTCATAATTTCAGCTCCGCTAACTGTGATGACTTTAATATAAGAATCGAAAAAAATTAACAAAAAAAAGAGAAAACGAGTACATACAGAGATAAATTATACGATAGAGAGAACTCAGCAGCCAGCAGACAGATCAGAAAATCACAACCCACAGCCATAGAAGATTTGCCACCCCACACACCCACACACACTACACACCAAATACTGACATATAAAGTAAATCTACATATAAGTTTTATGCCCACGATATTGTAACGATAACGAAGTGAATAGACTTTTGAATTGCTACATAGGCGTTAGTCCTATGGACCTACTACAAGAACACACAACCACACACACGCGAGCACACCTGTAGCTGACCAGGTGAACAGGTGAAAGGGTGACAGGTATCAGGCAGCGGGCATCGGGCATCAGGCATCAGGCGACAGGTTACAGTCAGTCAGACAGACATGCATCAACTTATGATATAAACGAAGCGAAGCGTTACAGCATACCAAAACATAGCTAAACGTAGCTATTATGTACTCGAGCAACCAACAAACAAACAAACAATTATGTATTATTGCGATTATATAGCATATTTAAATACGCATTGCAAAAAAGGGAAAACATAACTCAGCAATATACAAAACAAGAAAACAACCCAAGAAACAAAACAAAAAGAAAAGTATTTAAGCAAATTTAACGAATGCGCATTAGTAGTTGAACTATTAGTTTTTCACTCACTAACAAACAAAACACCACTCGACACACAACGTAGTAGAGAAGCCTCAAAAAAAAAAAAACAAAATGGAAAAAATATATTAAAAACCAACCTCAGGGTGCCGTCGTTTCAGCGGTCACCAAAAAATAACAAAAAAAGAACAGACAAGAAACCAACTATATACACAACATATATATACAAAACATAGACAATGTTGTCTTTTATAGGGAATTGTTAAAGCGCCTCAGTTACATTTCAAGTATTTATTGCGGGGCTGCCGCCGAGCAAGATCATGATTTTCCATTCAGATTCAGAATTTCCGTTCAAGTTACCATATTTAGTTGCGAGCGATATCTCTTTTGCAAGTGGTTCGTCTTTGAGTCCTTGTTTGTTTTACTTTCGAGCATAAATCAGGCGAAGGACAGCGACTTGTTGAAGGATTTATGTAACTTAGTATTTTATTACACGTAAACTAATAAAAAGAAAGCAGAAGGACAGCGTTTGCCTTAAAATAATACGAAAACGAGTTTTATTTAAATCCTAATTGAAAACATAAAAAAATCAATTTGGCTTCCCATGCCGATACGTTGGAGTTTAGCAATAATAGATAGTAATAGTTAATAATAATATATAACACTAGAAACGAAAAACTGGTGATGTATGAAAAATTATATTAATTTGAATCTAAGCTGAGATGCAGCGGCGCACCAAACCGGAGTCGATAAGGGACTTGTTCAAGTTAATATTGGGTGCTTTGCTGTCCGGATCGACCAACACCAAATAAGCAGTGTTGTTCTGAAAAAGAAAAAGGTTTATTGAGCCTTGCTTGCTTATTATGATTATTGACTCACGTTGATAGCTTCGACCTTGGCGTAAAGTCTGCGATAGGAAACCATCCTATAGAAGAAGTTAACGGCTTCTGCGCACCAAGCCGGACTCTTCCACTGAGTTATAAAGGCCAATCGACCGACCAAACACTGCGCCGGTAGGATGGCAAACTCTTTCATCAGAAACTTGACTTCTTTGTGGCTCACACACATTATGACGCCGGTGTCGATCAGCTCCACCTCGATGGTCTTCTTGATATTATTCGGTCGGTGCCCTAACACTTGGGCTCTTTCCCACACACTCGAAATGTTGGAGCGCACCACGCAGAGATGACCTGTGGTGATTAAGCAAAGCGGCATAGTGTATTTATCCGAATCAAGACCTTCGTAAAACATTCTGTAGGGAAAAATTAAAAATGTAAATTAAATAACGATATTACATTTTTTATATAAAATCGTTAGCTTACTGCATATTGCAGGATAAAGCCCTGTAGTCATTAAACTCTTCGTTGTATACCCAAAAGGTGAAGCTGTGCGGATTGTCCACCTTCACCAACTGCACCTCCATGCGCTGCTCCAACTGAACAACATCAGTAATATCGCGAACAGGAAGCTTGAAATCACATCGAACAGAATCTTTGGGATAATCCACACCTAGAACTCGATCGTCCTAAACATAATTGAACTCTTAATTTAATGTGCCTAAAATTAGTTATGGTTGATCCTACCACAGCATATCCTGGAACGGCATTTTCTTCGTCGCCATCATCGGAGGACTCATAATTAAGGAAGGGCTCTTGGAGTTCCAGGGGCTTGGCAATATCCTCCTGAATAGTTGGCTTGGATAAGAGATCAGGCTGAGGCTGGGTGACTGGCTCCAGTTCGAGCGCCACTGCCACATCTTTTTCCGATGAATCTCCAATTACAACGGCAGTTTGAGGAGCATGTACTCTTTCTCTAGAGCCGAAAGGATCTTTTGCAAATTGCTCCTCGTCAGACTCAAATATTTCGTATTCCTCGTAGTCATGGTAACCGGAGGAATCAACATCTACCGAAAGATTTTCGAAAGCTTCCTTCATCTCCTTGGTTTCCTTCTCCAGCTTCTGAGTCAAACTTGCTTGTTTAAGCTCAGGAGTCGGTCTTAAAATGTCCTGTGGTTGAAAACTCTTCTTCGCTTGTCCTTGAACTTCCAATGGCTCAGGATTGGTTAGTTTCACCTCCTTAAGTTTTGGAATAATCTTTGGTAGCGTTTGCTGTTGGGGATTTGAAGAGTACTTCGGTTGCGGATTTGGGGTGTTCTGCGAACAAGGATATGGATAAATCAGCGATAGAAGATAATGATAATACTGCAGCTGGTAGTAATTAAAAAGCACCTGCTGCTGTGCGGCGCAGATCATGGCGTTAATATTGTTGTAGACAACCGGAGTGTGAACGGGATACATCAGTCGAGTATAGTTGGGATATGAAACGGGTATGTTGAGATCCTTGGGCCGCTGATATGTTCTATTCTGCATTTTTCTAGCATTCGTTTTCCGGATACTTTCGTTTATGAAGATCAAATTGGAACGCTCGGATGCATAGCAATACTTGGGTTTGTGATTGGGTCGATTTCTGGACCTGTTGCTGGGCTTCCTTTGGCACTGCACAAGTTGCTGAATATGCGCCGATTTGGCGGTGGTCACCGCAGTTACACTGGCCACGGGTCCGTGGCCAATCACCTGGTAAATGGTATTATTAAATGTAGTGTTTATTTCGATTATGGAGGTACATATATAAATACCTTTACTGTATCCGGAATCGAGCGGAGGAAGGATTCGGCGTCATTGAATCCCAATTTGTGGTGTGGCAAAGTGCAGCCCTCTTCGCTTCGGTAATCGCGCATTAGCTTTTCGATCGTCATTCTTCCGGGTGAGGAGACCACCAGCGAGTGCACCACCTTCTTCACTAGGCTCAACACTCCGTGATCATCCATACTAAAAATAAGTTATGTTTTCTTGAAATTTCACAAATAGTTTGTTATTTTTATGCGCAAAAAGCGCCGCCACGCTTCGAAATAAAGTATTCGGCTAACTGTAAACTAGGGTTGTCATCAGTGGAGGAGGAATCGATGTTTGGCAGGGCACCGTCGATGAAGAGACGGTTAATTTATAAATGTTCTTTGTTTTATTGATAATTTAATGATGTCTTATCTAACGAAGACATAATGTTGGTTATTATGCTTCATTTTTATGATATGTTTTAAATTTTACAATTAAATCTTTTTTGTTGAACATCATAATATGAAAGTTAAGAAAATTTTAAATTGTCCCCGGCGATATTCAATATAGTAAGGAGTATCGATGTTTATAGTTGAATGGCATTTATAGCAACTATTGATTGGATGGTGCTGCCAGAATATGAGTTTTATAGCGAACATCTGTGGGACAGGGCTGCCAGATAATTAAAATTCGGTGGCTTGGCGCCACTTTTAAAACCGGTTGCACCATATGTCGGTGTTGGCTTTCGTTTTAAATGATTTTTTTTGCCTTTTGATGTAACTTAATACCCGCGACAGACGTCCTTCCTTGTGAAACTCAAGTAGCCGAAGGAAGCTACAAGTTCAGCGTAAGTTCAAGTCACATGTGGGGCTTGATGGAAGACCACCAGCAAATGGCATGTTTTTTGGGCTTGGGTTGAGTTAATCTTTTGACTCTTAAGTTCCATAGTTTTCTACAACTTTTACCTAGAACTTGGCCATTTAGATTTGCAATTGCGCGTTGTTACAACATCCGCTTACAGCTTGGGCGGTGGGCCGATAAATCAAAACTAAAAACCCGCCCAAGAAATGGAGTTTTTCCGGGAAGGCAGTAGTAATACCCAACACTTTCCACACATGACACATGAACTTGTCGGAGACAGTGGCTCCATTAATAATTTTCACACGACCGGCAAAAGGGGCCTTGTGCCATGTAAATTTTACAAGCCCCTCTTCCACATTCTCCAGGTTGCGTAAGCTGATACGTTTGGGTTTTATGCAGCAGCATAATTATATTCTTTATATTGTTTATGGGGAAACAAGAACTGGAACAACAACGACAAGAGCGTTTTGTGGTTTTTGTTGTTACCGTTTTGGTCACTTTACAAATAGTTGAGGAGGCAAAAAGCCCGATGGGATCTCTGCAGTTGGCTATGAGCGGGTGACTTGGCAATCAAACCGGTTGTCCCTGCTCCACGACTCCGTCTTTGCCAGTGTTCGTGTGTGATTTATAGTTACGCACAAGCGCGCAAATCCAATTAGACGAACTGGCTGACTGACTGGTTGCCTGAAAGACTGGCCAACTGACTGACTGACTGGCCAACTGACTAGCTGACAATCCGAAGCATGGCCCGCAGCAAATGCCGCCAGGTTATAGGACGGCCGCTGGTTCGATCCCATCTGAAGATCTCGGCACAAGCTCCTCAGGCACATCGCCACAGTTGTCATTGGCCAAAAGCAAAATATTGGTCTAAACGACGCCATAAAATGTTCACAATTGCTTTACCATACTTACAGATCATGTATTTTATTGGTTTCCTAATATTTGTAGATTTTCAAAACGACGCTATAAAATGTTTACAACTGCTATTCCATAGCTAATACTAACTGATAATTTATTTTTTATGTCCCAACATTTTCAGATTTTCTTAATATCCTTTTAAATGTTACCAATAATAAGTACTTTTTCGAGATTCATAAATTGCATATATGCATATGTTATTAGGGCATTTAAAGCTTTGAAAAATATAAGTATTGTCTAAAAATATTAAATACGTAATAACTGCCAATTAAGTTCTGACCTAGATAAGAAGTTATGCCAATGTTTGTCTCAAGTGATGGTTTTGTGTCATTTGTGTATTTTTATATATTCATTAAAGCTTAAAAATAAAGTTAAGATCTAGTTTTGTTATGAATGCTCAAGGGCTAATCTTTAAAGAATCATGCAAATAGTATATTTTTATATATTTATTTACAGATTCACTTTTCAAAATTGTATTTCAATCAGCTGTCTGCCGGTACCCCATTTATCTATCTTTTACTGTACTCAAAAAGATACAAATGGGTCGGGAGACTGTATCTGTTTTCGATGTTTACATCATCGCCAATGGCGGAACTTCAGTGGCCCGGCCACACAAATATCGTCCACCGTCCGCTGTCCACTATCCACTGTCCGTCTTTGTTGCATTTTTTCAAAAATATACACATTGAAAGAGCGAAAGAAAAACGAACTGCAGCCGCATCTTTATCTAAAAATTGAATTGAAATGTATGTCATAATACCTTTGGCATGCCGGCCAGTTGCTTGACATTAAAAATACGCCGTCCCTTTCCCTCTTAACCCTCCCCCCGCATTCGTTTCGGCCAGAAAAAAACCACATATGGCTGAATGCAAATTTGCTGCCATATGGAGCAGAAAAGCTGATGACGTCGTCATCGTCTCACTGAAATTGAAATGCAACTCGCATTTGGGGCCCGCTCCTAGTTGAACATTTTGTGTTTTTCATTTTTTCGCAAAAGGGCCCTGGTGTTTGGAGGTTGATGTTGTTGTTGTTAATGTTAATGTTGTTGTTGTTGCCGTTTCCCACGTTAAATGGGTCTCCAGTGCGATATCGCTATATCGAGATCTGGGTCTCCGTCCGATGAGGGAGTGTTCCACACGTTCCGCACACCTGAATGCTTAAACAGATAGGAGAGACCTGGCGACGGAATCGGAGTCCGGAGTCCGGATAACCGATAACCTTCGGGTGATTTTTGGGGCTTTTCCTATGGAAAGTCAAGCCGGTCTACGGATTTGGTAACAGTCGCCGGACAATAGACCGAATTTGGTAGAGGCCGGCAAGGGGCAAGAGCAGATTGATTGATAGTCGCGGCACATTCCAAGCTTCCCTTTGAATGCACTGTAAGAAATCTGAACTTGTATGGCTCTAAAAACTATCTCGCACAACACAATTTGGGTTTTGAACCACTTTTAGTAATTAAATTTAATAATATAAATTTTTACTAACTAATTGTTACTAAAATAAAATTAGGTAAATATATTAATTTGAAGTTCTGTAATGTTGTTGGTTTTTTAAAGACAATTCAATTAACATCATTTAAATAAAGACAAAAGTACTATGTCAAATTTATATAAAACGCATAAACTTTTTATTATCGTAAAGGGAGGGCGTCCATTACTCATCGTTTTATCTACTTTACTAATATTTAATGTCAAACCGCAACTTTTTTCCGTGTACACCCCCTCCATAAACGTGTTTTCGCTGCCTCTCCTTCCCACTTTCCCACTTTTTGTAACTCTGTTGTGTCTTTTGCAAAGCAAACGCGATTGGATCAACAAGCCAAAGCGATGATTAATTGGGAATGACGACTGGAGGTGCGAACCTCAGATTGGGAATACGGCATGGGAGATGGGATGGTGGTGTACCATGCCATTGCAGATGGGTCAGATCCCAAAACAGATCGTCTAATATCGTTCAATGAACCAATCGGAAATAGACACAAAAGCTGAAGATCTATGATCTGTCTGGAAATAAACACCGTTGTTAAACTATAGCCATTGATTGGGCTTTTGTTCTGGGCCCGGGATTCTTGCAAACTGATATTTGCATGTTTGGGCCAACCTTTCGCTTGTACCGTTAAATCTGCGCCACTCTCTTAGCACGGCCGTAAACAATAAATTAGCCAAAGCAGAAACAAAATGCCTCATTAACACCTGGTTTGCGTGCGATATGCGAGAGCTTTCGATTTAACGGTTTGGTCATGCCCGATAAAATGATCGAAACCTAATTTGATTCGGGCCAAAGGGTTCAAGTTCAAATTTAATTAGATTCTTTTCCGAAAGCACACGCAACCCAAAACAATTCTAGTTGTTACTTCCTAATACAATTTTATGGACATTTGTACTTCCTTGATTTTATGGATTATTCTGGTCTAAAGATATGAATTTTTTGGTCTTAGCAAATACTTTATTAAATTTGTGTAACTTGATAACCTTTTATTTCTTTTCAATTTTTTGCCACAACTTGAACCATTAACGCGTTTATTATTGCGGTTTATCTGTATTTAACCTATAATTTATATATTTGTTGTTTTTTATAATGTAGTAAAAATATTTTCTAAAAATACCAGATCCCAAGCCAATAATTATAGGGTTGAGGGGGATCTTCTAAAAAAGTATACATTATCAGCAAATTCTTTTTAAATGGTTCTTTGTACATTTTTCTGAGAACCTTTTCTTTAAACCTTACCGAAATATTCGAAATCTGTGTGCTTTCGATGTTGTACTATTACTATTTATAGCGGATAACCAAAGATAGTTCCATAAGATTTGTTGGCAAATTTAAAAAAAGACTTAAAGAGTCAGTAATTAAAACGATATTTATTTTAAAACACTCTATTTGAGAGATACACGAATTAGGAAAAGCAATAAATATTCCTGTTGGCAGCCGACGAAAACGTGCAGTTTTCAAAGAAATACAGCGTATTGTTTAAAGATTTTTTTTTGGTAAGGAGTTCAAGTTCAGAACCCCGACTTCGTTGGTGGTCTTGGGTCACCGCTTCCTCTTCTGGTTCTCCTGAGAGCACACACACTTAATTAAAACCAACTTGCGCTGAAAATGAAAAGTGCAAACAGAACATAAATCAACTTTGAGTGAATCAGAATCAGATTCGGAATCGGAGTCCGAGTCCTCAATTCTGAAGATGCCCGGATCTCTGGTGGACTGGACCCAACGGCCTTGCTTATCAGCCGTTTTCCCTTACTTTCCTCATTCGCTGGCTCTTTTGGCTAGCCGTCTTGCCACACGATCTTCTTATTCCCTTTGTTTTCTTTTTCGGGTTCAGTTTTTATTTTAGTTTTTTTTTGGTTTTTGGCTAAGTTGCAGGCCATTTTGCCGCAACAGGTTCTTGGTTCGCTTCTTTGGCTCTCTCTTCGGGCCTTCCAGTCCCGCTGTCCGCAGCCCGTCCTCCCCTCCCCCCGCTTACACTTCCACCGCACAGAACTGGACAACGGCAACAGGTTCTGACCGAAAAGAGAGCCGACTCTCGCACTGAGATAAGTGACTTTCAATACGAAATACAAATATACCTGTTTGCTTTGGCTTTGCTTGATAAGAGGCTCTAACCCCCATTATTTAGCACTAAATTTACCACTGGGTCTTGGGTACTCTCTCGCTCTCTCCAACACACACATTGGCAAACGACAGGTAATGCAGCAACAACAACAGCTTAGTAGTGTTTCAAGACGATCTCTTTCTTCGCCTCTCTGGTGGACTGATTTCCAGCTGGCTGTTAACGTGGCCCAATCGAGGTGAATAAAGGCGTACTAGACTGCTGGCGAAGTATGTAACAAATATTAAAAGAAAGTAAAAAAGAATATTAAAATAAGTTATAAGACAATCAATTTTTAATTAAAATAAGCTAGTTAAAAGTTCATAACTTTGGGGTTTCCAAAAAGCCGAATTATTAATGTTTGGTTGAGTGACGACTAGTGCTTAGATCATTTAATGTTATTTTGCCATGAGGTGATGAAGCAAAACATTTAATGATCAAATAAGCATATGATAAACATCTTTTAGTAATTGGGTTTTTTAACCAAAGTTCTGCAAAACCCTTAAAAAATATAAATATAAGAATTTAATAGGTATTAAAGGGTATCTATTAGTATTGACGATGTTATTATCGACTATATGTAAAGAGACATTTTCGCAATCCCAGTGAGAGAGAGAGATAGATTGAGGGAGAAAGAGCACAAGTGCGATTGGAGAGGCATGTGGCAGTGGCACACGAGCTTTGCTTTGACTGATCGCGAGTTTCAGTCTTCTTTTGGCTCTCGCAGCGTGTAGTTCGTGAGGAAAAGCGGAAAACCCTAGGAAATTCAGAGCGTTGCATGCCCCGCGATTCGGGGCTCGTGTCCGTGTATTCGTGTACCTGTGTGCCGCGTGTGTGTGTGCTAGCTTGTGAGTTAACAAAAAAATTAAGCAACCAAAAATGCACGAAAAAATTAAATGCAGTTTCTACTCAATGAAAATGCTGTGAATAAGTTTAATCAGCTTCAAGCTCGAGTAAAAAATAAGCAACAGAGAGAGAAGTCACAAAAAACCGAATAAACAACAACAATTAGTGGCCAAAAGCACGAAACGGCATTAAAAAAGTGACAAAAACAAAAGGTGTCGTGTAAAAATGCGCCTGAAAAATTACAAAATTCAGCAAACATAAACAAAAAACAAAACCGTGTACAAAGATCAACCTTCGAGGTTTAAAAAATTTTTCCGCCTAGAAAATAGTTATAATAATCAAAAAAGGTTGAGTGTTGTGCCTGCTTTTGCCTTTTAGGCGGGTGGCAAGAAGTTTCAAATTCTCCCTCTTCTTTATCTTCATCGTATTCTTTGCGTCTTCTCATTTTTTTTCGTGGCTGCTCCAACAAGTTTTCCCCCCAACATTAGCGATTTTTCCAACCAGTTTTTGGCGCTTGCCATTTTCCGCGCTTCAAAACTTCTGCCCCTTCTTCTGCTTCCTCATTTTCTTCGGCATGTGGGGAGTCGAAGAAAGAGTCGGAAAGAAAGAGCGACAGAGAGAGACAGGGATATGGACAAGGTGGAGCTCAAGAGCAGCTGCAAATTTAGCATGGGTCAGTCTCAAAGACGAAACCGTTCCGATCTCGTTTCCATTTCTACACCTTTAACCATTAAACCTGGCTCAGAAAAATCCCCCTAACCGCCCCCAGAAAAATAGATGTCGGGCAGTACGTGTTTTGGATTATTTTCGACTCGCTAAAAAACATTTGCGGTGAGAAACTTAATTCGAAATCCAAATGTATCTTTGAACTGCGCTTGGAATTGTGGTTCGTGAGACCTTCGAAGAAGTTACATAAGCTAATGCACCGAAAAAGATTGAGAGAACTTGAAGCTGGGGGTGTTTTGTTCTAGACTTGATAAAGGAGTGTTAGAACTCGGAACAAAGAAGGTTAAAAAACACTAATGCAATTGAAAAGCTGATAAGGCAGGTAGAGTCAACCAAAGGGAAATGGAAACAATTAGGTTAGTTATATAGAAAAAAAACTAGCGAAGAAAATGTTCATGATACAGAAACAATATGACATATAATTTTTAGTTTCTAATTAATGATTTGTTAATTTTTTGTATCTTTACTCATAATAATTTTCTTTGAATTGGAATTAGATTTAAGAAGTACTTAACTTTCCTTAAGAAACATTCATGTTAAATAAAAGCTTCAATACATTAAATGTTAATAATTTCCTCAGTTATTACTGCTTACTGATTAATCGATCTACTTTTATAATACAAAGAAATTCATAGTAAATTAAATGCAAAGATTGGCCTGCTTTGGCCTAAACAATAAGTGAACCAAAGTCCCCAAGAGAGTGGAAAAATTTGCATAGACAACAAAGCTAGCAGAAAACAAATTCTCGAGTGCTAAAGAATTCCGAGTCTGATTCTGGCAGCGATAACGGATGATAAAGAGCAGGAGAGGCAGAAAGAATAATTCAAATCCCCCCGGCCAGGTGACAGTTCTGCACTGCAATTCAGGGAAAGTGGGCGTTAATGGGCGGGTCCCGAGGGGAAGGAACTGGGAGCAGGCGTAGGGTTTCCATGTCGTTTCCATGTGACGACTTATCAACTGTCGCGGCGGAAGGAGGCGGGATGGGGGGATCGCATAGCATCAACATCAAATACTACTCAAGAATTTCAAAGCAAACTTGTTTGCTCAACTTGCCAGCGATTTGTGGGAGGGTTGGGGGTTTGCTACACAGGAAGAAAGTTGGTATGATTGGACGTCCTTTCAAATGAAAGTATAGGTAATCTGAACTCCTTTAAAACCAAAAAAAGAGAACCAATGACATTAAAATCAGGCAAGGTAATTCACCTTTCGATTTTTTAATACACAAGTAATACATTTGTAGAAACTGAAGAGCTAATAGTAAACATATATAGTTTTTTCTCCGTGTAGGCAGGAAGGTAGGTAGGTGGAAATGGTGGTAAAGGTGGAGGTGGAGCAAACTGAGTTCAATACACTCGGCGGCATTCAGTGACGAACATTTGGCTTTTGGGTGTTTTGAACTCATTTCGAAATGCGTAAAATTTGTTTTGTCTCTCGGTCTTTTATGTATGTGCCTGCCGTTGAAAGATTGATTAAATTATCAAGATGTGTTGTCGAGCGCCAATTGGCTTGCCGATGATCTATTTAATTAGGAAGGCAAACATCCGTGGAATGCGCTGCGAGGCGACCTTGCCATATTTGACGACTGGCTTTTCTATCTGCTTTTCATTCCCAGCCTTTTCAAGTTGTCAACTTCATTGGCAACCCGTTTGCGTTTCTTTTTTTCCTGTTCCCTCTCTCCATGGAGAGTTTTATCTTATCGGGCATTGTTGCCGGCTTGGCAGGCTAAGACTAATTATAATCTTATCTGTCACAACTAAGTAGTGCAAACATCAGTGGAACTGTAACCGAAACAGAAACCCAATGAAACATCACCCGCCGAGAATTCGGGTTCAAATCTGAGATCCCTCATTCGGCGGTGCTGTAAATTCCTCACATAATAAGCCGAAATTTTTGGGAAACAACATGCAAAGTGTTTTCCCAAATTGCGCATAAAAATTGAGTTCCTCTTGCCTGACTCTTGTCTCGCAAAAGCCCAGCTAAGTAAATAAATACTGGCAATGATATAGGGGAGAACACCACCAGAAGAATTCAACAAGCCTGAAAAATAACTTCCCAAGAAATTGCCATTTCATCATTATTTGAGATAGAACGGGAAGCAAAGTAGGAAAAGATTTGCCAAAGGTAAATGCAAATACAGTTGTTTAAGAAGCGATCAAACTTTCTAAGATTGCAGGCATGTTTTGCTGGAATTTCATAAGCCATCGAGCAGTTTTGCGGTAATAAATATTTTTAAGAGATTATTTTCTTAAATTATTACCCATGTTCATAAAGTGTATTTACTTATAAAACTATTTGGGAATGGTTTTTTTACAGAGCTACTGCAATGCAGTCTTTGGTGCATTGCAGACGAGGTGTTATAGTTTCTATACTTCCAGCTATATAAAAAACTTAATTATAATTATGAGTTAGGAAAATTCTAGCAGTTATAGCGTTAAAGTAATTTTATTTTTAAATGTAAAAACCCCTTTTTCTTTTTCCGGGGTTTCCAAGTTTTTGCAATTTATATTTGCAATGCATAGAGTGCGAGGAATTCGCTGAGCAAATATTTGTGCCCCATACCACCTGTATTTATCTGTATCTGTATCTGCCTCCACATAGCAGATACTTTCCACCTTGGGCCAGCATCTCAGCTGTGGAAATGATAAGCGAACAGTGCGACCTTGTTTCCGAAGCCAACGACCTTCGCAATTTACCAAACCAATTACAACTTCCCCGGATAAACAAGAGAAGTAGCATCCTGCTGTGAGATTGTGATCTGGGATCAGGGATGCAGCCTCTGGGATTCGAGATCCGTGATCCGACGGAAGTAAGGTGGAACAATTGTCGGGATCGCAGGATCTGCTTAGGTAGTTGACAGGATCATAAACAAATGCCGCAGGAGAGCTCAAAGAATGAGTTTCAAATCTGCGCTGTCTTTCTCTTTCTTCGTGGTTCCTGCTGGCTCTTTCACTCTGCATGAGGTTTTTCGCGAGGGTTTCTCGGTGTGTGGGTGTTTTCATTTGCAACTACCAAGAAGCGCGGCTTGGGAATATTTTTTTTCCATTCGTTTTCCATCTTTTTGTGTTATTTGTTGCAAGCCAAGCGCGGCGGAGCACTAAAGAAAGCGTTGAACTTGCTGCAGGTTGCAATTGCCAATGTTGCCAGGCCCTTTTTTGCGGAAATCCAGCGAACGAATTACATTTAATTGTAAATTTATGCGTCTGCTTCCTTCCCCCGTCCCCGTCCCCCTGCCCCATTCATTCATTCTTTAACTTAAGGCTTAGTGTAAATGCCGCGCGCTCTTCACCTTTGTGTGAATATTTCTGCAGCAGGTAGTTGTGTGAGAATTGACAAAATTATAATGAGTCGGCAATGTTGAGAGTGCACAGGGAAAAATCATGTACATCATAAGAAATATGAGTTATAACCCTGCTTGTACTAATGTATTTCTCTGGCATTTGTAATGAGATTTTTTACCTAACATAAAACCTAATAACTTTCTTAAATAGAGTTATTGGCCCAAGTAACATAAAGGTTTTTCTAAGTCATTACCTATGAATACTAATATGTATTTAGGATTTATTCCTGGCATTTGAATTCTAGACTTTGGAAATACCTTTCCTATTATTTGTTTGTCAAATTAACAAATTGAGGTGGTAAAATGGAACATATTGGTTGCATTCCAGTGGATTTTTCCAAGTGTGTGCCTGCCAAAACCACGAAACCAACGGCAGCCTTGCCAACACCTCCGCCCAGGTACATAATCATAACACATAACCGGGCAGGTAACAATTTCCATTCATCTTTGTTGCTGCTTTGTTACGCTTGTTAGTAGCTGACACTACACTGCAGAGTAAGACTCCGATTTACGACGACCTTTGGGCCCCTTTTTGCATGCGGCTATCAGGTATCCGGGCATCTCAATCTCGGAACACTCTTTTTTTTTGGAATACGACCACCTACGCCGCGGGTAATATTTGGCAGATACTTTTAAGCTGATAGGCAAACACTTGGCTATGGAATTAAACAGTTTGCTGAAGTGGAAACAGGGGTCACAGTTCAAGAAAAGAACCGAAGGTTGGCATAACAATATCTCAGTGATTTATTGTCCTTTTCAAGAGATTCTCGTTGCGGAGATTAAGATATCAGCAGTCAATAGGAAGATGTTGAAACCGTATTTAATATGCTGTTTTCGTTGAGCATACATATCTTCCTGGATCTACCGAACATTATTGTTAATAGAGATCAATGTGTTTCGCTTTGGCTGGGTTTTTAGCCATTTGTGACCTCGCCATCGATTGGCTGGGCAATAAAAACCCGTTCTGGGGACTCGAACTGGGAGCTGCTAACTGGAATTGGAACTGGGAACCGACTAGCACTTGGTATTGGGATTGCAATCGGGTCTGGGGAGTGTGTGCTCATTTCGATGGCGCCACTCCGATTTTGCATGTTTTCCGCATTTACTTTATGTTTTTTTTGTCATTCTGCATTTTGATGTGGAATTTTTATGGCCAGCAAAAGTGTCTAATTTCGCTGCAGAAAACCGAAAAGCCATTTCAACAGCAATCACAGAGTTGTCGACAAATCGGAAATAACTTTCGAGAAGTGGAGAAGTTGAATTCTACCCAAGGCCATAATTAACAAATTGGTGATTAGCTGGAAAGCTTTCCAAGTCGAAAGTCTGGAGTCTAGGGGGCATGAAAGTGCATGGAGCAATGTCATTGCACTCCTGAAGCTGCAGCAAGCAGATTTATCTACCACGTACTTTGCCCCCATCCCGAAAACAGGCTTCTTCTTTGGGGGCTTCTTGCCAGGGCCTAGGTCTTCTGCTCTTACACAGAGAGAAAACGGAACAAAAATTAGTTTAATAAAAGGTAGTTTGTCGTAGTTTCAAGAAACATCACAATCAGGAAAAAACAAATTATGTAAAACAAACCTGTTCTATATGTATACCTTTTAAATTTATTGAGGAGGCTTATAAATCGCTTAAGAATATTTTTAAGAGTTAACTTTTTTTATTTTTGAAATAACACTCAATCAATGATAAAAATGTTGGAGAAATTAGCGCGTTTCTTTAGGAAATTTTCAATTGGGAGAACATACTTAAACAAGTCTAAAACATAAACTTTCAAGCTTGTTTATCATGGTTGATATATATAAAATGTTTCATTGCTGAGTCAAGATAAGATTCTAGAGTTAAGAATTTCACTTTTGAAATGCTTTATCATGCACCAGACTTAGGATTTCACTTTTTAAATGCTGTGTCATGTGGTAGAATGACTAACTGAATCGAAACCTCAAGAATTACATTCCTAGTATGGAAAGGATTATCTTTCGGCCAGTGTACTTTCGACTTGGTTTTGTGTCTGGGTTTGTCAACAGCCTGGCAGAATCCAGTTTTCGCCTAGGAGCCTGGCCTGCCAGTCGAAGTAGGAGCACAAGTCGATGAGGCCGACGCCGAAGCCTCTGCAGTTCCAATTCCAGTTCCAGTTCTTTGGGACGCGGCTGAAGCGGCTCATAATTATGCATTAAACACTCGAAGTTTACGGGCCAGAAGTGGCAGCTGCAACTGCGGCTTTAATGGACATCAATTTGCATGGAAACCATACAGAAAACGATGACATTTGAAAGAGCCAACTGCGTGGGCCGTTTGCTATATGCTGTCCAACCGAAACGAAACGAAATGCAGTCGCCAAATCGCATTTGAAAATGCACAACAAAAACTTGTTTATTGGCTTAGACCCCTCAGCGTTGTCGCCTCACTGTATATTCGTCTCGTCTCGCGTCTCGTGGGTCAATGTTATGTAAACCTGGTTCACTTTTTTATATTTATTTCTTCTTTTTTTTTCGTATTTTTACCACACACATAATACGCTCAACTTATTACACAAAAACCCAAATAACTCAACAAATATTTACGGACGCAGTCAACAGAAATCGATTCAATTTTCCTCCCTACCTCTGTCTATCTGTCTCTTTCCGTCGCCATATACCCATCTCTTTCGGTCGGCGTCTATGTGGATTCGTCTTACTGGTTTGGCTGCACTGCATTCCAAAGATGCGAGTTGCGGACCGGACCCGATAACAGAAATAAAAGTGCAAAGCAGCCACAACCAACAGTCACCACAAAAAATGTCGCCAGACCAAATTAAAATAATTTAACACATATAATTTCGTGTATTTTTCGCTTACATCATAACTCTTGTCTTGTCTTGTCAAAAGGTGGCCGAAAAATGAGATTGAAATGAAAATCGGGCAGGTCTAATCGCAAAATCACATCAGCAAAAAAGAAGGGGGAGAAAAACTCAAAGATAATTCCTGGTCATAATGCAAAAGGCCTCGGTACTTTACAATTTGAGAGAAAACATATAAAAACTTTTAAGATATAAACTTCCAATCGAAAAAATAACAAACATTTGTAGAGAACTTTTGAAGTACACATATACACAACCATAAAATCAGTTTAAGACTATTCAATTCGAATCACTTTTTGTTACCATCAATTTCATAAGCCTTATCTGTCTGACCCTTCTCAGAGGTGGCCGAAAGATGAGATTGAAATGAAAATCCGGCAGCTCTAATCACAACAAGCGATCGTGAAAATAACCGAAACAAAAACTAAATGAAAATGCGAAATCACAAGGAGAACGGAAACGGCTCGGATCTGAGTGATCCCAAGGTGGCCGGGCAGAAAAACTTGGCCAAAATGGAGCCGGAGAACAACAATAAGATTTCGGTGGTGTCCAAGCTCCTGCTGAAGGATAGTAATGGGGCTACCAGTCGCAGCAGCAATGGCAACATCAGCAGCAGCAACATAAGCAGCAGCAACATCAGCAGCAACAGCAACATCAATAGCAACAGCAACAGCAACGCCAGCTTCAGTTCCGCATCGGTCGCCGGCTCAGTACAGGTAAGTCTCATTTTTTTTCTGTGACAACCGGTTTCGGTTTTCTTTTCTTCGACCGTCTGACTTGTGTGCCTCTTGTTTTATTATTCTTGTTAATAAATCCTCAAAAGCGCGCAGAATTCCAATCGCACGGGGCTGACTCACAGCTCCAAAGACCCGGCTCTCGCCTCTCGGCCAGCAAATGAAACAAAAGTGAAGGCTGAAGAAAAAACAAACAAATGAAACGCAACGAATCAGAGCCGAAAAGCCCACGCACAGTGGGTCTTGGGGGTCTGGGAATTCGATTTTCGATATTCGGACCACTGCAGGTTCCTAATTGAATTATGGGTCTGACCTCCATTTGCATTGCCCAACCCGGGAAGTTTCGTTTTCGATACTCTATATAACATATATATGCCGTGGCAGCATCCACAATATCCACTCTGTGTCACTCAGTCACCCGAAAACGGTACATTTACCACTTGGAGAGCTTTGTTTATTTTTGGGATCATGTGGGGGAATCCGTTGATCGATCAACCGACCGACCGACCACTCCCCATCTTTCTCCTGCGCAGGATGCCAGTTATTAATTGGACAACTGGCCATGAATGAAGCCGTAGGAATGTCGACTTGCGTGTGAAGTTGGTTTCTCGGTGCCAATTGAATGAATGAGTGCTTGTTGTTTTGGTGCTTTTTCTGCTTATGAGATAAAGTGTGGGGTTTGATAAGGAAGCTGTAGAAATTTGGCTCAAGGCGCGGTTCTAAAAATAAAGAGGTTTATTCGCTTTTCCATATATCTCACGAAGCGTAGTCATGAAGTCATTAAACTAATACAAATACTTGTTAAGTAGAAAATGGAAATCCAATTTTCAGTGGAGTTTTAATGGTCCATGAAATTCTTAAAGATATTTATAGTTTATTTTTATTATATTTGAGTTGCTAAGAAAGCCAGTTATACCCCTTTTAAATGCGAGTATCTTGTGGTGCTTCACATAATAGAATAATTACTTTTAATGATTATTTTGTGGCTGCCAAATTCCCAGAATGTTTTGGAATTCTCTCTTTTACTTGCCCCCAATGATCCCATTCTCCCATTAGACACACAGACATGTGTGTGTTTGATTCTGTTTGATTTGCCCCGTCACCCATTAACCTTAACTGAATTATTTGGAGCCAGGGCCGCTGTGTAATCCCACCGGCCGCCATTCGATGATCCACTGTGTGGCAGTGAATGCCACACATTGGAAAATGGATTGGTTTGCGTCTAAAATGCAAAATAATTTACCAAATTAACGGTACCATTATCAACAGCGACGATCCGATCAATCAAAGTGAATCCGATCAATTAAATGTTGCCTCCGAGCGTGGCACAAAGCGTCGAGAAAACAGAGAAGAGAAATGAGCAGTAAGAGGAAAAGAGGTTATGAACAGAATAGACCAGAATGCTAAGAACATAGCTCGAAGATGATGATGGTACACAGATAAAAATTGCAGGTACTGAATACCAATAGGGAAATGGTACACAACATATTGCGATGACACACTGCTTCCAAATGACTTCCATTAAAATATATTTAATACTTTCAAAAGTTCTTAATATTATATGATCTTTAAAATCAGCCTTACATTCATTCTTCATTAAATATTAAATTCTTTTACTATTTCCACTAATTTTTCCCAGTGCAGCTGATCGTGTTGATGATAGCTGGGCGAAGTTGGAGAAATGTGGCTGAGAATTGGAACAGCATTGACCTTATCACCGAAAGCACCGTCTGCAGGGGGCTTTTGATTAATCATCTCCATTCTTAATTGTGGCCCCATCTTCATATGCCGATTGTTATCATCTCTGCGCCTTCCCCCTTTTTTTTTGCTTTTGCAAAATAGCCAGAGATATGTATTTTCCATAGCCTTTGGGCCTGGCTTAGAAGTCGAAAGAGAATGGCCGAGCGGCGATCGATAGATGGATCGATTCGCGGATCGATGGCGGGAAGGTTATTGAACCGCTTTATTCTCGGGCATTTGTAACGTTTTATTTTTTTTAATTTTTTCCATACATTGTGGAGTCTTCCACAAACGCTAATTACTGGCGAGGCGCACGCTTTAGTTCCAGTTATTAGACAAGACTCATACTTCAGCTGGCTTCTAACTCCAGTCCTCATACGCGATCTCGTACTCGTACTCCATCCATTGATGGTGGTCGCACCACCACGCCCCGTCGATCCCTCCCAGCTTAGAACTAGTTTCGGGGTCTGGCTCAGATATTTTTGCATCGATTAGGCCACATTCCACGCACCTATCTCGCGCCGCTGGGCGTTGCAATCTCTTTGGGGCTATTTATAGCTGCAATCGAATTAATTGTGGCCACGCCCCAGCGTTAGTGCCGGAATCTCTGACAAAACAAACTGTAATGGCCCAAGTGGGTAATGGGCAATGGGCAATGGGTAGATGGGTAGATGGTAGAAGGTAATGGCTATGACTGGTAGGCAGTGGCCAATGGGCTTGACGAAGGTCGTCGCTGACCATTCTTCAGCCTCTTCTTTGCTTTAGATGAATGCGCAGATTTCTAAAGAAATATATTTTGGTTATAGATGTAAAGATTTTTTTCTTTATTTTTTTTTGCCTCACTTGGGTTTTTTTTTGTATTACTTCTTTTTTCTGTCGAATCAGCCAAATCACTTGACGCTGCACTGGAATCTTTTTTATGTATTTGTATGTTGGTAAAGTTCAAGTGTTTGTTGGGGCTAAAACTGAAGCGTGAGCTGATCAAGTTGAAGCCAGTGGGGCACCTTAATCGTCGCTTCATTTCCGCGCAGAGCTTTCCTTTTAGCTGCGGAAATGATCGCCTATTTTGCCAAAAGAGATCTCGGAAAGCCGAACTAGCCCATCGAGTTGCGCAATTAGGGGAGGCAAAGCGGTCTGGTCTCCGCCTCAATGGTTAACACTCTGGGCGGTAAGAGGGGTCTTTTAGTTTGGGATTACCCATAAGCTTCGAGTACCTAAGAGTTCCAAGAAATATGTAACATAATTTAGGAATTTAGCGCAGAACCCAAGTCCACTCATTGAAAATATTTGACGCCCTCGGGTGTACATAATTTTTATTGTTTGAGTATTTTTATTAAGTGCTACAAGTCTTCATTCCTTTAAATTGTTAAAGGTTTGTAAAAGATATTCTTAGTTTTCTATCCAAAAATGTTTATAGTCAGGAAACATATTTTCTTGTATGAAAAAGGAAATCGATTCTGCTTGGGTATTTGTGTAGCTTCAAATCTTAGGGTTAATGAATATGGTTTATTTGATTTTCATATAAAAAAGATCTGGTTTTCTTTACCCATTCTATTATAATTACGCCGAGAGTATCCCACCATCGATGCTCGCTGGCATTTCCTCGGCCTGTCTTCTATTTCATTTTCATTTCAAATGCCTGTCGAACGCTTCAAGCTCAGCTCAGCTCAGTTCAGTTGAGCTCGGCTCTTAACGCTCATTAGTTCTCTAAGTCCGCCAGCCCCAACTCTCGACTTGTTTCTCACACACCACACGCCACATAGGAGGCTTCAGCTCTGCAATTAATTAATGCCAACAGTCCGGCAGCAACATCAACAGCAACAGCAGCAACAGCAACAGCAGCAACATCAGCAACAGCAACATTGGCAGCAGCAACATCAACAAAAAGCAGCAACAATGCCGCCTGACAGCGCTAAATTCTAGCCAGATTCCAGCTAAATTGTTTTGGCTTGTCTTTGAACTCGAACCGCCAGCTCAAGCTTCTTCCTTCCCTTGTACTTGTACTGCCGATAGTTTGCATTTTTTCAGGAGAAAAAGAAAAAAATTATAACAAATAATTGCGGTGCTCTTGCGACAGGTGCACCCTCCTTCATCTTTATCCGGCATTCTGCCCCCCGGAAAAATGTTGAGGAAAATTTCACCTATGTCGCTCGGCTGCGGAATCCATTGTTCCGGACCTGGAAATGCTCGGCTCATTGTATGCACTTCTTCTGGCCATGGGCCATGAAGATTTCTTTATGAGCGAGCACTGCCTTAATTAATTAACAGGCCAAGTGAAAATGCATTTGGCCAGGTGCCGTTGGCTCTGCTCTGCTCTCCTAGCCAACTTCGATTTCATTTTCCGCTGGAGTTGCCACTGGCTGCTTTTCGGCTAGTTCTTGAACCCACACGAGCAACAAATTTCACTTTTGTTTCTCCTCCAGCAACGGCAGACAAAGCGACATTCGAGCCACGAAAATTTTGAGGTCAACAGCAAGAAGCGGAGAGACGAGAGGCGAGAGACTCGTTCCCATTACCGGAGATTCATTCGTCTGCTCGCCGTTTTGGCCAAAAGTGGCCGCAAACATTGTTGCCATCTGAAGTTTGCGGCTGGAGACCATTGAAATTCTTGCCATCGAACTGAAACTCTCCGTAATTTAATGCCAACTTAGAAGCCTCAAGAGGCGCAACTCGAGCGACAGCTGCCCTTTCGATCCAGTTGCAATTTGGCCAAAGTAAACATGATTTGCCATTTCGATTTTCTGTGTTGTCATCCGGCAGCCAGCTGGAGGATCGTATCCTCAACGCTGGAAAAACAGAAAGTGACCGAGTGAAAGATTTTCGGCTTTCTAATTGGATCTGAAAAAGAGTCACCACTTTTTCTGCGATTTTTTCGTCGGTTTTCGTTGGCCTGACTTCGCCTGGCCAGTCCAGTGGGGCTTGGCTAATTAAGGGTCTCGCAGCAGGGCTAATTATGGCAAATATTTTCCATTGGCATATGTGTGAAAGTGAGACCAAGAAGCGCAAAATGGGAACCAACTTGCTGTCTGCTGCTGAAAATGACTCCATCCACACAGTTTTTGGTTGCGCTCCGCTGGCCGAACTAAACTGAACAAAGCCGAACTGGATATATGCATATATAAATTGCGATATTTGTACGTGTTCTTCTGACCTTCTGGAGCTGGCATTCTCCCGCATCTCGAGAACCAGTTGGGGTTGCTGCACTGCAAATAAAAATAGTTCAAGGAAAGTTGGGAGGTTTA